ACCACTAACTATATAATTAGGGTTTCTAGAGTTTCAAACACCCTGGCTAATACCTTTATATTAGGGTTTTAACTTATGTGTACACATATAGCCAAAATCAGGCAATGGCAAAAGTCTCTTCCCTACATACCTAACCTAAGCTACCAAGATAATATATGACCTAAACTTGAATGCTAGCTTCTTAAGGTTGATTCAAAACGAGTAACCGAAAGCAAATTTTCTATTATCATATTCTTTTGGCTTAGTTAATGATCGATATATAATACAGAGTCTTAAAAGGGACAGGATACGGTGACAACCCCTTGGGGGTTGTCAGATTCACAACCAAGGGTATTTTGGGTATAAAAAAATGAATATATTAATTACTTTTTTGTATTAATTATATCGGGAATTAAATACCCATATTAAATACAATTTTTTTCTGAAATTTAAATCCTATACATTAATATCTCTATCTATCTCTCTCTCTCTTCCTTTCTCCAGCAGCCACTCCGCATCGACCGACAAACTTTTTCTCCGGCGAATTCTCTCCGGCAGACTCCCTCCGGCAACCTGAAAAAATGTACCAATGCGTTAAAAAGTGTACCAATCTATTAGTCTACTGGTAATTAATATACCAGGCTAGTGGTACGCTACCAGTACGTTAAAAAATGTACCAGTACTAGCGGTACCAGTAAAAAATGTACCAGTACTAGTGGTACGCTACCAGTACAACGCTACCAGTAGAGAATAACATAACGCTACTAGCACTGGTAGCGCTACCACTAGCATTGGTAGCGGTACCAGTAGAGAATAACACAAAAAAAAAAACAGATGATAGTGGTACCAGATGATAGGGGAGCCACTGGTATTGGTACCAGTGAGTAGTGGTAGCGTACCAATAGCGCTACCAGTGGTATTGGTACCAATAGTGCTACCAGTGGTATTGGTACCAGTAGAGACTATCAGATCTGGAAAAAAAATAGGGATGAGGAAAGAGGGAGGCAGGGAAGAGTCTTGACCTCGCGGCGGCGGGGCAGGGGAGGACAGCGGCGCGGCGGGGGGGAGGGCAGCGGCACAGCAGGGGGAGGACAGCGGCGTAGCAGGAGCGGCGGGGACAGCGGCGCGGCATGGCGGCGGGGACAGCAGGCGCTGTGGTGGGAGGGCTGTGGCGGCGGAGAGAGGGGGAGGAGAGACGGTGATGTCTACGGGAGAGGGGGAGGAGAGAGAGAGGGAGGATGGAGGAGTTAGGGGTTTTGTTCTTTTTATATGGTAGGGTGAATGATTGGGTGTGGTAAATTTTTACCCTTCCAAAAATATCCTTCCTTTAATCTTAATCGTTAATTTAAAAAAAGAAGAAAGAGACAGGAGAGAGAGCGTATCCAAAGGCTATGAAGTGGGTTGTGAATCTGACAACCCCCTTAGAGGTTGTCACCATATCTCGTCCCGTCTTAAAATAATTGGTGAGTATCAGATGCTTAATTATCAAGTTTAGACTATATATATGTGAAGTGGGATGTTCTTAATTCAATCCAATTTATTTTCCTTGTGTTCCCCCTTTGATTCTTCATGAACATAGACCCAATTGACGGGATAGTTCATCACATAAATAGTTAGTACTTAACCTACGTCAATCAAAAGGATTTTTTTTTAACATAAAAGGGCAAAGTGTGTTATATAATATAGTCAAGGGACTAATTTGGGGTATCTTTTAATTTTAAGGGAGTTTTTTCAGTGCTAATTAAAAATGTCTTTCATGAGCATATGTATATATTTTTGTCAAAGATTTTCTTTTATGGAGTTGACATCACTAGTGACTGAAGAAATGTTTATCTCATTCTCTCAAATGGGTTTTTTAAGTTGATTAAGTGAGTTTCGCTTTTTATAGGATTTCAGTGTGTTTTAGTTTACGTTTAATTTAGGTGGCTCAACAATTTGTTAGCTTACTCGGCACACTCATCTTCCATGTCATAGAAAAATGACGATGTTAATGAAAACTGACAAAAATGGACGACTTATAATAAACGGTGAAAGGGCTACATGAAAGAAAATATTTATAAACGGAGTGACTAATGGTGTAATTCAGTCACTTTCATCCGAAATATGGGCTCAAGTGTAAGGCCTAGTTTGCAATGGTCCTTGGGCCCTCCCGCTGAAAGATGCCAGGTCTTGGAAACCCAAACACCATGCCAGAACCAGCTCTCATGGGCCGGCGAAGAAGTAGTTTTGCTAGGGGTAATTAGTTCAGCCCATTTTGACATCCAATATGGAGTGAATTGGCAGAAAAAAAATTCAAATTTTACGAGAAAATCAAAAGGCTAAATTATATGTTTTGTCCCTTACATTACATATTTTTTTTTTTACGTTTACTCTTCGAATTACTTTTTTTTCTTATTAGTCACTGACTTGACAAACCATTTCACTGTTAGTCACCAGCTGTCAGTCTCCATCAGACTTCGTTAACACCCGTAAGATTTTTTTTTATGTCGTATCAAACAAATAGCGCGGGTCAGAGCCTGTGCTTAAGCCTATAAGTTTAAGCATATGCTTAAAGCTCTCCTATTGGTCAATAGGAATTTAGTTAGTTAAAGGAAGGTAAGTGGTTAATAAGTTATTAAGGGTAAATAGGGTATTTTGGAAATATAATTAATATTAATAGTTAATACAAAAAAAAAGAGTTAAAATCCTAATCCATTTTCACCGTAACTCTAATCCAAAAGAGACCAACGTCAATTCCTCGCCGGCAACCGCTCAACCCCTCTCTCTCCTTGCGAAATATTTTAGGAGACACCGCCACTGAGAAAGAACTCTACGACAGCAACGCCATCCCACTATACGAGCCTCCACCATCCATCTGAGATAGAAGGAAGCTTCATCGCAACAGCCGCCATCCCAATCCAACTCAGTCGCAATCCCGAACCCAAGCCAACCACTAGTTTTTTTCATCTTTTCCGCCAATTTGACGTCGTCTCGCTTAATTTTGCCCCTGTCAGGCTACCACCGCACTCTCCATCGCCATGGAAAGTCATCTCACTCACGCTTCAATCTCGTCGACTGAGTTTGCGCTTCACCGTCGACGAGGAAGCTTCCTGCGAGGTTAATAATCATTAAAAAATGATGGAAAATCATTAATAATGATATCATAAAACATTGAATGTTATTTGAAAACAATAATAATGATATCATTAATAATATAATGCCTCAGCGTTGATAATGATATAATAAATGGATAAAACTTAATTCAAAAACATTGATAATACCTTGGGATGACGTTAATAGTAAATGTAAAATATAATAATTTGATAATATAATTATTCATTGACGTTGTGATATGGTAATTCATTGACAATCCTATTCCAAGCCTTAAAAACTTCAATTAAAAATTGATAATAACGTTCAAAACGTGAATAATGATGGTGCATAACATTGATAATTTTTTCATAAGCGTAGATAACGGTAACAAAATCGATAATATGCTTTCTCAATACGTTAATAAACTTGACTTGAAGATGTGAAAAGCTAATAATGATTCTTGCTATTATTGATAGTAGTTGAGGCCTGGAATTAAGATGTACGTTTAAAAAAGTTGATAATGGATGAGATATTGTTAATGAATGGGAGAAAACATGCTATATGGAAACATTAATAAGTATTCGACATTTTGAAAGTTTATATTGTGACGTAAATTGTTAAAATATATCTTGTTATTATTAACGATTTCATCATATTTATCAATACTTTAATATTATATGAGTTTGCATTGAAACGTTGTAATGACACTATTTATTATTCATATTTAAACTGTTGGCATTAAAAGTACAAGTAAAATTATTGATTTTTTTTTTTTTTTGCAAAAAGGGAGGCAAAAGCCGAGAACAGAGGTACAAGGGGAGAGCTAAGACAAAGAGTGAGAATGGGTACTACCCATGGTACTGGTACATGTTATGAATAACTATCTTCTCAAAATGTAGATAACGATATACAAATTATTTATAACTTGTGTTTCACTTAAAATGCAACAAAAAATCATTGATAATGATCAAATCTAATGGTCGTCAACCATATTGCGTCTCCATCTCCGACGCACATGAAAGTAAAATCATTGATAATGATTAGAACTAATTGTTAATAATGTAACACCAATTTATTGATAACTCCCTTCGGAAACCTTGATAATGATGATGTCATGAATAACTATCATGTATTTTGTTGATACAGCAACCAATAACTTCGATAATGATCGCAATTAAACATCATTATACTTTCTAGATATTACTAATACATTATGTGTCAAATATTTATAATGACATTAAAAATCGTTAAAACTGAGATGTTTTTTTTTGTTAACACAATCCACTTAAAATTTTAATGGTGTCATTAAAAACAACTTGTATTGCAAAACTGTTGATAACGATAGCATACCTCGGTAATAATAACCATAGGTTTTATTACTAATTCGAAGAACAAAATTAGATGATGATGTATAAAGCCATAAAAATTAAAAACTACCCTAAGATTTATTGATAGTTCAACGAAAGAGCGTTACTAATGGTGTCATTAAAAATTTTTTGTTAACACAATCCACTTAAAATTTTAATGGTGTCATTAAAAACAACTTGTATTGCAAAACTGTTGATAACGATAGCATACCTCGGTAATAATAACCATAGGTTTTCTTAATTCAATCCAATTTATTTTCCTTGTGTTCCCCCTTTGATTCTTCATGAACATAGACCCAATTGACGGGATAGTTCATCACATAAATAGTTAGTACTTAACCTACGTCAATCAAAAGGATTTTTTTTTAACATAAAAGGGCAAAGTGTGTTATATAATATAGTCAAGGGACTAATTTGGGGTATCTTTTAATTTTAAGGGAGTTTTTTCAGTGCTAATTAAAAATGTCTTTCATGAGCATATGTATATATTTTTGTCAAAGATTTTCTTTTATGGAGTTGACATCACTAGTGACTGAAGAAATGTTTATCTCATTCTCTCAAATGGGTTTTTTAAGTTGATTAAGTGAGTTTCGCTTTTTATAGGATTTCAGTGTGTTTTAGTTTACGTTTAATTTAGGTGGCTCAACAATTTGTTAGCTTACTCGGCACACTCATCTTCCATGTCATAGAAAAATGACGATGTTAATGAAAACTGACAAAAATGGACGACTTATAATAAACGGTGAAAGGGCTACATGAAAGAAAATATTTATAAACGGAGTGACTAATGGTGTAATTCAGTCACTTTCATCCGAAATATGGGCTCAAGTGTAAGGCCTAGTTTGCAATGGTCCTTGGGCCCTCCCGCTGAAAGATGCCAGGTCTTGGAAACCCAAACACCATGCCAGAACCAGCTCTCATGGGCCGGCGAAGAAGTAGTTTTGCTAGGGGTAATTAGTTCAGCCCATTTTGACATCCAATATGGAGTGAATTGGCAGAAAAAAAATTCAAATTTTACGAGAAAATCAAAAGGCTAAATTATATGTTTTGTCCCTTACATTACATATTTTTTTTTTTACGTTTACTCTTCGAATTACTTTTTTTTCTTATTAGTCACTGACTTGACAAACCATTTCACTGTTAGTCACCAGCTGTCAGTCTCCATCAGACTTCGTTAACACCCGTAAGATTTTTTTTTATGTCGTATCAAACAAATAGCGCGGGTCAGAGCCTGTGCTTAAGCCTATAAGTTTAAGCATATGCTTAAAGCTCTCCTATTGGTCAATAGGAATTTAGTTAGTTAAAGGAAGGTAAGTGGTTAATAAGTTATTAAGGGTAAATAGGGTATTTTGGAAATATAATTAATATTAATAGTTAATACAAAAAAAAAGAGTTAAAATCCTAATCCATTTTCACCGTAACTCTAATCCAAAAGAGACCAACGTCAATTCCTCGCCGGCAACCGCTCAACCCCTCTCTCTCCTTGCGAAATATTTTAGGAGACACCGCCACTGAGAAAGAACTCTACGACAGCAACGCCATCCCACTATACGAGCCTCCACCATCCATCTGAGATAGAAGGAAGCTTCATCGCAACAGCCGCCATCCCAATCCAACTCAGTCGCAATCCCGAACCCAAGCCAACCACTAGTTTTTTTCATCTTTTCCGCCAATTTGACGTCGTCTCGCTTAATTTTGCCCCTGTCAGGCTACCACCGCACTCTCCATCGCCATGGAAAGTCATCTCACTCACGCTTCAATCTCGTCGACTGAGTTTGCGCTTCACCGTCGACGAGGAAGCTTCCTGCGAGGTTAATAATCATTAAAAAATGATGGAAAATCATTAATAATGATATCATAAAACATTGAATGTTATTTGAAAACAATAATAATGATATCATTAATAATATAATGCCTCAGCGTTGATAATGATATAATAAATGGATAAAACTTAATTCAAAAACATTGATAATACCTTGGGATGACGTTAATAGTAAATGTAAAATATAATAATTTGATAATATAATTATTCATTGACGTTGTGATATGGTAATTCATTGACAATCCTATTCCAAGCCTTAAAAACTTCAATTAAAAATTGATAATAACGTTCAAAACGTGAATAATGATGGTGCATAACATTGATAATTTTTTCATAAGCGTAGATAACGGTAACAAAATCGATAATATGCTTTCTCAATACGTTAATAAACTTGACTTGAAGATGTGAAAAGCTAATAATGATTCTTGCTATTATTGATAGTAGTTGAGGCCTGGAATTAAGATGTACGTTTAAAAAAGTTGATAATGGATGAGATATTGTTAATGAATGGGAGAAAACATGCTATATGGAAACATTAATAAGTATTCGACATTTTGAAAGTTTATATTGTGACGTAAATTGTTAAAATATATCTTGTTATTATTAACGATTTCATCATATTTATCAATACTTTAATATTATATGAGTTTGCATTGAAACGTTGTAATGACACTATTTATTATTCATATTTAAACTGTTGGCATTAAAAGTACAAGTAAAATTATTGATTTTTTTTTTTTTTGCAAAAAGGGAGGCAAAAGCCGAGAACAGAGGTACAAGGGGAGAGCTAAGACAAAGAGTGAGAATGGGTACTACCCATGGTACTGGTACATGTTATGAATAACTATCTTCTCAAAATGTAGATAACGATATACAAATTATTTATAACTTGTGTTTCACTTAAAATGCAACAAAAAATCATTGATAATGATCAAATCTAATGGTCGTCAACCATATTGCGTCTCCATCTCCGACGCACATGAAAGTAAAATCATTGATAATGATTAGAACTAATTGTTAATAATGTAACACCAATTTATTGATAACTCCCTTCGGAAACCTTGATAATGATGATGTCATGAATAACTATCATGTATTTTGTTGATACAGCAACCAATAACTTCGATAATGATCGCAATTAAACATCATTATACTTTCTAGATATTACTAATACATTATGTGTCAAATATTTATAATGACATTAAAAATCGTTAAAACTGAGATGTTTTTTTTTGTTAACACAATCCACTTAAAATTTTAATGGTGTCATTAAAAACAACTTGTATTGCAAAACTGTTGATAACGATAGCATACCTCGGTAATAATAACCATAGGTTTTATTACTAATTCGAAGAACAAAATTAGATGATGATGTATAAAGCCATAAAAATTAAAAACTACCCTAAGATTTATTGATAGTTCAACGAAAGAGCGTTACTAATATTGTCAGATACGGATTTTGAATCTCTAATTATGCAACGAATAAAGCATGCAATAAAATTAACAACCATCAAACGATTTATTAATAATTCAACGAAAGCAAGTTACCAATCATGCTATGCAAATCCGAAATTTGAAACCCTAAACACGCAAAGCATGAATAATACAAAAGCAATCGATGGACACCACAAAGAAAATCAGTGACGCACTACGAGTTCACCGCCAAACTGGATAACGACAACACAAAGAAAGCCGAGACTGATCGTAGACGCTAGATGGACGGACGACGACCAAAAGCAACGTATATGCTAAGACAATAGAAATCGACGATACTAAGGACGACGAGTTCATCGCCAAACTGAACGACAACGACGCAAAGAAATCGGGGGTTGGTTGCCGGCGGTAGCTAGTGGACGTCGATGGTAGTTTTACCAACATGGAGAGCAGTGTCCTGGCAGCAACCACAACCGCGAGACGATCATGTACTCGTCGACAGTGAAGAGTAGGCTATAGATGTGGCTGGAAACGAACGGACCGGCCAGCAGCCGTCGGAAGCTTGAAGGAGGGAGGGAGAATATAATCCGTCGGAAAGAAGAGAGAGTTTGAGGGAGGGAGAAACGAACAGGCAGAAAATAAACCTAAAACCTCTAATTTAGGTTAAGTTTTTAAATGATTAAAATCTCCTAATTGCCCTTAACTTACAAATAACTACTATTAACCATAAACTAATTATTAATTACTTAAAATCCTATCATCCAATAGGAGAAGTTTAAGAATCTCCTTAACCTTTTGGGCTTAAGCACAGGAACTCAGGCCCAAATAGCGCCAAAGTTTTCATCTCAAATGAATTTCTACTTTCTCCCCATCTTGAGTGAAGATGAGTTAGTAAAGCTAAGCATTTGAGTTGGTTTGTAAGTCGTAACTATTGCAAAATAAGACTTGATCTAGTGGTTTTACACAACTGGTTATTAGATTTCATGTTCCAATTTCAGAATAAACTCTACATTTCGGCCGTCATCTTTAGTAGCATGTAAAAAAAAAGCAATCGAAATTATTCATCAATAATTAAATAAAAAGTGAGTTGTGATTAGGTTAGTAGGTTAGGTATGCATTTACTATTGAACCCAAGTTCAAAAACACCCAACTAACATTTTCAAAATGGAAGTGGAAGTTGGGGAAAAGAGAGTGAAAGAATTGTGTCATCCACCGGAAGTTCATAATTCGTTTTCATCCTTCCACATACAACACATTCAACCATACTAAGAATTAATCTTCTCATATCAAATATCCCAAAAAAAAAAACCCCAAAACTAAAATTGGGTCCTTCAAATTTATGCCAGAAGTTTGTAAATGATACAAACAAGTACAGAAGAAAAAACCATATTCAAAGTTTTTGGATCCTCGCCTTTCAGTCAGAGTACAATACAAGTACAACAAACATTCCTAACCGGCTTTTCTTTACATCTCCGCAGCCACACGCTTGTACAAGTGAGAAGGCAGCCGCGGAGTAGCCGTCGCCATCACCGGCGTCCGCATGTAAGTCACCAACCCGGGATTCTCCGACATGTCGATTTCCTCCGGCTTAACCCCTTCCGGCGGACTCCACTGGAAATGGTGCAACAAATGACCCAACATCGAAGTCACCAAGTTGATCCCCAGCTGCGCCCCGGGGCAAACCCGCCTCCCCGCGCCAAACGGCAGCAGCCGGAAATCGTGCCCCTTCATGTCAACGTCCTCTTCCATGAACCTCTCCGGCCTGAACTCCAACGGGTCCTTCCACACCGCCGGATCACGCGCCACTGCCCACACGTTGACGTGGACGTTCGATCCCTTAGGGACATCGTAGCCGCCGATCTTGACGTTGGCGTTGGACCGGTGGGGGAGCATTAGAGGGGTCGGAGGGTGCAGCCTGAGTGACTCCTTGACGACGCACTGGAGGTATTGTAGGCTCGAGAAGTCGGACTCGGTCATGATCCGTTCGAACCCGATGACACGGTCCATCTCGTCGTGGAGCTTCTGCTGGACCCTCGGGTGCTTGATGATCTCTGCCATCGCCCACTCCGACGAGATCGCTGTCGTGTCCATTCCTGCCGTGATCATGTCCTGCAACGTTTCAAAATTTTCAATAACACAGTCTATGGTTCTATGCCCTCCATTACACTACTAGAGGAGCTAATCAAACAATCCAATTGACAGTTTCTTTGAGGGGAAAAACCAAACTTGACGAAGATAATCAAAACAACCATCATTTAGCTAATCCAAACATCAATCTTTAGTTAGTGTGAAGTGAAGGAAGCTTGGATTCAGCAAGAGAAAAAAACGTACCCAGAGAAGTCCGATGATGGTGTCCTCGCTGAGATCGTACTTCTCCTTCAACGTGAGCAACGCATCGACGAAATGCTGCTTCGTATCCCCACTCTTCTTGCGAGCCTCGGTGTGCTCCTCCATGATCGCCCGAGTTAGTCCATCCCTACGTGCACCGTGCTGCGCGAACGCGCCTTCCTCCAGGGGGAACATCCATCGCAGCCACTCGATGTGCTCCGCCATCGAAAGGGACGCTCCCAGCTTGAGCCCGTTCGACACGATCGCCTTGAACTCGAGCCCTTGCTCGTCCATCACTCCCTCCGAGTTCACGAACCTCTTCCCGAACGCCAGCCGGGTTATGTTGTTGAACGCCACCGCGCCCAAGTACTTCTTCACTTGCAAGCTCTTCTCTGCCAAAATTAGGACCACCCCAAAATCAGGGAAACGGCAAATTCTAATTCTTTCACTCTCACTGCCTCACCATTGAAAAAAAATGGTCTACTGGTCGATTCAAAGGTTCGAATTCGTCGTGATAGAGCCACCATACCGGCGTGATCTCTAATAAAACACGCAGGATAAGATTCACAAACCCACCTAACCCTAACTAACACATAAACAGGGGAGCAATTATATTCAATTCAATTCTCGTCCCTAATTACTAATTGAAGGAGATAAGGGTTAAGTTAACGAACCGGAATCGGAGCAGTCGCGATAAACGGACTCGACCATGGCGGTGACCTCATCCTCCCTAATCGGCCTCAGCCCTTCCAATCTCTTGGGAGTGAAAAGCTCCAGGGTACACACCTTCCTCACCTTCACGTAGTGTGGGCCGTAGTCGGCCCAGATCAGATCCTGGCCGTCTCGGCTGAACTTGGCCGCCGACCTGCTCCGGTGCCGGTCCGCGAGCTGCTGGTCGTGCTCCTTCAGGACCTCTTTGACGAGCGCGGTGCTGGAGACGACGACGTTGAGGGTGGAGCCGAACCAGACGGAGATGATGGGGCCGTACTGGTCCGCCCAGTCGGCGAAGCAGCGGAACCGGACCGGCTTGATGTCGTAGAGGTTGCCGACGACGGGGAGCGGGCGGGGGCCCGGGGGGAGCTTGAATCGGAGGCGGTAGAGTAGGGAGTAGAGTAATGGAAGGGAGGCGAAAAGGGAGACGACTATTAGGATCAGGCTGAGCGCCATGCCGGCGGCGGGAGAATCTCGGATTCGATTTATGAAGGTGGAGGAGGAAATTGGAAATGGCGGATTTTGTTGAGAGGTGGAGTGGGGTTGACAGTTGACTTGACACAAGCAAAATGCAAAGCAGCTTCCTTCTTACCAAATCCTCTCCAACCTTATTTCAGCCCACATTATGATTGCAGAACCCACTGCCTCAGCCCACAGTTCTCTTGCACAGTCTCTCCGAACCAGTTCGAGGAACCACACTAAACTCTAAACCCTTAAAAGACCGGGGGTTGATCGAGTTAATACCGAAAAACAAGCTCCGAGGAGCACATTGTTAGTCTCCGAGTTCACGAGTAAAGCTGACCGACGACCCACGAAATCAGAGTCTACACTGGATACGAAGATTGGGCACCAGGACGACGAGCAGGTCATCTCGAGCAACTAGCATTATATCTACGAGGAAAAGGATCGGAGGTATACTTGCACACGTAGATTTTGTTCAACTAACTTGCACGCTACCATCGTCCTACCTCTAGAAAACAAACCACAAAACACAACAGAGCGCGCAAGCACGACGGACGACGAACAACGCTAAAACTAGAACTCGAGACGTTTAGGATGAGGAGGTTGTGAGTAGCTGAGTAATGCTCGAAACGCTACCAGTTGATTTCCGAGATTCTCCAATGTAAGCAAACGAACTTGGAGGATCTGCTAGGAGTTGTGTGCAGATTGCTAAAGACAATTCTGACAAAACCAGGCAAAAGACTACCACAATCCACCTTCTGCTCAATCAATCAATCACAGAGAGCAGTATTGCAACTTCAATCCATGCCTGGGTAAAAGCTTAAACGAACCTGAATAAGTAACCTTGTTCTTGAGAAACCGTACCCTCCAGAGAGGATATGGAGATTCTTTACTTGCTGTAATCTCCCCCATCGATGCTGAAAACTACAAGGGAAGGAGGACTGGTTCATGAAGAAACAGAGTTTTCAGCTGGCTTAGGAAGAAAGCTCAGCCATTGATTGGTTCCGATAAACATGAAACCAAATCGACCCTTTTTCGATCCCTTTTACAAATGCCATTCATTCATATCTAATCATTAAATCGAACCCACTAGCCGACTACCTCTCTTCACCTCATTATTGGATCGTCATTCATATCTAATTAATACTAATGACTGACCTCGTTACAGAATTAGATCGAGGAAACAGCAGAACCCACCAACAGCTCCTCCTCCTCCAACCCGTCGCAATCGAACCCACATCCGCACTGCGGGCTCTCGTAAAACCCATCGAGGGGGAACCCAGCGGAGGCTATCCCGACGGAGAACTGCATCTGGTCGCCGGAGTGAACGACCTCGACGATGTTGAGCCAGATGAACAAGATGTGCACCTTCACGCCTTCCAGATTGCTGATCTTCCCAGTGGTCACCACGCCGCTGACCGTCGTCCCGTACTCCAGCTCGTACGAATCGATCTTGAACTTGCAGGTCGCCGGCAGGTAGAGCTCGAACTTCCCGGTTTCGCGGTCGATCTTGTATCCGGTGACTCCCTTGGGCAGGATCCCAACCGGGAAGTCGTACTGCTGCAGGACCTGGTAGGCGGAGAGGCTGCTGCTGTTGCCGCCTCCCGTATCGTCTCCGGGGAGAGTGGAGGCGGTGTTGACGGAGAAGAGACTGGCGAGGATTAGTGCCCAAATCGTGTAGGAAGACGCCATTCTTTCGAGGGTTTGGGGGAAGCTGGAGGAGAAGTAAACCGATGGATTCAGTTCAGTGACGGATGATGACCGATGGAGAAATAAAGTATTATCTTTATTTTGTTAATTTATTTACGGCCCAAATATGGCTAGTCCACTCGTTGGGCTCATAACGGGCTTTGAAGTGGGGCTACCAGATTGTGGATTGCATTGCTTCGACTTGGACCACAAAGTCCAAGCTGACCGACCCAATAACCAAAACAGGGATGAATTTGCTGCTCTTCACTCTTCAAGGTATGGTGTATAACCGTGTGCAGCCGGTTCGAACTCATGAAAATTGCGGTTTAATAGAGAAAGATATTTTATGGTCAAGGATCATATCATCATTGAATTTGCTTCAATTTGGTGCGGTTTGGTCGAGTTCAAATGTCATTTCGATCCATTTATATTTTGCATTTATTAGACGAAGGACTGAATCATATTATATTTTATTCGATATGGTCCAAGCCAAATATCAATTTGATCGGGTGCGATCAAACACGAAAAAAATTATTATAAACTTGTAGTCACAACAGAGAGAAAGGACATTTAAGAAATTCTTTCATATATTCATCGTATTATATCTTTTGAATTTAACAATGCACAACTTTCAAACGATAGAATTAGCATATATTTTCCTTTCCGCTTCCTTTTAATCGTGTTTCAACTAAGTTAAATTATTCACATCAACCACGATTTTCTCTAAGGAAAAAGGAACACTAAGTCTAATCTTGATCTAGAGCTAAATCTGTACACTCTTCTATCTTCAACATCTACAAGTTGGTTTTCTCCATTGCTTCCAACTCAAGTCATAGCATTGTCTCACAGGATCATCGGCAAGCCATAGTTATTGAAAGTGGAAATCTTTCCATCCCAACTTCCAGTCACAATCACCATCCCCCAAGTCGCCGGCGCATCAAACCACTTCGGTTTCCGATCCACCGCACCATCGTCCCAACCGGGAAGCCTCTCCTCGGGCCACGTGGCAGCAGACGACGAGTTCCCCCGACGTCCACCCTCCATGAATCTGCGCCAATTTGCAAGCGAAAATCTATCCATGTCTTTGGAAGCCCTCCTACCACCACCCTGGCCGGTGCCTTTCTGGCCAAGGAACCTGCCTTGACTCCCACTATCACCAACTTCACCACCACTGCTCTTGTTGCTTCCGGGCCAAGGCACAGCAACAGAGACACCTTGCGAGGAGAAATGCTCGAAGGACTGTTCGGATTTGATGTGTTTGGAGTGGACAGGGCTACCACCACCGCCATAGAAGCTGCCTTGGTCGTTGTAGTTCCAGACATAGACTTGACAGTCATCTCCAACCGAGATTATGTGTTTCCCTGTTGATGTGAAGGAAGCCGACATCTGGTTCCCTGATCTTGGGAGCCCTGTCATTAGATAACATAGATTAATCAGTATTTTAGTCTAATGACTGACCAGTGACCACCCAGATGCCACATCAGCTAATCGAGTACATTGGAACGAGATTCGAGGTGCATAGTTAGTTTAACTGTATGGAGAGATTAGATTATCCATCCCATTGGGGAAAAGATTGTGTCTTTGCATGCAGACTACTGAATTAGTAAATGTTGGTTAGGGTTCAAGCATCAGATTCAGAACTATATGACTCATCAGTGTGTGTTCTCCAAGAAATACAGCTGTAGAAAGTTTCAGTTGGATGTATGCATTGGATGTGGAAAGTTTAATATTGTATAGTTACTGAGATGGAAGGTTTAAGTGATTTTTTTTTTACCTTTAAACTTGTGGATGAGGTCAAAGCCATCGAATATTCTGACTTTGGAATCTTCAGAAGTGATCATAACTTTTGGTGCCTTTTCCTGGGAAAACTGCAGAATATGGAAAGATAGATCTGGTTTAGATCTGTGATGTTTATGGCTTTTTGCAGCACTGAAAGAGAGCTTGGAGTTCAAGTTTGAGCAGACCTGAATGCCCGTGATTCTATTGCCGGATGTTCTCTTTCTTCCTTGTATACGAATCTCTGCCTCTAGTTGCAGATCATTGGCTGCATTTGTTGAAACTCAGTTAAGAGAGCTAATCTCCAACAAGAAAGGAACCAACTTTTAATGGAATATAACGAAGGACTTGTTTGTAATCGTTTCGAATTCCGGGGACCAAAAAGTGCATCAATCCAAGAACAGACTTGACAATGGAGCTCTATTGCAGAAAAGGGTTATGTATGTACCTGATACTTCATAGAAGCGGCATCTGCCTCGAATCGAGCCAACTACAAATCCCTTGCCATCTGGTTTATAACATACGGAAGATATGGCATCTCGAACATCAGCCCACTCGATGACTCGTGCCTCGTGCACCCCCCATATTCGAACTTTCCCATCGATTGATCCGCTGATGAAGTAGTTCTCATTCACAGGATTGAATTGGATACATGTCACTGTTTTCAAAATCATACCAAAACTGGTAAATGAATTGTATGGTATAGTTAAAGCTAATGCTAATTAGTCTTATGTTCCTCATGAACTCACCATAGTTACGATGGTGGAAAACATTGAGGCAGTCGTTGCAGCCAACTTGCCACAATCTAACAGTTTTGTCCTTTGAAGAAGACAGCAGCAACTGCAAAAGAAACCAGAAGAGAAAAACATGTCAAGATTCAGTCAACCAAGGTGAGTTTCCTACTTTGGTAATGAAATGAAAATTTGAAAGCTTTTTCATTTCTCAATTGTCTTACATTTGAGCTTGACCATGCCAAGTCAAGAACATCACTCGAATGGCCACGAAACTCGTGCACCGGTGACTCTTCGATTCTGAAAACCATCTCAGGAATCACAATGGAAGGATGATGATGAAGCTGGCCGCCACCCTTCTTCAAACCAACCCCGGGAAGCTTGGAATCAGCAGGAGCTGTTCCAACTTGCCAAATTCGAATGATGCCATCTTCTCCACCAGTCGCCAAGTACTTGCCGTCATGGCTGAACTTCATTGTCCAAATGAATCCCTTGTGAGCTTGGATTTCTTGCTCTACAAACAACCCACTGAGCTCCATGTAATTCTTCTTGTTGCACTTCACTTTGGCCAATCTGCTGCTTGCCTTGGAAACCAAGTCATTACTGCTAACCTCTTGATCATCCCTCTTCTTGTTGTTCACAAACTGCTTCCAGCTCCAACGTCTCTTTATCTTCTCGACATTCCCTTTCTGAGATGTCGAAACCTGACCTTCCGAGCTCTCGCTCACACTACCTGGTTTCCTTCCCACAAACTCCTCCTCTTCTTCCAAATCATCATCAGCCATGGAATTAGCTTCAGAACAACTCTCCCTCCCAAAACAAACCAAACTACTTATCTCATCTCCATCGGTGCAAGAACTCGACGAACATTCAGCATTACTGCTCTCATAAACCCTCTCCGACAACTCCAACCCAACAATTTCTTCCTCACCGCCATTGCTGCTCATTGAAGAGCCACTCACGTCATTTGAAAGACCCATTTGGGACATGAAATTTTGGCGCCTTCTCTCAACACTCTGAGGCTCACTCATCCAAATCTCAAACCCAAATCCCTCTCCTAACGACATTTGATCACTTCCTACTTCCTGAGAGATTAGCACTTCTCCACAACCTGAAAACAAACAAGAAAATGCCCCCCCCCCCCCTCAATGTCACAAATCAAATTAGAGGAAAAAGCTTAACAAATAGCAAACTCTCCTTATAACAGCAAACACCAATCCCTACAAAATTCCCAGAGTTCACGGCCCGAGTTCTCCTCCCATTACCACATTATAAAAATGGAAACTTCCAACTGTGGGAAGCATTAAAAAACTCAACAAACATGGGCAAGTACTAGGAACCATATATTCAGAATCAAACAACCAATGGGATTATGGCAGGAGATCAAATCAGGAGCTTCAAAATGTGGGCGGGAATTGGGAATAATAAAGAAATTGGAAAGGGGAAGGGAAGCAGGAAGCCACTAAACTCGGCTAAATGACAAGAAGAGAGAACAATTATGGGGGAAAGGGTAAATGGAGAAGGAGAACAAAGTAGAGACTCCTCCTAGTACCTTGGTTTCCATCCAAAGCAACTAATCAAAAGCTCGTCCGATTTTGTGGCACCGACCTCCCCGTAATTGCTGGGCTTAATGAGCTAAGCTAACACCTCATCAAAATTGGAGGGGAAGTCAACATTTTTCTTCTTCTTCCCCACACGGGCAGCTGAGATGATAATATAAACAAACAAAAAGGTTGGGTTTTTACGCTTCAGCTTTGCTCTAAGTGCTCTGTATATTGTAAAACGAAACAGAGAGAGAAGGAGATAATGGCGGAGGAAATGAAGCGAGAGAAGAACGAACAAAGAGGAGAAGAAGGTGCAGTGAACAAGCGATTGGGGGTTGAGTTGAAAAAGGTTTGGGAATGTGCCCCCGACGAATTAAATGACTATTGAACAAATGTCAATATCACAAAACGGTAGATGAGAGATCAGGAGGCAAAAGGGTCTCGAGATCTGGTAAAGGGAGAAGGGACGAGAACCCAGAAAAATAAAATGGAGAAGGAAGAAGAAGGTATGTTCCTTTTTTACTCTGTTTTGTGGGGATAATGGCAGAGCAGAGAAAAGGGGGAAGAAATCCCAGTTTTTTCCGAATCAAAGGGGGAAACGGGGATATGCATATGATTGTTTCCCTAGTTGAATCTGATTTTGATTAATCAGAAACCCAAAATTGGGGGGAAATGAAATGGGTAACTAACCCTGTGGGATTCGAATTAAGGGAAGCAATAAAGTCGAGCTTCTAAAAAGGGCATTAATGGCGGCAAACAAACAAAACAGAGCAACAACACATACATTCAATTTTGACAAAAAGAGAGCAAGGGATAGGCTCAGCAACAGCAAGCAGCAAAACAATTAATCAGACAGCTACAATGTGATAGCTGCAGCTGGTGGTGGTGGTTCTCTGTCTATGGAACAGTAATGGTGTTAATGAAGGGAGACAGAGAAACAACAAAGCAGCCCAGACCAGCAGGCAGACAATTTCCCATTGGCAAGGAAAGCGATTTCCTTTTAGTAAAACTGCTGCTGCTGTTGCTACTTACTACTCACTTTTGAGCTTGGGGGATTGTGTGTGTTTGTGTTTTCTTTCTTGCCTTCGTTTTTTGACAGAAATGGTTGCAGAAAGAAAAGGGACCTTCTTTAGTGCAACGCTGATATAGATTAGAGGGTGGCTATGGCTAGTTTCCTGCAAATGAGGCTACCAGAACAGTTCTTGGGTTCTGGAGGGAAGGGTTTTTGTTGTTTGTTTGTGTTTTTCTATTTCTTTCTTTTGTTTGTTTGGTTTCTGTTGGATTTGGGAGGTGAAAGATAAGGGTAAGTAAGGAAAGGAATGAGACTATGAGAGTAACTTGTGAGTTTTAGGAATTGGTTAGATGGTAAAAATGTATTGTTTTCAATTGTGTGTTTTTCTTTCCTTTCTTGTAAATATATTCATGTTATCAATGAAAAATACAAAATCGCTAAAGCTGCGATATAAAAAAAAACAAGATTGAGAGAAGAACAAAAATATAATGGAAGTACTTGCAAGTTTCAGTTGGCCATAATATTATAACAGTCTTATTTGTTGATTGACTGACGACACGAAATAAATAGACAAAGCATCGCATAAGTTACACCAAAGACTAAAGAGACCCATATGTCTAGTAGCAAAAACACCTCTAGCTCGATCTCACGTTTCATGGCAAAAAAATCTAAGGTAAAAAAAAACTTATGAGTCTCTCTCAATCACTGTAGTGAAATTACTACGCATACATCTTTTGGCCAAATATGTCTTCATACTTCTAATAAAGAACTAGATAAATGAATTTATCTCGAGTTCGATATCTTGCACCCTTTTCCATCTTACAAAACTTTAGGGGTGAACAAACACACCCGCAAACCGACCCACCCGTCCAACTCGACCCAACCCACCCGTATTTATCGCTAAATCGAAGATTTTGGGTTGGGTGAGGGTTTTCTTTTGTACAACCCGCCTCTTTTGGGTTGGGTTTGGATTTTGGATTACACAACCCGTAGAACCCGACCCAACCCGTGTTCCAAGTTTAAAAGAATATCATATTATGGATGCGTTCATTTGTAACCTTTTTAGCCTATTTCAACAAATGTCGTGAAAAAAACTAGACATAAGTTGAAGTAAATCAAGTTTTACTAAACTTCAAACAATATTTGTGAATTTTGATACCTTTCACCTCGGTTTATTCGTTTGAAATTTTTAATTAGTTATACAATATTTTTATGATGTAGAATAATTACATATTTTGTGTTGGGTTGGGTTTTTACTTAAAAATATCGCCAACCCGACCCAACCCAATTAGAAACAAACTGTAGGGTTTAGATTTTTTTGGGTGGGTTTGGGTTTCATATTTCCCAAACCGTAGTGCATGGATCGGGTGATTAAAATGTCTAAACCCGAACCACCCGACCCATGTACACCCCTACAAAACTTTCACAAGCCATATAAAAGGATGTCATTTGGGTTTTAACTCCCACTTTTTGTATTGCATGTACCAATTACTATGCATCCACCATATGCATCTTTCTCTTTACTTCCCTTCTTTCCTCATTTCTGCTCATTTTATGGGCAAATTGGCATTGTAAAATCGATGTGCAAAAGGGTCGGTTTAAGGTCTCATATCTAGGCTAGTAATGTAAACATCCAAATCCATTGCATGAAATCTTGAAAGGACGTATCTACAAGGATCCGAAGCTTTGGTAAAGGGGATATGAAGTTGTAGGGTATGGTAGATATCAAATCTATGGATTTTAATGACATTTTTCCAATAAATTTTGTACTATGGCCATGCTTCCACGGTGTCCACTTGCGCAAACCCAATTGCATTAAAAAATATTACATGATGGATTGTTGTACTAAATATATAGGTAATCGATTTTTATTTATAGCTTACAAATTTTGTTTTGGATGAACGAAAAGGTTAGAGAGATGTTAGCTTTTATCGATACTCGACGTAACTATATAGAGCGACGAAATAGATGTTGATTGCATTTCCACAAAAAAAAAAAAAAAATCAATTTCATCGAAGAAATATTCAATTGCTAACTTCATGTAACATGACGTGTCTCATGTTTAGAGTTAAACTGACATAAGCACGAGCACACTATAATACATTTAGCGGGCTTGTTAATTGCGAACCATCCATCAAAATAAACCACTAGGACAATCGGTTGATGATTCTGCTGCTCGGACCAATCGATAAAACGACAAGCATCTGAACCACTACTAACTCTCTCACTACTTCAACTTCTTAGACATAACATATAGGTTGAGTTTATATAATGGATTGGTGAAGTTAATGTTATATTGTTACTAGAAGATTTCATCCACAAGCTACCAACCCAGAAAGAAATCCATAGTGGGCAGAGAAATCATGGAAGATTCTCTGGATTTTACCCTGTATAGCCGAAAAATGACAAAATGGGAAAATAAACAAAGAAAAACTTGAGTATCGTAAATGAAATTCATTAATTTTTACTCTTGTTTTTTTTTTTTTTGCTGAAAATGGAAATCAGATGGGTGGCAGGAAGAAGATTTGGGATCTGCAGTACCAAAATTAAAATCTCTGTCATAATTTTTTTTTGGTTCTTTTGCATAATCTGATGAATAATAATAATAATTATTATTTTCAGAGGAATATAACAAAAACTATTTTGTTTTGGTACGGAAATTGGGCTCGTGTGATGTCCGCCCGCCGGTGACTGCTGTGCTGTACGGTCGAGGACGTGAGTGACTGATGGCTGACGCCGACGGTGGCCCAGCAGCCCATTAAGGGCCCAAATGTCTTTCTTTCTTTTTTGGGTTTGTTTTGCACTTTTGCTCCTTCTTTTGAGTCAAGTGACGCTATCTTATTCGGCTCACATTTGGGCCTTCTGATCAAAGGGGAAAAGAAACAAAACTATCCATCTTTGGTTCAAATTGAACTTCATCGTCATGCCAAGCTAGAAGGAAAGATCAAAGACGCACAGAAGAGGCAGCTCTTAGACCAACCGAACCGAAACTAAAACCTAATCATATCCGGTTGAAACCTAACCGAACCCTCAACTACGCTCAAACCGAGTTGGGAACGCTGCTTTCTAGTGCAGTATTGTACATCACGACTCTCTGTCGGCAGCAACTGAAGACGCACATTCTGAATTGTGTGTTGATGTAACATTTTTTTTTTTTTTTGCAAATGAGTTGTTACTTGTAATTAATGTATTCATCCTACTTTGTATACGTAGTTGTAGTTCACCTCCCGATCTTCAACCTCGAGGCAAATCGTGGCGTAAATTTTGCATGCATATGCTGTTTACTTAACGTCTATGCATATATAGACCAATGTTTTTTTTTTCATTTTCAATTTTATAAGAGTTGAATTCGTTTAGCATTTGTGGTGTAGTGGTTAAGATTTAAGAAGCCGTGTCACTAATACTTGTCGACCTCGATGAGCATGTAGTGTTTCATTTATACATATTACTAACAAAGTAGAGGAGTAAAAAAACCATACAATCTTACTTTAAATTTCGCATTTGAAAAAGAATCAACATCATCTACGAAAAAGACAAACACGAAGAAGATCGAACGGAAGGATGAGGTATGGATGAAGGGATTTCAATTGTATACTAACCTCAAAGGATAACCTGCAGGATCATCATTGCTTCGTGTAAGCTTTGTTCTTGGAGTTTCCTTAAGCCAACAAAATGGATCTTCTCTCTCTATATCTCTCTACTATCTCTGTTTCTCTCACTCTAAAACTGCACAGAAATGCAGTGGCCAGGGTGGGGATTTCCTTCAGAGTTTATACAAGAAGAAGTGGACCTTAATATTAAAAATGATTAAGAAATGATTGATTAATTAACCAAATGAAATGGGGATTTGATTATTTATTGGTGGCCAAAGGAGCCACGTACGATTAGTAACCTGCACAAAATATATGTCTGTGTGGGTGATGATCTCTTGTTGTTAGGGACGGATCTCAGGCTGATTAAATTAATTAACGAATTCCCACTGCTTTTTTATTATAAATATTTTGTTTAATTGCTGGTTTTAGTGGGGAAGTAGGTATCTATAATGTCTTAATCATGGGATCAGGTGTCTCTCCCAATCTGATTCTGTCCAGCTCATTTGGCTTTCTGGGGTACAAATTGTTTATGAAACCAGTAATTACATGTTCAATTTGTTTTTTAAAATTTATAATTATGGGATTAAGTGGGGTAGGAAATTAGGAATAGGACATTATTGATACAATGGGAAATGAACCAAAGTTTGATTGTGTTTCTTCTCTTCCATTTGCTGATCCCTATTTTTTTTTTTAGAGGAAGGGAGAGGTCATTGGTATGCACTCCGGGGTGCTTACATTAACAATGATTTATGCGTGGATTATACGAAGAATTTCAAAAGTTTACTTATGTCACAATCAACTTTGAGTTTAGATTCGAAAGGAAGACCCTTATGCAAAACAGTCTTGGGATCTTGGCCAAGGTGAAGGGCGTTGATTATTCGAGATTTTCGTACGGGTCTAAAGTTGAAAAATCGTCTTTTATGGACCCTCAAATAACTCGAAAAAACCGATCGCCCAAAAATTGAATATGTGACACTTAATTTGTGTTGCAAATGTGATCCAAGTTTGTTAAACATGATCTCCCTAATATATTTCCTTATCAAAATTTCTCTCTTTCAAAAGATCTTTCCCAACAACTATGGTGGAGATTTCTTCACATTCCAAGGCAAAAAGGTGGGCTTTGATCTCTTATTGTTGGGGCCACTAAATCTCCTCCCTCATTCCCATCCCACCACCCCTCTTGTTCTTTTGCTGTTGGGTTATTATATAACCAAAATTCTTCTTCTTCTTCTTCTTCTTCTTCTTCTTCTTCACATGGATGCCAATTAGCAAACAAATAATTGGCTCTTAGGAGACTGGCTCAAAGTTGATACATGCCCATTCAATCATTGTGGGCTTCAATAGGGCCAAGTCTTCGGTGCTGCTATTGTGTATCTCATTTGGGCTTAACGTAACTGAGCCCAAAATGGAGAAGCAAAGCCGCTAGGTATTGTCAGTACTCAGTGTTAGTGTTGTGGTATATGATCCACGATTGAACCTCTCCCAACAACTCGAGTTATTGGGATCAATTGATTCATGACATAGTATCAGAGCCTTCTGTGACCGAGAGGTCTTGTGTTCGATTCCCGATGACCCTCATTTGTTAAGCACATGATATTCTTGTCTTCAGACATGTGCAAACTTCAAGCCTTTGTGAGTGGCTTTCGTGGTGGCGTGTTAGTGTTGTGGTATATGATCCACGATTGAACCTCTCCCAACAACTCGAGTTATTGGGATCAACTGGTTCATGACACTCAGTAGTCTTGTATTTCTCCTCCATGGGCACTGAAAATGGAGTTAATGAACACATTGGGATCTTCTGTTTAAGGTTATGTTGGCTATGGGGGTTCCCAAAATCTGTCTGTAACTTGGTTCGAGCTTGTGTCAACACTCCAATGCTTCGCGTGACTGTGAACGGAGGATGGAGAGCCATGGAGGAGGCAGCTGCCAGTGCTTTTTGCTAATCAAATCTTAAGCACAACTCAACCGAGGGCTTTCTTTAATTCGAGACTTGAGGGAAGTTCGCCTAGTCGTAGAGCAATTCGTTCCAATTACCTGGTGAAGGCCCTTCTGCTCTTCCCCAATCATCCATTCTCCCATCATTGCATTGGTGGATCATCAATCCCTTCCGCTACCCTAAACATTAAAGAGAGCTTAGAGCAACCTTCTCAGCAAGATCGTCATCGATTCCGGCTGAGGTTTAGGGTTGGAGAAGCATTGCATTTGATTGGCTTAATTGGAACTGGAAGGTCAGTTTTTTTAAAACAGAACTTCTGTACTGTTTTGAAACAGCTAGCTGGAGCTCTTGCAGAGCAAGTTCTGGTCTTTCTGGGACCTTGCAATGCCATTAGTATCCTGTAAAGCTATATGCTTTACTGATTCGACCACAGCCAACAGACAATCGAAATTAGGGAAATGCAGGCATTCTGATTCATTCCAGCATTCCAATTGCACAACATACACAATCAACCGCGGCACATTTCCAATTCCTAATGGCGAAAGCCCCCAAAACCCTTTAATTCAATATACCACCCTGAAATTGCAGAGCATTCTGATTCATTTCTAGCATTCCAAAATGATCCAATTGCCACACAACAAACACAAACAACCAGCTCATATGGTTTATGGAGAACAACGACGAAAAGCCCTCTACTTTCAATCTACCACCCTACAGAAAAACTGGATTATGACAATATTCACCTCAGATAAGCTGGGATCTTAATGCGGATGAAGAGCATACTCATAACATAGGAGAACACAATGGAGGAAACCCCAGCAGAAGCATACGAAACCTTGACGCTCTTCGCCCGATTCTTGTCCAGCGCAAGATCCAAGAGAACGATCCCGATCCCACCGAGGACGAACATGAAACCGGACGACAACCCTTCGATGATGTACTGCCCGTTGACTCGGCCGGACATGAAGACGATCGGCCGCACGGTGCCGGTGACGGGATCCTGGGTCGATCCGATTCCCGGCGGCTCGACGATGACGTCGTAGACGATGCCGGAGACGACCATGAAGTAGGTCAGGAGGACGAGGGAGAAGACCGTCATCGGAGATGGAAGGCTGAGGGACGGCAGCTTGAGGCGGAGGCGCGGCGCGCGGAGGACAGAGTAAGGGAGGATTCTGACGAGGTGGAATACTGGATCGATCGAGCCGTTTGTTGTTGGGTCCGACTGATTGAGGAGATTACTCTGCGAATCTGATGATTTGGGTGCCATTTTCTGATTCGCGGGAGAAGGATTCTGAGATCTAGAAGGAAGACGATGACAGCAGAATGAAGAACTTATATATACTGAGCCGTGGGAGGGCCAATGGCACTACTGTAATTTTCACTGTATTCCTGTCCAATTCACTGAATTGAGTGAATTCACTCAATTCAGTGAATTCTCATTCTAAAATGAGCCAAATCTTGGTTTCCAGACACATCGGACATCATTCCACGATCATGTGTGATTCGACAGAAGTGAATTTGGACTCCAAACGAGTTAAATATTCGACGCTGAAGTTCGTCACTCGCTACTAAAACTTATGATGTTTGTACTAAATTTTTGCAACTCGTATCTCTATCGTCCAACATCCGAACGGCATTATCTTTGCGCCTGTAGGATCGTGAAATCGAGCAGGATGTTGTAGCAACCGGTCGTGTTGTCAGTTATGTGATGGTTAGACTCACCATTGGATTGTGTTTACCACTAAAAGCTCATATATAATGCAACTAAACCACTAAAACTGCACTTGAAAAATACAGATTACAGAGCATTGACCTCTCTAGTTTCTACCCCTACAACAAGGTTACTACAATGGTTACTGCGTGGCATCAATTTGGACCCCTGGCAAATCTGGCATCCAAAAGTTAGACTACAGTCAGAACAGAAACTCGGGCTTTCACGGGATACAACAACAAGTCAAACGAGCAACTGAAGAAAAGATTGATGTTGTTAATAAGTTACACAGATTCCTCCCCATATGCATCATTGCCGTCGCCTCCTCCGTTCTCTTTGCTCAACCTGGATTTGTCTTTCGATGATGATTTTTGAGGCGCCGTTTGCGACGACGAGGACTTGACATTCTGTAGATTAAGATACGTGAAGCCAGACATGCCACCGATTGCAATCAATGCACCGAAGATGCTGATCACTCCAGGATTTGATCCGAAGATGTAGTAGTTCCCCAGCAGCACAATGCAGGTCTTGAATTGACCGAGAACGACATGGGAAACAGGAGATGTTGCCCTGATTAACAGATTAATCAAACAGTTATTGTCAAGCTAGGAAACCTTGATGTCAAAAGGGTGGTTACAATCAGGGCAAGTGATTTCAAACAACAGGATGGAAGTATACAGACTGCATACGATCTAAAGAAGGAAAAAAACTAATTCAAGCTCCTTTATATGGAAAGCACGAGTAACGAATAAGCTATCTTGAATGGCATGATAAGTTTTTACCCTTCCTGAAGCTATCATTGTGTCACAACTCACAATGCCATTATCTCCATTCAGGATGCAGCAAATAATTGATCAAGTAGAGCTTATAATGACAATGCTAACAATAAACTAACAAATCAGCCTGGCTGCAGAATCATGGAATTCAAAATCAAGAAGCAAAAATACTCACCCAAGGGCCAAGGCCCCAGACCACTGGAGTAAAAAACCAAAAAGTGCAGAGGTGATTATCAACGTCGTGTTACTGAAGGTCCAGTCGTAGGAGAAGACACCAGGGGGATCCAAGAAAGGAATCAACGCGGTAAGGAAAACTAAAGTGATTGGTGTTGTCTTCCACATCAACCTGTCCATTCATTCAATGCCCATCAGCAACTATATGTTGGAATCTAATGGCTGCAATAAGTCTTTGTTAGGAGAATGAAGGATACAAAGTCTCTTACGCCAAAGCTGTCCAGTTGTCACGCTGTTGCATTGTGGACCAGAGGATCTTGTTCACTGCACTAGGGACTATCCAGGCTAGTGCTACACATGCGCCAAATAGGCTAAACTGTAGGTCAGTAACTGTAGCGACCGCAACTCCAGTAGAGGCAACTGTAAGTGCAACCACCTAACAGATTACATAGAATAGATCCCAAAGTATGGTGCAAAATAAGTGAGAAAGTTATCACGATTTCGTAAGTTGAACTTTGATAATAAAACAATTCCTCGTTAAAGTCCATGAACATCAGCTTAGGTTTTAACATGAGTGCAAAACTATGACCAGCATGGATTCAGTGCTTTGATCACAATGCTGTTCCCAGTGTTCAAGGAAACAGGTGATACATTCTTAAGCAAGGCTGGAGAAGCAACTATCAACACAGAATACGGGGAAAGTCATTACCTTGGAGAAGGAGACTCTCTTTTTCAACCATATGAATTCAGCGAGGACAATGGAAGGGGTAACCGCAATCTTAGCCATCTGGTAGAAACCCACACTGGGAAGGAGGGAAAAAGGCAGAATCAGTTAAATGCAGAGAGCGGCAGAGAACGCAGGGACTAAATTGATTTATCTGACCTGTTATATTTCAAGCTAACATTAGCCAGGCCAGTAGAAAGCGACATGACAAAACCAAGAGTGAACAAAGTCAAGTTGTTAGCTTTTGATGGAGGCGGTGCAGGAAGAATGGACAAAGCTTTTAAAACGGCCATCAGAATCCAGCTTATTGAGTAGTGAATAAAAGTGAGACATATAGGAAAGCGGAAACCAACGCCTTGAAGCACCTGAATGAAACAGAACAAACGATGGCCCTGGTCAGACTGAAAGCACGACGTCCAAAGAGTGGATGAAAGGCAAAGAAAAGAGTGATACACATATAGACGAAAAGCACCAAGGAGGAGAGTCACTAACCCATTTGTTTATGAAAATAATGCCAACAGCTATGACGAAGTTGAACGTAAGGGCAACGATAGGACCACAGTAGCGTTGCTCTTGCCGTTTCGCACCCTCAGGTGACCGAAGCTTGTTAAACAAAGAGGACCTCAGTTCTTCCAGAGCCCTTCCTGACCAGCAGGCATGGCAGCCATCAGAGAGGGCCTTCTTAGTTAGTGTGTTACTCACATTATGAAAGAAACAACAATCTATTTGTTCACAAGTTACACAACCAGACCGCTATTTGGCATTAACAGCTAGCAAAAACCAAAATGTTCTGTCAAAGACTCCAGCTTTAGGCCGAATTCGAAAACTAAGACTCGAGGGTAGAAACATCTGAGCTGCTGGATGGCAAAAGTTTCAGGCTTGGGGTACTTTCAATTTCAACTATGGGTTCTTAGTCATCTAGATAGAGGAGTTCTCATCAAGCCCATCATCAGGCAGCTTCACCACCTTGGCCAGATCACTTAAAGGGATCTATCTGACATAATCACTTGAGCTCCAAGAACCAACATGCATAATCACTCTTCGCCATTCAAACCAGGGACCCAATGGTGGGCGCTAACTCTTGCCTCGACGGGATGCACTTACAGAAAAAGGAAAGAATCGGAAAAGAAAAATGAAAAACTTGGATGGAGTAGGAAAACCATACCTCGTTCTCCAGCATCACTGTCCTTGCGCTTCAGTATCTTCCTCGCGTCCTTCTTCCTTACTAAGAAGTTGAGAATCTCACGGCTACTCAACATCTCTCTTTTATCCTCTTCTTGATCACTCAACAAAGACCCATTCGGCAATCTAACCTGGGAGGAGGGCTGGTGTTGCTGAGAGAGAGAAGGGGAAGCAGAAATGGGGCGTGGAGAAAGAGTGACACTAAGACGCAATCTAGGGCACTACCCGCGGAAGACAAAGTCAGAAACTAGCTATTCTTTGCACAAGTAGTCGGAAAGGGAGTTTCAAAATTTGAAAACTGTTCGACAAAACCGAAGCCCAAGTGGGAATCATCAAAAAGTAGTATAATTTATAAATGGGGGAAGAAAGAAGACAACTGCTTGTAGCAAAGAAGATCTAAGATGGACTGGTCGACGGGAGAAGAATGGGAAACTGCCACTTCAAGCGGGGAAGCTTGCTGCGGCGACCAGCAGCTCGAGGAGGTTGATGATGGCGAACGGCGGCAACGAAATTAAGCGGCGGCTGCGAGGAGTGGTGAAGTGGGAGTAAGAGTGGGAGTCGTTGTTGGAATTGGGTTTGGTTTGGGCGGTAGGGGTGTGCAGCTGTCCGGTCTCAAACCGGAAACGGATCAAACCATGATAACCGGCAGGGTTATCAAATCGGTTGATATCGTTATATGCCGGTTTGACAAGTGGCATTGTCCTAGTTTAAATAAGTTCACGCCGTTTTAGAAAATTTTCAAACAAAATGAAAAGTATTATATTTAAATATAACATTTAACACCAACTTCGAAACATTTATACTTGAGATTTGAATAAAACAAATAACACAAACATCTAAACATTCATATTTCATACTTCAATCCAACAAATAACATCAACATTTAACTTCCAAATTAAATAAACAAATATTTTTTTTGTTAACTAAATTTTTAAGAACGCCATAATTTTGTTTAGAAGTAAAATCGATCATACCAGTCATATGAGGAAGCATTCAAACCGTTTTGCGATCGACACCAGTTGAACCCAATACAACCGAACGGCATGCAACCATGATAATCGCGGCTCAATAGTAATCGAAACTTAAGAACCGTGACCACAAATTAGAATTGTCAATCTCTCAGTGATGGCAATTGGGAGAGGCGAAGCGAGGGCGTCAACTACAATACTCATACTCGCCCAGTACTAAGTGCGGGTCAAATCGGGTAATGCACGTGCGAGGTAGAACAGTTTTTTATATGTTATTTGAAAAAATAACATCGATATTTAACTATTTTACAAGAACACATAGAATATACACTTCACAAATGAATCAGAAATACATGAGAATAAATAATTGAGTCTAAATAGTTGAAAGATGAATTTTAAAATTTCTTTTAGATAAAAATATGATTTAAAAAATGTTAAAAAATATACATGTAGATATTAATACAAATCATAAAATAACGAGTCGAGAACGAGACAGAACTGATCGAAAGCAATACTCATACCCATTTCACACACTACTATAAATCGAATAATACTTTTCCCAAACAAGTAGGAAGTAGGAACATGACGGATTGTGCGAAAACCAGGTAAAAAATTGTTATCACTAAACATCTATATTCAATCATTCTTTGTCGTCGCTACCCCTCCAAACATACCACAAAAATCAACAACGTTTGACGACACTTTAAACATCGAGGCCAACAGTCAATCTAAAAGATACTCAGATTCAAATTTCAATCAATAAGTTCAGCAAAGATATCCCCAGCTGACCATCCGATCATTATCATCATTGGCAGCCTGATAACATCACATGCGAAAGTCTACGGCTCAGTTAAACAACAGAAGATATTGTTGAAGCAAAGATTCATACTGACATGCTCAACTTCCTTCGAGTCATCCACCATGATCCTACCGAACTTCTGAAACGAACGGTCCATAAACTCCGCATCTCCTCCAACGAAATGGCTCCGAATCATCGCCTCGTTCACTGCTCTAATCGCTTTCCCCATATTCCTCGCCATGGTTGCCCTGTCATACAGCGTTCCTCCTCCATTACACCCATCCCATGGGATCACGATGATCTCCAGGCGATCCACAGCAAACGACCCTTCTCTCTCGATCTCGGCTCTCATCTCATGTGATCACGTCTTCAGTGAACGGCTCATAATACGGCGTGTTGGAAGCGTCCAGCTTCCCTTCAGAAATAAGTCCCTGTTAGCACACAGCATAAAAAGCAATTAAGAGACCACCAAGCTGGTTTCATATCAAACACAGGAGGGCGTGCACTATCACGGTCGCTCTTCGTCAACTTGTACACAGAAGCTGCTATCCAAAATAGACGATAATAGTAAAGATGGGAAAAATTAGAGCATGAATCCAAAATAAAAAAAATTTCTGACAGTGGCGAATGTTGGAGCATGAATTGATCAACGTTTAGGATATTCAAACCTGAATTGTAAACCTTACATCATTTATTCTCTAATTCCTAAAAACAATGATTAGGAGTTTTAACAAGAATAAAAAAACTATGTATATTGTGCGAATTCTAGAACATGAATTGATTAAAATTTAGGATATGCAAACTTGAATAGTAAACATTACACCCTGATTCTCTAATTCCTAAAAACAATGATTTAAGAGTTTTAATTTGTGCAAATACATTCAAAATACAAGATGCACAAGTTTTGGGCGCATACCACATATCGTCATTTTAAGTAGCTAATTCAAGGCAAAATAATCACAATTCTCAATTGCAATAAAACAGAAGATGGACAAATATGTACAAAAACTATTTAAAATATACTAGTAATTTGATGTGTTTGAGTTGGTGGCTTAAGGTTTAGAATCTAAGAGTTAGGATTAAAAAAAAAAAACAAGAAGAAGCAATGGATTAGTTGTAGTTCTAGATTATCTTAGTAGACTAGTTCTACAATTAAATATTTTCAACAAAGAGAATGATATGTTGTTGAGAGTGGGCCCTGAATGAGAGAAATTGAATTGAAGATATATCTCAGGGAACCCAACCTGTACCTTGGAGCATATTGTCGTCCAGTTTTATATTGGGGATGTGGGAAATGTTGGGCCAGTCTTCGCCTTCACCCTTTCCGCATCTTATTGTCAACTTAGGACAATGAAAAATATCCAATCTGTGTAAAGAGGTGAGGTGTTGTGTTGCTGGAGGCAGATTTGCTAATCTTGGACATGAGGAAATCTTCAATAGACGGAGAGAAGTGAGGTTGCAGAGGCCTTCTTCTGGTAGAAATTCCAGTTCGTCAATATCCCAAAGAGCCAAAATTTCCAAGTTAGATAGCGGTCTATCCAGCGCAGTCCTCTGGGAAGAAGGAGAGGTAGTTGCTGTTGTAGTGGAATGTTGCTGAGAATCATGATGAACTGCTCCCGCCACTTGCATCTTCATGGTCCGCACTAGCGCCTTTGAGCTGGTTCCCATCAGCATCAACCTTTCAACCGTTGGAAACAGAGGGATCCGAGTCAGGTTTGGACAATGTGCAATTTCCAATGCCAAAAGACAAGGGAAACGGGGCCACTCCTCATCTTCCCTTTCCTCTTCCATTGAAGGATCAAAGTTGTAATAATCATCATCACCACCATTGCCGTAATTATCATTATTCCCCTTCCTTTTCTTCCACCAACATCCCTTCAGATTCGGACAGTACCAAATAATTAGTTCTTTCAAGGATGGAAGTCCATGTAGGGGTGGCAGGAACTCTACCATCTCACATTTTCTTAAGTGAATCAACGTCAAGCTCGCACTGGAACACAACGAACTAGGAAGCTTTACCCCTCCACGACAGTCCCCAATTCTCAACTCCTGAAGAGATACGAGACAACTGCTCGAATCATGATATGGTAGGGATTCGAAATCGTCATCGATTCTCTTTAAGCTCAACTTGGTAAGCTTGGAGAGTGGGTGGACCAATGCCGAAGAAGAAGAGGAAGAAGAAGAAGTACGAAGAGGATGGATATTTGCATCAAAGTCATCTGTATAACCAACACCTCCTTCTCTCCTCATCTTCATCTTCATAGTCCTAGCTAATGGTGCCAGACTCGCCGCAGAGAACTTCATTTTCTCTTCAACGGCAGGAAAAGTGGGCAACCGAGTTAGCCTGAGGCAACCCTCAATGCACAAGTTAGCAAGACAACAAAATTGAGGCCACTCGCAATCCTCTTCGTCTATCGGTGAAGAATCACGATGATGGTCAACATCATCGATGCCCTTCAACAGCGGGCAATTTCTAATCGTAAGTCTCTTCAAACTTGGCATTTGCTGAATTTGTGGGGGGAGGTACTCACATTGCTCGCAATCTTGTAATGAGAACTCAACCAAATTGGTGAGGCCAGACAACCAGTTAGGAATCTTTACCCCTCCATAACCTCTTTGTATCGCCAACTTCTTCAGATTAAAGTGTGGCTTCAGCATTTCCAATATCCCTTCATCATGAATAGACAAGGAAGTAACATCATGAACATCGTCGCCAATGTCATCATCTCTGCTCCAATCTAAAACAAGTGACTAGAGATGTAGCTTTTCATTCAAGACATAAACATCTGTTCTTGGAGATTCAGCATTTCCTAGGCCTTTAATTGCTAATTCTCCACACAATGCATTTAACCCTTTCAGCTCATCCAACTCAGCCCCAACTGTATTGTCATTACTAATACAATCGTTCTTCTTGCTGACTACAAAAATTGGTAGCGTTTGGAGAAACTTCAACTTCCCAATCCCTTTTGGCATATGGGTTATACGTCCTGCTTCGTCTGCTTTGAGCTCCAAATGCTTCAAATTAACAAGCTTCTCAATATCCTTTGGTAGTTCTTTTAGTGACTCGATTTCAAAGAGTCCCAGTACTTGCAAATTAACCAAGTTGCTAATTGAGTTTGGAAGTTCTTTCCTTCCCTCGCAAGTGAAATAAAGCAATCTTAAATGCTTCAACTTATAAAAATTAATTGAAGTAAAAGCATCCAAAATTGACCTGTCCTCATCGTTTGAGTCTTGATCTTTGCTATAAAATAGTAGTGTGCGCAACCGTATGAAGTTGTTAATGACTTGTTGAACTTCTTTGCTTGTAAGATAACCCCAGTATGCAAGAGTTCGCACCTTGCTTGCATTTCCCAGACCATCACCACCATGATCTTCTTCTCTCTTATCATCATCATCATCATCACCAACCGTTACGAACAAGTGGCGGGTCTTTGAAGGAATATTTTTTAGAATCGTTAAACTTGAAGTTGCTATCATCTTTTCTCCAGCTATCCAACAAGCTAGGTCATGCATCAAATCGTGCATTGTGCACACACACATATTGCCCAGCCCATCCATTTGCACCTCTTGGAAGAATGATCGCCACCATAATGTTTTGAAGCAGTCAAAACCTTTATCTTCCGAATCAATGTACCCTTGGGCAACCCAATGTTGAACCAACAATTTTATAGGGATATCATCACCCTTGTCATACAATTTACAATAAGCAAAGCAATGCTTCATATAGGAAGGGAGATGATTGAAACCTAGTTTTAGAGCTGACATTGTAGGATCCTCTTCTCCTTCTTTTGTGATGCTTGAAAGGCCTTTTTGTAGAAAAGATGGCCACTCGATCTTTGGATCGTTAGAATCTACTAGCACACCAGCTATGGTGCTCACAGCTAGAGGAACTCCACCACACTTCCTCAATATTTCTTTACCAATTTCTTGCAGTTGTCGTTCTTGCGGAACTGTTCTTGGGAAGGCCTTTTCCACCAATAAGTTCCAAGACTCTTCTTCTAACAATCCTTTCAAGAGATAAGGTTCCATAATGCTGGTACCTGTTCTCGAATTTAGAGCTCCGCCAGCAAACTCTGCCACTTTTGTGGATCGAGTAGTCAGCAGTACTTTGCTTCCAAGAGCACCGAACGCCAAATAATTTCCCAATTTCTCCCAACTGTGCCTGCTCTCCTCCCAAGCATCATCCAATACAAGCAAAAACCTTCTGCCTTCGATTTTCCCTCGGAGTTGAGCTTGTAAAGCATCTGACGTGAGGTCCCCCACTTTCTGACCAGTTATGGATTCCAGCATCTTTAAGAGAATCACTTGGACATCAAAACTCTGTGAAACATAGACCCAAGCTTTGATATCAAAGTGACCTTTACCTCGATCGTCATCAAATACAAGCTGAGCAAGAGTAGTCTTTCCCAGCCCACCCATCCCAACGATTGGGACAACTGAAATGTTGGCTTCTGAATTGCAATTCAGCAGTAGCTCAATGATATTCTTCTTGTCATCTTCCCTCCCAATCACAATCTTGGGCGGGCAGGAATCAGTCTCCCTGGAAGGAAGAGTTTCTTCCTCAGAAGTATCAACTTCCAGATGCAGGACGTCTCTGTCTTTCGCCATATCGTCAAGCCTCTCCCTGATGGCCTTGATAGCATGAGCCATCTTGAGGTCGTATACCAATTGCTTGGGAAGTGACGACAACAGGAAGCATACCACACTCCAACAAGTCGTTGCTGACATCCTCCTCCTGCCACCAGCATCATCTGTTGTAGCTGCTGCTACCACGGACTTCCGGCGAGCCTCAGTAGCGAGATCGTCGAGCAAATCTTCGGCATCATACATGACTTCTGAGAGCTTCTCGAGCCAGTCTTTGACTTGGTGACTGTGGGCCTGCTTCTCTTCAGCATCACGGAGCACGGCCTGGATGGTGGAGACGGTGGCCACGAATTTGTTGAGCTCGCGTCTGAAATTCCACAGCAGTCCAATCTGCTCCTTGGCCAAGTCGGATGCCTTGCCAAGGATCAGTTTTGCAACCGGCATCAGAATGATTCCAGCCATTTTAGGGGAAATCAAGAAAGGAAGAGGAGCTGGAACAAGAGAGCAAGGAGAGGAGAAAAAAAAAACGAAGAACTTTTTTTTTATGGGCAAGAGAAAAAGAAGATTTTTTTATGGATAAGAAGAACAGTGGATCAACCCAGATAAATCGATGGTTAAACACGGAGATCAGAATGATTTAGCAGGGGGAACACAACAGGGAAGCGAAAGCGCAAGAGCAAATCAAGAGTGAGAAAGCAGAGGAAAATCAAGGTAGCTAGAGCAAAGAGAAAATCAAGGGTAAGAGAGACCACAAGGAGAAACCAGGGTAACAGCAACGAGATACGAAAAGCAATGAAGCAAGATCAAACCAAGAGAGTAGGAGGAAGACTGAGAACTTTTCAGACTTTAGATTTCTGGAAAACAGGAGAGCAAGGGAAAACAGGGGAGCAAGGGATCTGTACTGTAAGAGGGAATTGAGCTTTAATATTTTTAACAAACTCAAATAATATATATCAGAACCCACTTACGGGGGAGGCATTGACTTCCTACTTAAATTAAAACAATGACTTGATTAGTTGGTCAGCAAGATTAATCAATTGAAAAGGTAACATAGTTGCAGGGGGTGGGAGGCAAAGATCCAATGGGTTAGCTTGAATAATCTGTAAACAATAGGGATTAACACGGCTGCTAGTAGAGGAAATGGTGGGTAAGATCCACTAATTCAGCTTCCTCAACGTGGTAATGGTGTCTCGGACATTATTAATATGAGCTTTTGTCAGTCTCCTATGGGACAAACTGCCCTTTGCTATTTCATCTCTGGAAAACAGAGGAACAAGGGATCTGCAAGAGGGATTTGAGCTTTTCCCATAATATGAAAAAAATCACAATCTCTTTGTTCACAGGTTACACAACCAGACCACGATTCGGCATTAACAGCTAGCAAAAACCAAAGGTTCTGTCAAAGACTCCAGCTAGCAGAAACTAGAAACATCTTAGCTGCCTGCCAGCAAAAAACTTTAAAGCTTGGGGTACTTTCAATTCCAACTATGGTTCTCAGTCATCTAGATAGAGGAGTTCTCATCAAGCCATAATTACATCAGCTCTAAGAATCAACATGCATAATCACAAGGATGGAGTAGAGATACCATACCTCGTTCCCCAGTGTCGCTGTCCTTGCGCTTCAGTATCTTCCTCGCGTTCTCCTTCCTTGATAAGAAATTGAGAATCTCACAGCTAATCAACATCTCTCTTTTATCCTCTTTTCTTCCAATCAACAAAGATCCATTCGGCAACCAAACCTGGGAGGAGGACGGGCTGATGAACACAGGAGACTGCTATTCTGTGTAAATTTGCTGGGTTTCGTATCTTATTCTGGCGGCTCCTGAAGCTGCAGCAGCTCGAGGAGGTGATGATGGCGGAGGTAGGGCGAGCAGAAGAAGGATGGCACCGGCGGCAACGAGACCAAGCTGCAGGGACCGAGAAGACGACGCGAAATGGAAGTGTTGGTAATAACCTCTATTTTCAGAACCGGACCGGAGGTTGAATCGGAAAAGTTAGTGGTTTAGGGTTCACCGGTTAACCGTTACAAAACCGTTGGTGAACCGTTAATAGAACGGTTAATGATATATAACATATAAGACTTGTATATTACACTAATTTAAAAATGAAACTAGAAAAAATGCCCGCTGCTACGCCGCGGGGCTTAAGTTGGAGAGTTGTGATAAATGGATGGACAGTTTAGTTTATGACTTTATGGTCAATACAGGCCGTTGTAGTTTTCTATATGCAAGGATTCCCCTGTTTGTTGGTAGATAAAATTGATATTTTGACTCACTTGTCTATTGTCAAATTGGGATGCTTATTGCAAGACAATAACAAATTTACTATACTGCACCAAGATGAGGGATACTATTTGCCGCCCGTCTCTTTACTATTTGCCGCCCGTAAATTAAATTAAAATGACATTTTTACCCTAAGTTCATTTTTTATAACACAACCCCATTCCACCACAATACCAGCGACCACCACTGCCGCCGATAATAGACCACCGCCGGCCCCGCCACTCCTGCTGTCGCCGGCACCAGTCCACCACCGCCGCCAAATCGCCGGCGTCGCCACCACCGCCAGATCATCACCGCGGCCACCACAGCCAGATCACCTCAGCCGGCGGGCGGACCGCGTCCGACGCCGGGCGTCCGACGCCGGCGGGCGGACCGCGTCCGACGCCGACGGGCGGACCATTCCTCGCTGTCCGATATAACGACGATTGTGGCCAGAGAAACGGGGAAGAGAAATAGGTATAGGTTTTTTATGAAAATTTTGGGACGGAAGTTTATAATTTTGATATGGAAAGATCGCTCCTTTATTTCTGCCCAAAATCACTCTATCGTTGCTAAACATCACCACTCCTTTAAGAATTAAATAAAATTATTTAATCATTGACCTAACTAATTATGATATTTTATTATTATTTAAAGGTTTACGAAAAGTGATTAAATTCACCTAATGGAGACAAACACGGCAATTAAGAATAATCTAAATTTACCTCAATTGCCTTAATTAAATTAGCAATCAACTAATCCCACGTTTCCCTAATTAACCCACATCCAAACCCACGTCCTAATTAGCCATCACATTCCCTAATCACTAATCTATTGCACAAAACAAGATAATGAATGGAGGAATTAGTGGACTTTTTCTTTATTAATTTACTTAATCACTAATTGACCACAAATTATATTAATTAGTGATGATTGAATGTATTCATTGCTAATTTCCATTTTTTTTGTTAGGAGTCAATAAGATTCTTCTACTACTCCCAAACCCTAAACCTTCATTCCTTTCAAATAACAATCTTCAACCTCGACCTATCCAATTCTACTACAACACTGTCTTAGAGGCCAAATCGTATTTGCCTCCACTAATAACAATTGTTCGCATCATCAAAATACGCGTGATAAGCTCCAGAAACTCCTCGTTACGACTCCCAAAGCCCCCACAAACCACGACGAAAATTGTGGCACTATTCATCAATTTTTGCCTGGAATGTCTAATCAAGAAACAGTGAATTCCACCATGTTTGTATTCACATTTTAGTAGATCGGTGAATGTTTCAATAATTTTATAAGAAAAAATAGAATTAACTTGACTCATTCACTTAAAGTTAACTATCTGATGGGAATTAGGGTTTAGGGTTTGGGGGTAGTAGAAGGTGTAGAAGGGGGTTTAGGGTTTACGATTTTAAATTACTATTATACTTTGTTAAAAAAAGTTAATAATGAAATACTACTATAATAATTAACAATTAATTTTGTTATGGAAAATTTCAATACGTATTAAACTATTTAAATTACTATAATCATTCCACGATATTGAACTCTGTCTTCCTTATTAATTAATTGCTTTCCTTTAGCTCATCTAACCAATAAAGGAAATGGAATTAGACTTGGGAATTAGACCTTGATTTCCTTTATTTTGTGTAAACGAATTTATTAGAATTTTAATGTGTTTTAATGAAGGAAATTTTCAGATTGTTTTATGGGCTTAATTGTGTTAATTAAGAGAAGTTTTCCTATTGTTAATTAGGGAATTGAAACTAAATGTGGGTTATGAAATGAGGTATGTTAATTAAGGATTTTTTCAGATATCAATTAATTAAATGAAATTATACGTGGGTGGTTGTTAATTATCCTCGATAATTGGGGAAATGGATATATATGTGGGTTAATTAGAGGAATTTTGGCATTTAACAGGGGTTGTAGAAAATCCAATTCCCAATTCTCAGTGGCAAGTGTTTTAGGTCTTTTTTTTTATCGATGTGTTTCAGGAAAAATTAACTCCTTAATTTCCACCATTACATTTAAAATCCTTAATTTCTCTCGGTGGCAATCATAGAAAAATAAATCACCGACGCAATCGTTGAAAAACTGATATGGAAATAGACTTGGGAATTAGATGTTGTGCTTTCCTTTCTTTTTATGTAAACGAAATTATTAGAATTTAATTGTGTTTTATTAAGGAAAATTCCCAATTTTGAATTAGGGAAATAGAATTAAATATGGATTATTGCCTTTTTGTTGTTTTATAATTATTTAATATAATATGTATATACCATTAGACGTCTGCCATCAGGTTAATTTGAGGGAATCAACATTCTTGTCATAAATATTGGGTGAAATAAGGAAAATAAAAATGGAATCAATTCATAATTTTCAATCCTAATTATGATATGTTACAATTATTTAAATAAATAATAATTGAAAACGGATTTTTTTTTTAAAGTAAGTAACCGGTCCGTCGCTGAGTTGCGTACGCCGTCCGACGCCGGGTTTCGGACGCGGTTCGATGCCGGAATTCGTACCCCGTCCGACGCCGGATTTCGGACGCCGTCCGAACTCCGGCGTCGGACCGCGGCTTCAGGCGCGAACTCCGGCGTCAGAATGCTTCTTCTATCCAAAGTCGGACCCATCCCGCCGGCGCCGGCCCTAAATTGCAGGGGAAACGACGCTGCCAACGATCCGGATTTGAAACCATCGCTCCTACCTTCTCCCTGTTATTGTTTTCGGTCTGTGCTGGGATTGGATTAGTGAACGAAGAAGATGATGATGGTGAACGCTGAGCCGATGCCAAGAATAGGGAACAAGAACGACGAAGATGACGATTCCACGACGGGCAGAGGATGAAGATAAGTTTCGGTCACAGGCAAAGGACAAAGACGACGGGAAGGCTAGCTAGCTGAGGGAGGAAATCGTGGTGGTAGGGTGGTTTGCGGTCGGCGGCAAACATCTCCGCCGTGAGGGAGGTAAGTTTCGGCGGCCGTGGAATGGTTTGCGGGATTGAAGGGCAAAGTGGACTTTTTTCACTAAACTATGGGCGGCAAATAGTAAATATACGGGCGGCAAATAGCGATTCACCACCAAGATCTGCAAACAGAAAACATGTTAGCACATCTTTTTCTTTATGACTGCCATCATGTTAAAGTTAATGTAAACATGCCACCACTTCATGTTTCCATTATGTTCAAACAAAAGCCTGCAGAACACTTGGTTTTCGTTAGCTTCCAAGATCTCACCATCCTCCTCTCTGTCCCTACTTCTAATTGACATCTTCTTCAACTCATTGCACCATCATAAATATGGCCAAGTAGATCCTTGCTAGCATAAAAAATTCATTGTTGATAGTGTGGGTTTCAGTTTAGGCTGCTGCTGTAAATTGACTTCTGATGCAACATCATCATTGGAGCACCTCAAAGCAGTTGCCCAAATTCCAGGAAGATGGTTGCTTCCGCAAATCAAGTTGTTTCCTTTTTTTTTTGGCGGGTGTTTTATAAGTGATCAAAACCATCACACCGGCCAGCTGAACATGCAGGCACTCCATCGCTGCAGTCAATTCCATTGCCCAGTTCAATCATCATTGCTGAAACAAAGACATGACAACATAAGAAGTCATCATTGAATTAAAGTGACCAAACTATCACACCCAACACAACTGGCTGCTTCAACTAATTGCAGTTTGACTATATTTTCCAGTTCAGAGAGCAGCCTAGGAAATGAAATTTCCAAAGGAGAACAATACAATACGAACGACGTTCAGAATTCAATTAGACTCATGGCCTAACAATGACGATGGAAAGAATTGAAAGGAAGAATATTAAATGGGAAGTTTAGCCTATGATGCTTGTTTGAACAAAGGTTAGTTTATGCCAAAAAGCACAAATCCAGCCAAAATTGGTCCAAATCCAGCCACATAAGCAAAACACCAAATCCACATGAAGCAAAATAGGTAGGAGGACCAATTTTGGCAGAATGTGTTTTTACTTTTTACAATAGCCAACCATCTTATCTTAGAATATATTAAAGCGGTTTGAGAAATAGGCACTATCCACGTAAGCCTTGAAGTTCTCCCCGCGTTTTTCGGAATGAGATATTTTTTTTTGCTTTTTGTATTTTTTTCCGCGCGTTTTTTACTGAGAAGCAGTTACCCACTATTTGTATTTTACTCAAAGTTAACTTTCCACACTTCAAATCGGTGTGTTTGATAATAAATTAAAAATAAATTGGAAAAGGGAAAATCACCCATACTTTATCACGGATATTTTGGGAATGTGTGGAAAACTAGGCTTTTCATTTAAAAAAACTTTAGATGGCTTATTCCACAATTTTTAACTCAGTGTTTTGCCATGATGTTCAATATGTTCTTTTTAATTTTTAATAAGAAATTAAGAGATATATATAGTATACATATATTTTTGTTGCATAAATAGATTTCAATTATGCGTGAAATATTACAAATTTGATCAATACATAATAAATCTCTTTAAAAAGTATATATAAGTAAGGAAGACGTGACATTTATTATAGATTTCAACAAAATAAAATATTTAAATACAATGAGTGTCAATACTCCAAAATTACAATGATATCCAATGTTACCTTTTTAGGCGTTAAACAGAGAAAAAAAAACACACACACACGATGGAATGAAAATGATCAAAATACAAAAGTACATCGAGATCACAAGTGACTGGAGGCCTGTTTTTTCTAATCATACTCCAAAACCATCGATTATCAGAACGGGTAGTTTACGAAAATAGAGATGTATGATTTTCCTTTCTTTCTTGAATGTCTCTAGGAGGTGAATTTTGCGTTGTAATTTACGAGGAGGGAGTAAAACTTTTAATGACTCTATTTGGTATTTTTTACAAAATCTATCTACGTGATTCTAGAAAATTTATTAATTTAATAACTATATTATACATATACACAATAACGAAGAAGCTACCTGCCCGAAGGGCAGGGGTCAAAGCTAGTAATAGTCAATAGTCATCTACAAACCTTATAAACATACACCCAAGGTACTAATTAAATCTGAAAGTATCAATGTTAAGGGCAAGATTAATACCAGCAGGTGTTGTTGCTGCCACAGATACATGCTACTGTTGGTGCAGTCTGAAACTATTTCCAAGCAGGCTGTTGACATTTGTTCCTTCATCAGTCTCCCACCAGTTGTCTTCGGCATGAGGAAGCGCCAAGAATGGTTTCTCAATCCTATTTAGCTCGTTGGTCCAGGGTGAAAGATTAATAGACTTCAGAGTTGAAGATGAACAAACCGAAACAGGAACTTAAAGAGTTAATAAATGACAAAATTCCATGATTTTCTTTAGTGGGATTGTAATTAAGCATGATAAAGGAACGACACAGGAAGATACTCCAAATCCTTTCTCGCCTCAGTAGACTGAAGCTTCTGTTATACTGAGGAATGCCTTGAAATCCCTTTTTTGTCTGCGTAAATCAGCTTCTGGTCTTGATGGTGTAGCCCAGTTGGACCAGGCAACATCTTCTACCTAGGGATGGCAGGCCCGGGCCCGTTAGCGGATACCCGCCCGAGGCCCGCCCGTTAAGAGCCCAAACGGACTGGTCGCACAGGCCCGTCAACGGGTGGCGGGGAAACCGGGATCCGTCAACCCTGGTTTTCGGGTGGGGTTGGTTTGGTCACTATCCGCCCCGTAACCCGCCCGGTGGGTTACCCGTGCACCAAAACTACGTCGTTTCGCCCTCCATATATATATTCGTGTTCTGTGTTGAGAAACCCTAGCAGCCGCCCCTCATTCCTCATTTTGCAAATCGCAGACCAAAAACACCAAACCCTAGTTTCCTTCTTTCTCTCTGCCTCTTCTCTGGCGAATCGCAAGATAATCGCGATTTTTTGCCTTTTCTCCTCTCCAAATCCTCGAATCTCTCCTAGTTTCACTACGATCTATCTTCGATTCCTCCATTCGACCAATTGCATGGCTGGAAGAGCAACGATCCGACGCCGATTTCGTCGAGCACAGGCCAAAAATTGGTCGTTTGGACTTCAAATCCCTGATTGTTCGTCGATAACAGATAAGTCAATTCTAGTTTTTTTCTTTTCTTTCGATTATCTTCGTTGTATCCTCAATCTACTGACTCTTCTTGACACTCGTACTGCTATATATAGGGGGATTTCAGAGGTCACCAGTCACCATCCTGACCTTCGTCCTTCGCTAAATTTCTACCCAGAACTGAGAACACCCAGTCCACAGAGAGTAGAGACAGAGAGATTGCGACGAGCATCCAGAAAGAGTCCAAGTCTTTTTCTGGGTAAGGATCTTGAACTCGCTTCCTTTTTCTGGGTTTGTGCCTTTGTGGTGTACTGGTGTTAAAACAGACATGCATGCTTGTCTCCTGTTCTAATTTTTTTTTTGTTCGTTGTTCACTCTTTTTTGGCCAGGTTGGACTCATTTGAAGCTGTATTGAAGGACTGAACTCAGAGTCCAAGTCTTTTTCTGGGTAAGGATCTTGAACTCGCTTCCTTTTTCTGGGTTTGTGCCTTTGTGGTGTACTGGTGTTAAAACAGACATGCATGCTTGTCTCCTGTTCTAATTTTTTTTTTTTGTTCGTTGTTCACTCTTTTTTGGCCAGGTTGGACTCATTTGAAGCTGTATTGAAGGACTGAACTCAAAGTCTCTGACGAGCAACTGAGCGAGTGATAGTGATCATCAGTGAGCAGTCTACTGTCATTGGGTACTCGACAGTCCTCAGAAAAACAGAAAGACAAGGTAATCTCGTTCTCCTAAGTCGTAACCAGTAGGCAGTAACCATTGTGTTTGTTGTGTTGCTTTGACTTGTTAATGATAATAAACTGTAATGGTAACCACTATGGCTTGCTAATGATAATAAACTGTAATGGTAACCACTATGGCTTGCTAATGGTAACCACTAATCCACTATGGCTTGTAAATTGTTGAAAATGGTGTCCTGTTTGCTGGTTAGAAGAAAAAATGTTGTCTGGTTGAAAATGGTGTCCATTTAAGTAAGGAAAAATGTAAAATGAAAGGTCTAATGACTCTAATCAGTGATATATAACTTGATTATGTTCAGATGGAAGGTGCTACTGCTAATGCTATGAATGTTGATCAACATGTCCCTGAAAATGGTGTCCAAGTCCAACCTGAACAACCTCCTCCTGTTCCAAATAATTCGATTAATGGTAATGAGGAAGAACTTGAAGCACAACGTAAGTTAACCTCTAATGTGTGGCCTCACTTCCACAGAGTTAGGATTAATGGGGTAATGAAAGCTAGGTGTAAGTACTGTCGTAAACCCCTTGGTGGGGAAACAAGTAATGGAACTTCACACCTGAGAAACCATATCAGAACATGTATCCAGAAGAGGATACATGATGGTTCTCAAAAAATACTTGGCCCCAACTATCAACCTGGTGGAAATCCTCAACTCTCTGCTTCTCAATACAATTATGAGGTTTCTAGGAAGGAACTTTGTTCTATGGTTCTGGTCCATGAGTACCCCCTTAGCCTTGTTGATCATGTGGGTTTCAAACGTTTTTGCTGTTCTCTTCAACCTCAGTTTGCTGTCCCTAGTAGAAACACAGTGAAAAAGGATATTCTGGGTCTGTATGGGGTTGAGAGGTCTAAATATCAGACAATGATTGATGGAAATTTGGGCAGAATTTCAGTCACTACTGATTTGTGGACTGCCACAAATCAGAAAATGGGGTATATGGCAGTAACTGGTCATTTTATTGACAACTCTTGGAAGCTTCATAACATAATGTTGAGGTTTATGTATGTTCCAACCCCTCACACTAGTCAAAGGCTAGCTGATAGGTTGTTTGATTCACTTCTTGATTGGAACATTGATGGTAAGTTGTCCTCAATCACACTGGACAACTGTACCACCAATGATTCAATGATATTCCATATGCGAAATAAGCTTGTGAGCAGTGATCTCTTGCTTGATGGTAAACTGATTCATATGAGGTGTTCAGCTCATATTTTGAACTTGATTGTGAGGGATGGTTTGGATGCAATCAAAGATGCTATACATTTGATTAGGGAGAGTGTAGTTTACTGGAATTCTACACCTAAGAGGGTTCAAACCTTCTTTGAAGTTGTTAAGCAACTAAAGTTGACATTTGAGAAAAAACTGGTACTTGATTGTCCAACTAGATGGAATTCCACATACCATATGCTCTCTGTTGCTCTTCAATATAAGGATGTTTTCTTTCGTTTGAGCTTGAGGGACAGTCAATACACATCTGTTCCTTCTAGTTCACATTGGGAATTTGCATATGTTGTGATTGATAAGCTGGAAATATTTTCTGAGATAACTCAGTTATTCTCTGGTTCCAAGTATCCTACTGCCAATCTTTTCTTCCCAAAGATTTGTGACTTGAGATTGAAACTGAATGAGTGGGGTCTTGACCCCAACCCTGTGATTTTTGGAATGGCCAGTCAAATGTCTGAGAAGTTTGATAAGTACTGGGATGATATCCATCTTGTACTTGCTGTTTCAGTTGTTTTGGATCCTAGATATAAGCTCCATGTGATTGAATACTATGCTGGGAAGTTTGGGAGTATGGAAACTGACTTGGTTGGTGATAATATCAAGAAGATTATTTGTGGTTTGATTCTTGATTATCAAACCAAAGCCGAGAAGAATTCTGGTTCTGAAACTGGAACTTCTTCTGCTAGTTTTGGATCTGTCTCGGCTACTGAACTTGACTTTGAGCTCTTTGTAAGTCAAAGGAAAAAGAGCAAGAGTTCTTTGATTACTACTGAGTTGGATATGTATCTTGCCGAGGATATTATTCCTCGGACAGCAGACTTTGATCTGCTCTTATGGTGGAAACTTAATGGTCTCAAGTATCCCACCTTGCAAGCAATTGCAAGGGACTTTCTGGCAATCCCAATTACATCTGTTGCTTCTGAAAGTGCATTTAGTTCTGGTGGGAGGTTGTTAGACCCTCACCGGAGCAGGCTTCATTATTCCACTGTTGAATCAATGATGTGCACACGAAGTTGGATTATGGAAGACATGCAACGAGGTAACATGCAACTAAATCTCTAAATTCTAGTACAACTAATTTTGTTTAAGTGTAACTAATATTTGTATACTTTTTTCTGCAGATTCGGAGGCTGCTGCTGTGGAGGCATTGGAGGGAGTCTTCTCAGCACTGTCAGTGGAAGATACTACTGTAGAAGAGGAAGAACCTGGGGGTAAGAAAATTAGTGCATTTCTAATTTTGTTCAATGAGATTTGAGGTTGAACTAAAGTGTTTTGCTTTCTGGTTTTTAGGTCCAGAAATGGTGTTCCTGAGATCACCATTTGGCCATGAAGACTGAACCATTCTCTACTGTCCAGCCAGGTTAATTACTTTAAAACTTCTTCTCTTTTGTTGCAAGAACATGGAGTTTGTTGGTGTTACACTGTTACTGGTTAGGCTTAGGGAGTTAAGTCTTTTTACTTGAATGTTAGTGCAGAATTTCAATTGATGAATGATGACTGCCGCTACCTGCTATTGCGTAAGATGGCTAATGGCTTGATGGGTTATGGAAGGCTGCTGTTGGTGAATTTCAATTGATGTATATCAATCGAAGGAAGGCTGCTGTTGGTGCAGAATTTCAAGTTGAAGCTTCATCTTGCTCGAAGGAAGGCTGCTGTTGGAATTGATCTCAATAGTTAGGATGGCTTATGGCTTTGTTTAGCTAATTAGCTTAGTTGTTCTTGCTTTGAATAAGACTCGGCAATCAGACTGCTGAGAATGGATTGTCTTTTGTTGATTTCAGTTTGGATGATTTGATACTTTGCTTGAATTTTGATTGTTGATCTCAACTTTCAAGTTTCGAATGTTACTGATGTCAGGTTCAGGGTTCAGTTTTTGAGATCTTTTATAAGTTTATTATTGATAATAAAAGGAGATGTCAGATTTTCAGGATTTTTTTTAATGTACTTTGTCGTTTTGGTTGGCATTGTTACGGGCTTTTTAGACCCGTGGGCACCCGAAAACCCAGCGGTGACGGGGCTGGGTATATTACTAGGCCCGGAAGCCCGTTTGGGTCGGGGACGGGTAAACCCGAAGCCCAATGTGGGCGGGGAACGGATACAGGGTACCCGGCCCCGATCCGCCCCGTTGCCATGCCTACTTCTACCTGGGTCCTGAAAAATGACAACCTCTGTAAAGTACAACAATGTAAAGTGGATAACCGAGGCTGTAAAGCAGAAGTAGAAGTATTCAAAGACCGATGCCACAATCAAACAACACAGAGAGCAACCAAAAATTGTAGCAGAAACATTTCTAGCCTATCTGTCTGCATTAGGAAACAGCCCACTAAGAAACCTTGTCTTATTGCATATTAATTACACCAAACTTTAGAGTGTGATTCCCTAACAATAATGTCTCCATGTTGTTCAAGATAGACTTCTTCCATGATTAGACCTGCATATTCCTCTTCCTATTTCTGGACGTTTGATGGGTGATGATCGGCAATAAGAATATTTGGTGTCCTTCAATTACAAAACAGGGAAATTGTAGCGCTAATCTTGCTGTGAATCTTAGCACATCGAGAATGACATCATTTAGTGGGAATTAATCACAGCCTTTGGCTTCTCGTCCACGGAAATAATTAGTCTAAAAGAAACTAAACAGTGAACTGAACTCAAGCACACAAATTTGCTAAGATTCAGCAAGCAAAGCAGGATAGAAGTTCACCTGTAAATGGAAGAAGAATACGGAACTGGAGAGCTTCTCCCATCTCTCAATTTCATCCTTTACACTTCCGAATAGTAGTTGATACTTCTTCACCATTTCCTCCATGGCTAGTGGCTACTCTGCTACCTAAACCTGCCAACTCCCCAAATTACATAAACCTTCTTCATTTTAGCATGCTTATCATCCTTCTTCTCTGCAGTCTATCCCCCTTATCTCTCTTCCTCTTCTTCCTCTCCTTCATCTTTTCGTCACCAATTCTGCAGCACTTCCTTCTTCTAGCTAGTTGAACCCTTCATCATTCAAGGATGACGCTGGCTTGTTGTTGTAAGTGGGAATAGAATGACTGTTTTTGCCCCTCTTTCAGGAATATGGTTGCATTATTGAAACCCCAAAAGTTAAAAACAACAATGGAAAAAGCGGCAGAGCCTGGCATAAGAAACTGAAACCCCAAATCAAGCATACATACTCCGTATCAACCGCTGGTCACACCTCCTAGAATCCGCTTCCTTCCTCTCCTTCTTCGCCGCCTCTCTCCCCCGTCCCCTGTAGATTGGAATGTGAGAGGCTCTTCTTTCCCATTCAATACTTTCTCTCGCAAACTCTTCAGCCACGCCAGATTGGCCGTTGTGGGGCCTAAAATCTACATCCTTCCTGGACGCACACTCTATGCTACCACATCTCGACGAACACCATTTCCTCCAGAGCTCCCATCATTCTCCGAGAAAGATGTTTTGAATATGCAGTCGTCCCTGTGAAAACGGACTTCTGATGTAGCAACGACTCGCTGTGCTGACTCGTGCTGCAGCAACGGCCACGTCTCGGGCCACGACTTCGGTCTCCTATCTTGAGACCGCGCCTGTTCTTGCTCCAGCTTTGGCTTCGACCAACATGTCCACGTCCAGGTCGCCTCTCGTCGGCTATTCTTTGGTTTGGATCCCGCAGCTGATTGCAAATGTTGGCACCTCCTTCTCGACCCTTTCCCTCTTCCGATTTCTCCCCTGCATCGCCGACAGGGATTTGAAAGCAGCAAATGAAAACCACATGAAGTATTGGTAGGTGAAAAGGGGAAGCAAATATTTGATTGGGACAGGAGGGAAGGAGAGCAGAGTCTTCTTCTGCTTCTCTCTTGTCCAATGGCCACACAACATCGACGAAATTGTCGCTGGTAATTGGGTTTCCGGCGACCCATGAATGGAGAGCCATCCACGAGTAGTTGCTTTGAGGCGGAAAGCATGGGATAGGAAAACAGTAGAGTATCTTTTTGGACGAACGGGTGGAAGATGTATTTGGAAGGGAAAACAACAGAAGGGATGGCCGGTGGCGTGTAGGAGCTAAAGTGGTGGCTTGTGATTGTGGATTTTGGGGTATGGCCGTGAAAAGATGGAGGACACTGAAAGTATGTGCACCTGCCACCTGCAATTGAGAAAAAGAAGGGGAAGCTCTTCGGTTTGGCAGCAAGTCCAAATGAATGGGAAGCTCTTTTACACTATGTTTGGCAACAAGGGGGTGCAAGTTCGAGGGGGGTACAAGTTGAGTGGTAAATTGTTGGGGGGTGCAACTTGGTGGAGGGTGTAAGTGGAGGGGTAAATTGTTGTTTGGATGAAAAAGTAGGGGGGTGCAAATAGAGTAAAAAGTAAGTAATTATATTATTATAAAATAAATTTATCAATTTATAAAATATTATCACAAAATAATAACATGAAAATTCAATATATAATAATAAAAATAATTTTAATAAAAATAATTATTATATAATAATGCTCAAATATAATTATTTATAACAACAATAATAATCATTGGTCGAGCAACCTCGAAACTCGAAATCCAACTCGTAACTAGTCATCCTAACGGGGTTCTCGTGCCTAACTTTAAATTGAATATGGTCAAACTTAGTCAAACACGTTCGAATCTGTAAGTTTTAACTACTTATTAAAAGTAAATCGAGTTAACTAAACTGTTCCTCTCTATCTTTTCAACAAACGCTTCTTATCTCTAATTTTCAATGCAAATTCGGGTCAACTAAGAGATATCGATTTGACGAGGCGAACATTGACAAACTTGCTCTCTGAGTCAAACGGTCAACCCCAAACAACTTCTACACTAATATAGATATAAGAAAAAATTAATAATATTAATTATTATGTAATTATAATCTAATTAAAAATTCATAATTCCCCTCCTCCCCCTTCCCCCTCCCTTCCTTCCTTCCCTTGCACCCCAATTTGGGGGGTAAGCCGAAACAGTGAATTTACGCTCACGTTTTGCACCCCCCTACTGTTACAAAATAACCAAACGGGGGTAAACACCTTGGAACTTGTGTTTACCCCTCCAAACTTGCACCCCCTTCCATTTACACCCTTTCCCAAACATAGTGTTAAGTTCCATCCCACAAAACGCCAAATAATGAAACAGTAGTTGGAAGTTTGGGGATAAAGTGTAGTCCCCTATTATATATAAGATAAAGATAATAATTATCATTGACCATAAACAAGTTCAAATTATCATCATGAAGTAACGAGTCGAGAACGAGACAGAACTGATCGAAAGCAATACTCATACCCATTTCACACACTACTATAGATCGGATAATACTTTCCTCAAACAAGCAGGAACATGACGGATTGTGCGAATCAGGTAAAAGATTGTCATCACTAAACTCCTATATTCAATCATTATTTGTCATCGCTACCCCTCCAAACATACATAAAAAATTAACAACGTTTGACGACACTTAAACATCGACGCCAACAGTCAATCTAAAAGATACTCAGATTCAAATTTCAATCAAAAAATTCAGCAAAGATAGTCTCAATAATAATACACTTGAAATCGAAATATGAGTGCAAATGATATTACCAAGTAGATCACACAAAGCCATCGACAGTACTAACATACTCAAACGGTTGATTGTTTCTTGACAACAGAGACAACAATACTGACATGCTCAACTTCATTCAGTGTCATCCACCATGACCCTACCGAACGTCTGAAACAACCGGTCCACAAACTCCACATCTCCTCCACCGAAATGGCTCCGAATCATCGCCTCGTTCACTGCTCTAATCGCTTTCCCCATGTTCCTCGCCGTGGTCACCCTGTCATACTGCATTCCTCCTCCATTACAGCTATCCCATGGGATCACGATGGTCTCCAGGAATGAGCCCCTGTTAGCACACAGCATAAAAGCAATTAAGAGATCACCAAGCTGGTTTCATATCAAACACAGGAGGGCGTGCGCTTAAGATCATATAACATTTAACATTGATCGTGAACATGTGCTTGATCTAGTGGTAATACTGCTGGTCTGCAACCTGAACATCCGTTATAAGCAAAGATTGCACAGCAGAACCACCTTTCCTGACAAAAGAGATAAATTCCGTTACCTGTCTGGATATTATGCATGTCGACGATGAGTTTCCTGGTTGTACACTATCACGGTCGCTCTTCGTCAACTTGTACACAGAAGCTGCTATCATCGTCTCACTTTAGATCTGGGGTACATATACAGTGAAGAAAACCTCAACTTCGTCAGCAAGGGGACTAAATCAGACAGTAATGATAGAGATGTGGAAAAATTAGAGCATGAATTGATCAACATTTAGGATATGCTAACCTGAATTATGAACCTTACACCTTTATTCTCTAATTCCTAAAAACTATGATTAAGAGTTTTAATTTGTCCAAATACATTCAAAACACCAGATATCGCCATTTTAAGTTAGCTAATTCAAGCCAAACTTAATGACAATTTTTTTTATTGCAATGCAATAAAACAGAAGATGGACAAATATACACAAATTATTTAAAATTTACTAGTATTTTAATGATTTTGAGTTGGTGGCTTAGGGTTTAGAATGTAAGAGTTAGGATTTTAAAAAAAGGCAATGGATTAGTTGTAGTTCTAGATTATCTTAGCAGACTAGTTCTAGCAAATAAAAATTAAAATACGATGATCATAGCTTACTTTTAGCCTTGCAATCATTTTGGTAGGTGCAACGTAAAAATTACCATATACATACACAGAATCACAACCCGAATATTAGTAGCAACAAGAAGAATGATATGTTGCTGAGAGTGGATCCTAAATGAGTGAAATGGAATTGAAGAATCTATTTGGATTCACAGAGACTCAACCATTTACGGAGAGAACACACGGCCATGTAAAGACTCGGTGAAATAATCTAGTAGGCCAATTGGAAAAGAAAACAGATAAATGCTAGTGATAAGGACATGGTGATTTGATTAACCTTGGAGATAAGTTTCGTCCAGTGTTATCTCATGGATATGGGAAATGTTGGGCCAGTCTTCGCCTTCACCCTTTTGGCATCTTATTGTCAACTGAGGACACCGCCAAATTTTCAGTTCGTGTAAAGAGGTAAGGTGTTGCATTGCTGGAGGCAGAGTTGCTAATCTTGGACAATAGCTAATCGTCAAATCACGGAGAGAAGTGAGGTTGCAGAGGCCTTCTTCTGGTAGAAATTCCAGCTCGTCCATTCCACCAAGTTCCAACTCTTCCAAGTTAGATAGCGGCCTATCCAGCGCAGTCCTCAGGGAAGAAGGAGAGGTAGTTGCTGTTGTAGTGGAATGTTGCTGAGAATCGTGATGAACGGCTCCCGCCACTTGCATCTTCATTGTCCGCACTAGCGCCTTTGAGCTGGTTCCCTCCAGCTTCAACCTTTCAACCGTTGGAAACAGAGGGATCCGAGTCAGGTTTGGACAATCTACAATATCCAATGCCAAAAGACAAGGGAAACGGGGCCACTCCTCATCTTCCCTTTCCTCTTCCTCTCCTTCCGTTAAAGGATCAAAGTTATAATAATCATCATCATCATAATTATCATTATTCCCCATCTTTTTCTTCCACCAACATCCCTTCAGATTCGGACAATACTGAATAGTAAGTTCTCTCAAGGATGGGAGTCCATGTAGGGGTGGCAGGTACTCTACCATCTCACATCCTTGTAAGTGAATCACCTTCAAGCACACACTGGAACACAGTGAACTAGGAAGCTTTACCCCTCGACAACATCCCCAAATTCTCAACTCCTGAAGAGATACGAGACAACTACTCGAATCATGATGTGATAGGGATTCAAGATCGTCATCAATTCTCTCTAAGGTCAACTTGGTAAGCTTGGAGAGTGAGTGCACCAATACCGAAGAAGAAGAAGAAGTACGAAGAGGATGGATATTTGCATCAAAGTCATCCGTATAACCAACACCTCCTTCTCTCCTCATCTTCATCTTCATAGTCCTAGCTAATGGTGCCAAGCTCACATTTACCAACTCCAACTCGCCTTCAATGGTAGGGAAAGTGGGCAACCGAGTTAGCCTTGGGCAACTCTGAATGCGCAAGTCGGCAAGACAACGAAATCGAGGCCATTCGCAATCCTCTTCCTCTATCGATGAAGAATCATGATGATGGCCATCATCATCAATGCCCTTCAACAGTGGACAATATTCAATTGTAAGCTTCTTCAGACTCGACATTTGATGAATTTGCGAGGGGAGGTACTCACATCTGTAGCAATCTTGTAATGAGAACTCAACCAAATTGGTAAGGCCAGACAACCAGTTAGGAATCTTCACCCCTTCATAACCTTCATGTATGACCAACTTCTCCAGATTAAAGTGTGGCTTCAGCATTTCCAATATCCTTTCATCATGAGTAGACAAGGAAGTAACACGATCAACATCGTCACCAGTGTCATAATCTCTGCTCCAATCTAAAACAAGTGATTCGAGATGTAGCTTTTCATTCAAGACATAAACACCTGCTCTTGGAGATTCAGCAGTTGCTAGGCCTTTAATTACCAATTCTCCACACAATGCATTTAACCCTTTCAGCTCATCCAACTCAGCCCCAAATGTCCTGTCATTACTAACATTACCGCTCCTCTTCCCCACTACAAAACTTGATAGCGTTTGGAGAAACTTCAACTTCCCTATCCCTTTTGGCATATGGGTTGCATGTCCTTCATCCTTTGCTTCGAGCTCAAAATGCTTCAAATTAACAAGCTTCTCAATACCCTTTGGTAGTTCCTCTAGTGACTCGGCGTCACCGAGTGCCAGTACTTGCAGATTAACTAAGTTACTAATTGAGTTAGGCAGTTCTTTCCTTCCGTTGCAATTGTAATAAAGAAATCTTAAATGCTTCAACTTATCAAAATTCATTGAAGTAAAAGCATCCAAAATTGACCTGTCTTCGTCGTCTGAGCCTGGATCTTCGCACTGAAATATTAGTAGGCGCAAGCGAATGAAGTTGTTAATGACTTGTTGAACTTCGTTGCTTGTAAGAGTCTTCCAGCACATAAGAGTTCGCACCTGGCTTGCATTTCCCAGACCATCACCACCATGATCTTCTTCTCTCTGATCACCATCATCCCTTATGGACAAGTGACGGGTCTTTGAAGGAATATTTTTTAGAATCATGAAACTTGAAGTTACTATGATATTTTCTCCAGCTATCCAGCCAGCTAGGTCATGCATCAAATCGTGCATTGTGCATGTTGACATATTGCCCAACTCATCCATTTGCACCTCTTGGAAGAATGATCTCCACCATAATGTTTTGAAGCAGTCAAAACCTTTATCTTCCGACTCAATGTACCCTTGTGCTACCCAAAGTTGAATCAAAAAGTCTATAAGGAGCTTTTCACCCTTGCCAAACAATTTACAAGAAGCAAAGCAATGCTTCATATGGGAAGGGAGGTGATTGAAACTGAGTTTGAGAGCTGACATAGTAGGATCTTCTTCTTCTCCTTCTTTTGTGATGCTCGAAAGGCTTTTTTGTAGAAAAGATGGCCACTCAATCTTTGGATTTTTTGTATCTACTAGCACACCAGCTATGGTGCTCACAGCTAGAGGAACCCCACCACACTTCCTCAGTATTTTTTTACCAATTTCTTGCAGTTGTCGTTCTTGCGGGACTTCTCCTGGGAAGGCCTTTTCCTCCAATAAGTTCCAAGACTCTTCTTCTAACAAGCCTTCCAATTTATAAGGCTCCACAATGCTGTTACTTGTTCTCGACTTTAGAGCTCCGCCAGCAAACTCCGCCACTCTAGTGGATCTAGTAGTCACCAGCACTTTACTTCCAAGAGCACCGACCGCCAAATAATTTCCCAATTTCTCCCAACTGCGCCTGCTCTCCTCCCAAGCATCATCCAACACAAGCAAAAACCTTTTGCCTTCGATGTTCCCTCTGAGTTGAGCTTGTAAAGCATCTGACGTGAGATCGCCCACTTTCTGACCAGTTATCGATTCCAACATCTTTAAGAGAATCACTTGGACATCAAAGCTCTGTGAAACATAGACCCAAGCTTTGATATCAAAGTGACCTTTAACTTGATCGTCATCAAATACAAACTGAGTAAGAGTAGTCTTTCCCAGCCCACCCATTCCAACGATTGAGACAACTGAAATGTTGGCTTCTGGGTTGCAATTCAGCAGTAGCTCAATGATCTTCTTCTTGTCATTTTTCCTCCCAACCACAATCGTTGGCGGGCAGGAATCAGTCTCCCTGGAAGGAAGAGTTTCTTCCTCAGAAGTATCAACTTCCAGATGCAGGACGTCTTTGTCTTTCGCCATATCGTCAAGCTTCTCCCTGATGTCCTTGATAGCATGAGCCATCTCGAGGTCGTACACCAATTGCTTGGGAAGTGACGATAACAGGAAGCAAACGACACTCCAACAAGTCGTTGCTGACATCCTCCTCCTGCCACCAGCATCATCTGTTGTAGCTGCTAGCACGGCCTTCCTGCGAGCCTCGGTAGCGAGATCGTCAAGCAGATCTTCGGCATCATACATGACTTCTGAGAGCTTCTCGAGCCAGTCTTTGACTTGGTGACTGTGGGCCTGCTTCTCTTCAGCATCACGGAGCACGGCCTGGATGGTGGAGACGGTGGCCTTGAATTTGCTGAGCTCGCGTCTGAAATTCCACAGCAGTCCAATCTCCTCCTTGGCCAAGTCGGATGCCATGCCAAGGAGGAAGTTTGCAACCGGGAACAGGATGATTTGAGCCATTTGAGGGAAAACGCAGAGGAGCTAGAACAAGAGAGAGCAAAAGAAGGAGAAAAATGAGGGTTTTTTCTTTTATGGATAAGAAAAACAGCGGATAATAGATAGAAAGCAATGGGAAAACAGGGAGATCGGAATAAACTAAATAAAATAAAGAGGGCGAAAAAGCAAGGGGAAATCAAGGAAGCTAGAGAAAGAGAGACAGCAAGGAAAAACCAGGGTAACAGCAACGACAAGCGAAAGCAGGGGAGCAAGATCGAACCAAGAGAGGAGGAAGACTCTGAACTCTCACAGGCTTTAGATCCCTGGAAAAGCAGCGGAAAACAGGGGAGCAAAGGATCTGTAAGAGGGAATTGAGGTTTTCCCAGAATATAACATTGCCAAGGAAATTTCAACAAATCCGATAAATGACATGGGAACCCTCCCAGAACTACGACTGCAACTGCAAGTGGGGAGGCTGGTGAATTGTTTAACAACCTATAGAATGAATATTGGGGCTGCGAGTGGGGCTGCGGACGAGTGATCCATCCACCAAGAATGAATATTGTTTGTTTAATTCCCTCCCAAAACTTCTCCATCTTTGGGCGGAAAAATCAATTAACTGCATAAACAAAGCAGACCTGAGAGTCTCAGTGGACGACAATTAGGTATAGATAATGAGTAAATTGAAGCCATTTGGTCTAAATAATTGACTGCAATCTGGTCTTATAGTACTCAAGGGTTGAAAAGGTGGGCAGTCGACTTACATTTGATGATTTGAACAAGCTAAGATACATAGCTGTTGTGAATGAAGAACTTAAGTGATGTTAGCCAAAGCTGCCGATTCCCTTCAGTTTTCTGCACAAACTCCACATTTCCTCCACTGAAATGTCTCTGAATCATTGCCTCGTTCACAGCTCTGATTGCCTTCCGCATGTCCCTGGCTGTGGTCGCCCTGTCACACTGCATTCCTCCTCCATTACACCCAATCAAGAATCACTCTTCGTATTACATCAGCTCTAAGAATCAACATGCACAATCACTCTTCGCATTCAAACCAGCGACCTAATAGCCGTCCGTTAATCGGAAACCAAAAAGGAAAACTTGGATGGAGTAGGGATACCATACCTCGTTCCCCAGCGTCACTGTCCTTGCGCTTCAATATCTTCCTCGCGTCCTTCTTTCTTACTAAGAAATTGAGAATCTCACGGCTACTCAACGTCTCTCTTTTGTCCCCACTAAACAAAGACCCATTTGGCAACCAAACCTGGGAGGAGGGGCTGATGAACACAGATACAGCTGCTGTTGATGAGGGAGAAAGATTGACACTGCGACGCAATCAAGGGGGCTACGCGCGGATGCCGAAGCCAATACCTATCCATTCTTGGCGATTGCAAATTATCGCCCTAGCTCTATTGTAATCGCCGTAACTTGAAAGTGGAAATTACTTGAAGAATGGAAAGACTGCTATTTTTGTGTGGAGTTGCTGGGTTTCGTATCTAATTCTGGCGGCTCCTGAAGCTGCAGCAGCTCGAGGAAGTGATGATGGCGAAGGTAGGGCGAGCAGAAGAAGGACGGCACCGGCGGCAACGAGACTAAGCTGCAGGCACCGAGAAGACGACGCGAAATGGAAGTGTTGGTAATAACTAATAGGGTTTGGAAAATCGTTGAAAGAATAGACAAAAGAAGATGTCCTGAAAAACATTTTCGGCTATATTACCGGTTTCGAACACCAAACCTCATTAAACGTCGTTATTCAGGTTGGTAGCTTACGCCTTACAGACAGTAAAACTTGTTCTTGCTGCAAAATGTGTTCTTGGACACACTGCCAATAATGGGAGGGCTCTCCTCTTCATCAATATGTTAGATTCTGCAAAAGAAAGCACAGAAGAACATGGTTGAAGCAAAGGTCACGTTTGGCTCCTTGTACATATCTTGTATCTGAGAAATGTCTGGTTGTGCTCCCTACTGTCTGTTTTTGGGACTAAATTAAGAAAATACATAGTTACGGTCTGCTTGAGATCAAAGAAGCAGCGATAACAGAGGCTTCTAAGGTGATAAGCTTACGAATCAAAAAGAGTTTGGTTAGCTACATGCTAATTAGTACACTGACATGAGATCAATAACAACAATCAAGAAAAGATACAATGATTATGTTATGCATGCATCATCATCACACATTGACAAGTATACATATCCATTGGTTTGCAGTAGAAACAACAGTTATCCCATGCTTATCCTATGATCAGTTATCATCTGGATATAAGAAGTATGTGTTTGCAGTAGAAACAACAGTTATCCCAACAACCTTTTGAAGAGGCAGTGAAGTACAAATGTTGGAGAGATGCAATGAATGCAGAATTAAGGGCACTAGCAGCTAATCATACATGGGATGTGGTTAATTGCCCACCTAGGAAGAGGCCAATAGGCAACAAATGGGTATTCACTATCAAGTTCAACCCTGATGGTAGTATTGAAAGGTATAAGGCTAGACTGGTAGCCAAAGGTTTCACCCAAATTTATGGTGTGGATTTTCTTGACACCTACTCACGTGTTGCCAAACTGAATTCATTCAAAACGCTCTTGGCTATTGCCTCTGCTAGGGACTGGGCATTACATCAATTAGATGTAAGTAATGTCTTTCTTCATGTAGACCTTGAAGAAGAGGTTTACATGGATCTCCCTCCTGGCATTTCTGATTCTGGCCAAGTCTGCAGACTAAGAAAGTCTGTTTATGGCTTGAAACAAGCCTTGAGATAGTGGTTTGCTAAACTCACATCTGCCCTTCTCAGCTTTGGATACACACAGTCTAACAGTGATTATTCTATGTTTATCCACCATAGCAACTCCTCTAGCACTTCTGTCCTCTTAGTTTATGTTGATGATATCATCATTGCAGGTGATGATATTCACAGCATAACTGCTCTCAAGCAATTTCTGCATTCTCAGTTTAAAATCCGTGATCTTGGCAATCTACATTACTTTTTAGGGCTTGAGATTGCTCGATCAAAGGGGGGTATGCACATTTGCCAGAAGAAGTACTGCATTGACCTGTTAAAGGACACTGGTTATGCTGATTCAAAGCCAGTTATCACTCCCATTGATATGAAAACCAGGTTGTCCTCTGATGATGGTCCATTACGGGGGAAGGATGAAGGAACCCTGTTCAGGAAGATCATTAGAAGTTTACATTACCTTACCATTACACGTCCTGATCTCACTTTTGCAGTTCAACAATTGTGCCAGTATCAAGCTGCTCCAACCTCTAATCATTTGCAGCTTGCATACAGGATTTTGAAGTACCTTAAAAATGCCCCCAGGGCAGGGTTTGTTCTATCCTTCCAAGTCTAATTTACAGCTCAGAGGCTACAACGACTCAGACGGGGCGTCTTGTCCAGATACTAGGCGTTCTACAACAGGATACTGTGTCTCTTTGGGAAGATCTTTGATTATTTGGAAATCGAAGAAACAGGGCACTGTTTCTCGATCATCTTCTGAAGCTGAGTATAGAGCTCTTGCTCAGCTTACTTGTGAAGTTGTGTGGGTGAAGAGACTTCTACAGGAGCTGCACATTGAACATCCAAGACCTGTAGACGTCTACTGTGACAATCGATCAGCCATTTACATCGCTGAAAATCCTGTGTTTCATGAACGAACGAAACACATTGAGATCGATTGTCAAGTTGTCAGACAGTTCCTTCAGTCCAAGCTCATTCATCTCAGCCATCTTAAAACAGAGAATCAGGTTGCAGATATGTTTACGAAGGGACTAAGCAGGCATCGTCTTTTGTATCTTCTGTCCAAGCTGAACATTCATAATATGTATGTGTCAGCTTGAAGGGGCGTATTGAAGAAGACGATGTAGCTGCTCTGATTTTGTCTAAGGCGAGAACACTACCGAGCTGGTGGCACGACATCGTTTCAACCATAAGCAAGTGAAGAGCTGGGAGCAGACGCCGCCGTTCCATTTAGTGTTCTTAGGAGTTTCCGTTTTTACTGTTTATACACACCTGTCTTCTGTGGGAACGGCTACGGTGCTAATTGTACAATAGTTAGCACCGTCCTAACCAAAGCAGTCAAAATCGGGATTTTACGTAAAATCGAAAATGGGGGTAAAATCGGAATCGTAAAATCGAATCGTAAAATCGTAGGATTTTAAGGTCCATATAAAAATGAAGACGAAATAATATTAGTAAGGAAAATCATGAATAACACAAAAGCACATAACACTTACAATGATAATTTTTCAAGGTTAATGTTCCAATTTATCAAGGTTAATGTTAAGAGGTGGTGAATCGATGATGACTAATAATGTGAAGGAGAAGAAAAAGATGCGTAATTTTGCAAATTCTAGGGGAAATATGTAAAATTGACTCTAAGATTTGAATCGTAAAATCGTAAGATTTTGAAGATTTTAAGGATTTAAATCGTGAATAGTATAGGATTTTAAGGTGCATAGATTTTATAGTGAAATCAGAATCGGAATAGGTAAGTAAAATCGTAAAACCGTAGGATTTTAGGATTTAAATCGGGATTTTGACTACTCTGGTCCTAACCAAGGGAAAAACTACTACTAGTTTGAATTAGTAGTGATTTAGCTTAGATGTTGTATTGATTTTATAATAATCCGTAGTGATTTCGTTATTTTTAGTAGCGCTTTTTGCACCTAATCCCATTCCGTCTTCTGTTGATCGGTAGTTAGAAGATAGTTTATTTTACCGTTGTAAATATGCTGACTAGACCCCTTGTACAGGAAGCTGTCTCTGGCTTCGTATATATACTGCCCTTGAAGCAAATGAGCTCTTTTGCGGGTTCTTCCACCAAATTCTGATCCTATCCAAAACTTCACACTTCTTGCCCACTCAACAAAGACCCATTCGGCAATCTAACCTGGGAGGAGGGCTGGTGTTGCTGAGAGAGAGAAGGGGAAGCAGAAATGGGGCGCGGAGAAAGAGTGACACTACGACGCAATCAAGGGCACTACCCGCGGCAGACAAAGTCAGAAACTAGCTATTCTTTGCACAAGTAGTCGGAAAGGGAGTTTCAAAATTTGAAAACTGTTCGACAAAACCGAAGCCCAAGTGGGAATCATCAAAAAGTAGTATAATTTATAAATGGGGGAAGAAAGAAGACAACTGCTTGTAGCAAAGAAGATCTAAGATGGACTGGTCGACGGGAGAAGAATGGGAAACTGCTACTTCAAGCGGGGAAGCTTGCTGCGGCGACAGCAGCTCGAGGAGGTTGATGATGGCGAACGGCGGCAACGAAATTAAGCGGCGGCTGCGAGGAGTGGTGAAGTGGGAGGAAGAGTGGGAGGAAGTTGTTGGAATTGGGTTTGGTTTGGACTGTAGGGGTAGGGCTGCAAACGAGCCAAGCTACTAGCGAGCAACTCGAGGCTCAGTTCGATAAAAACTCGTTCGACACTCGGCTCGATTCTTAATGAGCTTGCTCGTGAGCCGGCTCATTTATTAACGAGCCAAGCACGAGCCAAGGCATCTGCAACTCGAGCAGGCTCGCAAGCTAGCTCGGCTCGATGGCTCGTTGAGCTAAGCTCGCGAGGTGACTCGTTTGAAGCTCGCAAGCTGACTCGATAGTGTGACTCGCGTGTTAGCTCACACAAGATAGCTCTCTTGCTAATGTGGCTAACGAGTCAATTTAAGTTCACTAGTCAACTTGACTGTGTGACTCGCAAGGAAATTCGATTAGCTGCTTTGTACAGAGCTCCTATGTTGGCATACTACTAGTCAATAGTCATTTAACTCATAGGTTGGTTAGACACTTGGACTACATATATATCAATTTAATGTGGCTTGATATTTTGTATACGCGGTGGCCAATTAGTTGTTGCATATATTTTGTAATATAAATAAATAAATTTAGATTGATTAAATACAAATTACTCTTTAATTATATGAATTAATGATACAATATCCACATAGGCGATTTATTATTGTCTTTGAGTTACACTACACACATCATCACATACAGCAGCGGCGCCGTTTTGGAGGGGATAACAAGCAGAAGCGGCGCCGTTTCTTCGCTGGGACAAGGCGACTAGGCGAGAAGAGTTTCTTCAATGATGTCACTCAATATATTTCTGGAAGTGAGTATCCAACTTCCAATTTATTTCTTCCTGAGCTTTGGGGAATCAAGAAGTCGTTAGATAAGACTATAACTTCAGAGAATGGTAGTATGCAGTCTATGGCTTCTGATATGTTGAACAAATTTGAGAAATATTGGGGGGAGTCTAACATGTTGATTTCAATTGCTGCTATTATGGACCCAAGAAACAAGTTTAAGATGCTTGAAGTGTATTTTCCTGATATTTACAATGGAGCTGAAGCTGTAAAGGGGCAGATTGCACTAGTTCGCGACAAGCTTTACCAACTCTTTCATGAGTATGTTGAAGAATACAAAGAGAAGAACATGGGGAACTCAATTGAAGATGAAAGTGCCACACTTTCCTCTTCTACTTCTGTTATGTCTTCTACTTCAAGTGGCACCGGGATGAAGAGAACGGGAAGGGCAATGTTTGACTCACTTATTCGAAATGTTGATTGTGTTACTACAACATTAAAATCTGAGTTGGATATTTATTTGGAGGATGGTCTTTACATTGATCCGGATGATTGCGACCTTAATGTTATTGAGTGGTGGAAGGAGCAACGTATGAGGTATAAGGTCTTGTCAAGGATGGCTTGCACTACAGGAAAACAAATTTTTAGACACGGGAACTTATTCACATGAACTTTTTCCGTACTTAGAAGTATACTAATAGTCATGGTAAAAATTCCTGTAATTGACAGTATAGATCTAAACACGGGAATTAATTTAACAGTTTTTAATTTTTATTTACCGTAACAAATTGTTAGTCACGGTTAATTACCATGAACAATATCATAATTTAGTTTGAAAATTTTTACCAAAATTTAGGAGGGAGAATTTGGTTTGACTCCAAAATTCATTTCCTCCAAAACTTCCCACAAAAAAATTTCATTTGGGCTCCAAAAAGTAGGCAACGAAAATTATACCGCCCACCGTCTTTTCCCTAGTTTTTATTTATCGCCTTCGCGGTTTTTTGGTTCCTCTTTCCTCGACCTGATTGCCATCGTAAAACAAAAGAAAAAGCTGAAGTCGACATAGTCAACAAGATAGACAGACATAAATCCCTTCTCTCTTCTTCTCTCTAAACGAACAACATAGGCAAAGACCTAAATCTCTTCTTCCTCTTCCCCAGATCTGCACCGCTTCACCCAAATCCTTCCCCTCTGACTAAAAATCAATGTTCCCATTCCATATTATCTTCATCTTCAATCAGCTTCTTCCTCGACTCCATGGTCGAAAAATCACCATCACACCCTACCTTTGTGAGTGATAAATCTTTATCGCGCTATCCATGGGGCTATCCTGGAACAAATTGAGGCAGAATATGTTGGATTCGAGACCCAGGGAAAGGTCCACGATGAACCTAGATCTGTATTCGAAGGCGGAGGTGCAAGAAACTTTCGGCAATGGCGACTCTTGGCACAACTTATGGCGTAAATCGCAGGGGAGCTGGACAACGGCGGAGCTAGATGTTCCCGAGCGGCAACGAGCAAGGCTACCAGGAAAGGATCCTACGACCCAGACCTTCCCTTCAAATTCGTCACTTTTTTCAGATGAGGGGCAGAAAGGAGATCGCTAGGTTTGTGGAGATTAAATTTGGGATTTGGGGGTTCTGTTTTTGTTGGGGTTTTGGGATGGGTTCTAGAGATGAGATTTATGAGGGGTTTGTTTCTTGTATGTTGCAGATGATGGCGCCAGCAACGACGATATAATGAGGATTCTTTTGTGTGCATTGTTGTATCATTGCTGATGTTCTCATCTGGCTGCTACAAGGTATAGAGCAGAAGAGTTTTTATTTTGAGTTTATGGATTGGTGTTTGGTTTGTGTTAACGTGGCTTGTGTTGATGAACTTGGAGTTTTCAGTAATGTAGGATTTTTTGTTTGAATTATGTATCAGGGGGACGTGAGAAGTGTTTATTGTTATACTTCATCTTTCCATCAAGGCTGCAGGTTTTACTCTCAGCCTGATTTTCAATTTCGGATTCTAGGGACTGGATTCTTCACCAAAACCGAAGTCCTAGTTTACTCAATTCTAAGTACTCTTTAAGTCCAAACTTGGTGTCAGCTCAGCAACAACCATATTAAACAAGTCGTTTGAAGAACATGACAAGGAAGAGGGAGAGGAAAAAGAGGAGAGACTTATCTATGTTGTTCCTCTATAGCAAAGGAAAAGGAATTAATCTAAAGCCTGGTCTCTTTTCTCTCTACTTGGATTTAAATAGTTTGTGTTTTGTTCGTATCCATTCTGTTTATTTCTCTTCACTATTTAGTATTTATATTGGTTGCTTCGAATTAAAGATACAAAAAAATTTCGTTTACAGTCACAGATGGGTAACTGGACTAGTTGGAGGAGTTTGGTTCAAGCGATTGGAGAAGCTATCACGGGTTAGCAGAGTCAGTTCTTCTTAATTGAACAACTGGCCATTATATCAATCATGGTTGTAATCAAACAGGTTGTAATTTGATATTAAATGTGTGAATGATTATATATATTTTGTTAAAACTAGAGAAACTTTCAGGTTTGGTCAAGCCGAGCTTTGATCAAAAGCTTCAAAGGATTTTGGCTCGCTGATTTTGGCTTGTTGAGCTCATTTGCGAGCTAGAATCGAGTCGAGCTCGAGTCGAGCCCGAGCTCAAATTTTTCCTTTCGAGCCGAGCTTGAGCTTGAATTGTATAGCTCGTATCGAGTTCGAGCCGAGCCCGAGCTGAGTTATCCTCTCTCGAGTTCGAGCCCGAGCTGGGCAAAAGCTCGGCTCAGCTCGGCTCGTTTGCAGCCCTAGGTAGGGGTGTGCAGCTGTCCGGTCTCAAACCGGAAACGGATCAAACCATGATAACCGGCAGGGTTATCAAATCGGTTGATATCGTTATATGCCGGTTTGACAAGTGGCATTGTCCTAATTTAAATAAGTTCATGCCGATTTAGAAAATTTCCAAACTAAATGAAGGGACGGGATACGGTGACAACCCCTTGGGGGTTGTCAGATTCACAACCAAGGGTATTTTGGATATGAGAAAAATGAATATATTAATTACCTTTTTGTATTAAAAACCCATATTAAATACAATTTTTTCTGAAATTTAAATCCTATACATTAATATCTCTATCTATCTCTCTCTCTCTCTTCCTTTCTCCAGCAGCCACTCCGCATCGACCGACAAACTTTTTCTCCGGCAAATTCTCTCCGGCAGACTCCCTCCGGCAACCTGAAAAAATGTACCAATGCGTTAAAAAGTGTATCAATCTATTAGTCTACTGGTAATTAATATACTAGTGCTAGTGGTACGCTACCAGTACGTTAAAAATGTACCAGTACTAGCGGTACCAGTAAAATATGTACCAGTACTAGTGGTACGCTACCAGTACAACGCTACCAGTAGAGAATAACACAACGCTACTAGCATTGGTAGCGCTACCACTAGCATTGGTAGCGGTACCAGTAGCGAATAACACCAAAAAAAAAAAAAAAAACAGATGATAGTGGTACCAGATGATAGGGGAGCCACTAGTATTGGTACCAGTGAGTAGTGGTAGCGTACCAATAGCGTTACCAGTGGTATTGGTACCAATAGTGCTACCAGTGGTATTGGTACCAATAGTATCAGTATCGAAATCCTTCCTCCAGTTAATCATATCCGCCCACATCTGCTTGGCCTTTTCAATGTCGAACTTCCTCGCCTTCAAAAACCTAAGCATCATGTGGTGATCGTCGTGCCTCGCCGGAAGAAGCTCGTCGAGAATCAAAGCCTGCCGGAAAGCATCCACGCCCTCAGCTCCTCGGCGTCGATCTCGTCGGCGATCGACATCACCCTGCTGTTCCGGCGACCCTTCTTCGTCAGCGAGCTCCGAAACCTTCTTCTTGAACGACCCCCCTCCTCCTCCCCCCCCCCCCCCCCCCCCGCCTTCTTCTTCTTCATCTCTTCCTCCGAGAGCACGTCGAGCCCCGGAGGCGCGGTGATGACAGCCGGCGCGGCGGTGGGCATGGGAGAGGAAGAGGGAGATGCGGCGACGGAAACGTCCGCGGAAGAAAGGGAGGAAGGGAAGAAGGAGGTGGTGAACGGCTGTGAAGTTGGGCTGAGTTAGATTAGGGTTTTATTAATTTATATGGGAGGGAAAATGATTGGGTGTGGTAAGTTTTTTTCATCCCAAAAACACCCTTCTTTTAATCTCAACCTTCAATTTAAAAATAACACAAGAGAGACAAGAGAGATAATACATCTAATGGCTATAAAGTGGGTTGTCAAACCCACAACCCCTTAAGGGGTTGTCACCATAACTCGTCCCAAATGAAAAGTATTATATTTAAATATAACATTTAACACCAACTTCGAAACATTTATACTTGAGATTTGAATAAAACAAATAACATAAACATCTAAACATTCATATTTCATACTTCAATCCAACAAATAACATCAACATTTAACTTCCAAATTAAATAAACAAATATTTTTTTTTGTTAACTAAATTTTTAACAACGCCATAATTTTGTTTAGAAGTAAAATCAATCATACTAGTCATATGAGGAAGCATTCAAATCGTTTTGCGATCGACGCCAGTTGAACCCAATACAACCGAACGGCATGCAACCATGATAATAGCGGCTCAATAGTAATCGAAACTTAAGAACCGTGACCACAAATTAGAATTGTCAATCTCTCAGTGATGGCAATTGGGAGAGGCGAAAGCGAGGGCGTCAACTACAATACTCATACTCGCCCCAGTACTAAGTGCGGGTCAAATCGGGTAATGCACACGCAAGGTAAAACAGTTTTTTATATGTTATTTGAAAAAATAACATCGATATTTAACTATTTTACAAGAACACATAAAATATACACTTCACAACTGAATAAGAAATGCACGAGAATAAATAATTGAGTCTAAATAGTTGAAATATGAATTTTAAAATTTCTTTTAGACGAAAATATGATTTAAAAATGTTAAAAAAAGAATAAATACATGTAGAGATTAATACAAATTACGAAATAACGAGTCGAGAACGAGACAGAACTGATCGAAAGCGATACTCGTACCTATTTCACACACTACTAATACTATAGATTGAATAATACTTTTCCCAAACAAACAAGTAGGAACATGACGAATTGTGCGAATCATGTAAAAAATTGTCATCACTAAACTCCTATATTCAATCATTCTTTGTCATCGCTACCCCTCCAAACATACCACAAAAATCAACAACGTTTGACTACACTTTAAACATCGAGGCCAACAGTCAAAATCTAAAAGATACTCAGATTCAAATTTCAATCAATAAGTTCAGCAAAGATAGTCTCAACTCTCAATAGATCCTTTTTCGTAGTACTAGAAATCCATAATACAATTGAAATCGAAATATGAGTGCAAATGATATTACCAAGTAGATCACACAAAGCCATCGACAACAGAGACAACAATATTGACATGCTCAACTTCCTTCAGAGTCATCCACCATGATCCTGCCAAACTTCTGAAACAAACGATCCACAAACTCCACATCTCCTCCACCGAAATGGCTTCGAATCTTCGCCTCGTTCACTGCTCTAATCGCTTTCCCCATGTTCCTCGCCATGGTCGCCTGGTCGCACTGCGTTCCTCCTCCATTACACACCCATCCCATCGGATCACGATGATCTCCAGGCGATCCACAGCAAACGACCCTTCTCTCTCGATCTCGGCTCTCATCTCATGTGATCACGTCTTCAGTGAACGGCTCATAATACGGCGTGTTGGAAGCGTCCAGCTTCCCTTCAGAAATAAGTCCCTGTTAGCACACAGCATAAAAAGCAATTAAGAGACCACCAAGCTGGTTTCATATCAAACACAGGAGGGCGTGCACTATCACGGTCGCTCTTCGTCAACTTGTACACAGAAGCTGCTATCCAAAATAGACGATAATAGTAAAGATGGGAAAAATTAGAGCATGAATCCAAAATAAAAAAAAATTATGACATTGGCGAATGTTGGAGCATGAATTGATCAACGTTTAGGATATTCAAACCTGAATTGTAAACCTTACACCATTTATTCTCTAATTCCTAAAAACAATGATTAGGAGTTTTAACAAGAATAAAAAAAACTATGTATATTGTGCGAATTCTAGAGCATGAACTGATTAACATTTAGGATATGCAAACTTGAATAGAAAACATTACACCCTGATTCTCTAATTCCTAAAAACAATGATTTAAGAGTTTTAATTTGTGCAAATACATTCAAAATACCAGATGCACAAGTTTTGGGCGCATACCACATCTCGTCATTTTAAGTAGCTAATTCAAGGCAAAATAATCACAATTTTAAATTGCAATAAAACAGAAGATGGACAAATATGTACAAAAACTATTTAAAATTTACTAGTAATTTGATGTGTTTGAGTTGGTGGCTTAAGGTTTAGAATCTAAGAGTTGGGATTAAAAAAAAAAACAAGAAGAAGCAATGGATTAGTTGTAGTTCTTGATTATCTTAGTAGACTAGTTCTACAATTAAATATTTTCAACAACGAGAATGATATGTTGTTGAGAGTGGGACCTGAATGAGAGAAATTGAATTGAAGATAAATGCCAAGGATGTGAAACTTAGTGAAAAAGATCTCAGGGAACCCAACCTGAAGCTTGGAGTATATAGCCGTCCAGATTTATATTGGGGATGTGGGAAATGTTGGGCCAGTCTTCGCCTCCACCCTTTTCGCATCTTATTATCAACTCAGGACACCCGCAAATTTTCAAAATGTGTAAAGAGGTGAAGTGTTGTATTGCTGGAAGCAGATTTGCTAATCTTGGACAATAGTAAATATCCAATTCACGGAGAGAAGTGAGGTTGCAGAGGCCTTCTTCTGGTAGAAATTCCAGTTCTTCAATTAACCAAAGTTTCAACTTTTTCAAGTTAGATAGCGGTCTATCCAGCGCAGTCCTCTGGGAAGAAGGAGAGGTAGTTGCTGTTGTAGTGGAATGTTGCTGAGAATCATGATGAACTGCTCCCGCCACTTGCATCTTCATTGTCCGCACTAGCGCCTCTGAGCTGGTTCTCATTAGCCTCAACCCTTCAACCGTTGGAAACAGAGGGATCCGAGTCAGGTTTGGACAACCTCCAATATCCAATGCCAAAAGACAAGGGAAACGGGGCCACTCCTCATCTTCCCTTTCCTCTTCCATTGAAGGATCAAAGTTGTAATAATCATCATCACCACCATCGCCATAATTATCATTATTCCCCTTCCTTTTCTTCCACCAACATCCCTTCAGATTCGGACAGTCCCAAATTGTTAGCTCTTTCAAGGATGGAAGTCCATGTAGGGGTGGCAGGTACTCTACCTTCTCACATCCTCTTAAGTCAATCAACGTCAAGCTTGCACTGGAACACAACGAACTAGGAAGCTTTACCCCTCGATGACATTCCCCAATTCTCAACTCCTGAAGAGATACGAGACAACTGCTCGAATCATGATATGATAGGGATTCGAAATCGTCATCAATCATTTTTAAAGTCAGCTTGGTCAGCCCAGAGAGTGAGTGGACCAATGCCGAAGAAGAAGACGTACCAAGAGGATGGATATTTGTATCGAAGTAATCCCTATAACCAACACCTCCTTCTCCCCTCATCTTCATCTTCATAGTCCTAGCTAATGGTGCTAAGCTCACCGCAACCAACTCCAACTCGCCTTCAACGGTAGGGAAAGTGGGCAACCGAGTTAGCCTTGGGCAATGCTCAATGCGCAAGTTAGCAAGACAACGAAATCGAGGCCATTCGCAATCCTCTTCCTCTATCGGTGAAGAATCACGATGATGGCCATCATCATCGATGCCCTTCAACAGCGGGCAATTGTCAATTGTAAGCTTCTTCAGACTCTGCATTTTATGAATTTGCGGGGGGAGATACTCACATTGCCTGCAATCTTCTAATGAGAACTCAACCAAATTGGTGAGGCCAGACAACCAGTTAGGAATCTTCACCCCTTCATAACCTGCATGTATCGCCAACTTCTTCAGATTAAAGTGTGGCTTCAGTATTTCCAATATCCCTTCATGATGAATAGACACGGAAGTAATATAATCAGCGCCAAAGTGATAATATCTTCCCCAATCTATAACAAGTGACTGGAGATGTTGCTTTTCATTCAAGACATAAACACCTGTTCTTGGAGATTCAGGATGTCCTAGGCCTCTAATTATCAATTCTCCACACAATGCATTTAACCCTTTCAGCTCATCCAACTCAGCCCCAACTGTCTCGTCATTTCCAATACTACTGCTCCTCTCCCTCACTACAAACATTGGTAGCCTTGCGAGAAACTTCAACTTTCCAATCCCTTTTGGCATATGGGTTAATTGTCCCGCAAACTCTGCTTTGAGCTCCAAATGCTTCAAATTAACAAGCTTCTCAATGTCCTTTGGTAGTTCTTCTAGTGACTTGGAGGCACTGAGTTCCAGTACTTGCAGATTAACTAAGTTGCTAATTGAGTTTGGAAGTCCTTTCCTTCCCTCGCAATTGAAAGCAAGAAATCTTAAATGCTTCAACTTATCAAAATTAATTGAAGTAAAAGCATCCAAAATGGACCTGTCTTCGTCGTCTGAGTCTGGATCTTTGCACACAAATATTAGTACGCGCAAGCGTATGAAGTTTTTAATGACTTGTTGAACTTCTTCTCTTGTAAGAGTCTTCCGGCACATAAGAGTTCGCACCTGGCTTGCATTTCCCAGACCATCACCACCATGATCTTCTTCTCTCTGATCACGATCACCCCTTATGCACAAGTGACGGGTCTTTGAAGGAATATTTTTTAGAATCGTTAAACTTGGAGTCACTATGATCTTTTCTCCAGCTATCGAGCCAGCTAGGTCGTGCATTAAGTCATGCATTGTGCATGTTGACATATTGTCCAGCCACTCCTGCCCATCCATTTCCACCTCTTGGAAGAATGATCGCCACCATAATGTTTTGAAGCAGTCAAAACCTTTATCTTCCGAATCAATGTACCCTTGTGCTACCCAAAGTTGAACCAACAATTTTATACGGAGCCTCTCACCCTTTCCAAACAATTTACAGTAAGAAAAGCAATGCTTCATGTGGGAAGGGAGATGATTGAAACTTAGTTTGAGAGCTGACATAGTAGGATCTTCTTTTTCTCCTTCTTTTGTGATGCTCGAAACGCTTTTTTCTTTAAAAGATGGCCACTCAGTCTTTGGATCGTTAGAATCTACTAACACACCAGCTATGGTGCTCACAGCTAGAGGAACTCCACCACACTTCCTCAGTATTTCTTTACCAATTTCTTGCAGTTGTGGTTCTTGCGGGAGTTTTCTTGGGAAGGCCTTTTCCACCAGTAAGTTCCAAGACTCTTCTTCTGACAAGCCTTCCAATTTATAAGGCTCCACAATGCTGGTAATTGTTCTCGACTTTAGAGCTCCGCCAGCAAAATCCGCCACTCTTGTGGATCGAGTAGTCAGCAGCACTTTGCTTCCAAGAGCACCGACCGCCAAATAATTTTCCAATTTCTCCCAACTTTGCCTCTTCTCCTCCCAAGCATCGTCCAATACAAACAAAAACTTCTTGCCTTCTATTTCCCCCCGGAGCCGAGCTTGTAAAGCATCTAAAGTGAGATCCTCCACTTTCTCACGAGTTATGGATTCCAACATCCTTCGGATGATCATTTTGAAATCAAAGCTCTGTGAAACATAGACCCAAGCTTTGATACCAAAGTGATCTTGAACTTCTTTGTCATCAAATACGGACTTAGCAAGGGTGGATTTACCCAACCCACCCATCCCAACAATGGAAACGACCGAAATGTTGGCTTCTGGGTTGTAATTCAGCAATAGTTCAATGATATTTTTCTTGTCCTCGTCCCTCCCAATCATAATGCTGGGTGGGCAGGCATCCGTCTCCCTGAAGGAAGGAAGAGCTCTTAACTCGGTGCCAACTTCGAACTTGAAAGCCTCCTTCTCTCTGGATATAACATCAAGCTTCTCCCGAAGAGCCTTAATATCACGAGCCATCTTACGATTATACATCAACTGCTTGGAACGGGAAGAGACCGGAGACCATATTCTCCTACGGAAAGTCGCTGCCATCCCAGGCCTCCGGTGAGTCTTTGCTAGCTTCCGAAGCGCAACCTCTGTGGATAAATCGTCAAGCAGATCCTCAGCATCGTACATAACATCGGAGATCTTCTCGAGCCAGAGTTTGACTTGGTTGTCGTGGGACTGCTTCTTCTCTGCGTCGAGAAGCACACCCTGGGTGATGGTGACGGTAACCTTGAGGTTCAGGATCTCAGGTTTGAGATTCCTGAGGAGTCGGACCTGATCGGACACAAGGGTGACCAACTTGACAAGGATTAGTTCAACTAGAGGGCCCAGAATGATTTCAACCATTTCTTTGGGAGGGAAAAACAGAGGAGATGCAGGGGAGCTTGGAAACAAGAGGTAGAATAGTGGAAAAGTGAGAAGGAATTACAAGGGCGAGAAGTAGATTGCCAGATGAAATAGCAAGGAGTTTCCCAGGATAAAATGAAGGAAGCTAGAGAGAAATGAAGATCAAGGGTAGGAGAGACAGCAAGGAAAACCCAGGGTAACAGCAACGAGACGCAAAAGGCAGGGGAGCAACATCGAAGCAAGAGAGCAGGAGAGGAAGACTGAACTTTCAATGACTTTAGATCTGTAAGAGGGTTTTGAGATTTTCCCAAGAATATGAAATGGCCATGGAGATTTCAACAAACCCAAACAATATTATATTCCTCCCATGCAAGTAGGACGATGGTGAACATTTACCAAACACACGAATATTCTTAGTTGCCATGACAGGTGAAGTGTGAACCCTCCAAGAAGCACAACTACCAAGTTGACCTCAAAACAAACGACAAAGACATCCTGACTAGGTGGAGACAGTGATCTTTGAGCTACTCCAAGCTCGCCAATGAGAGTGGCAACTGGGAATCACAAGTAGAATATAAGCACACAACCCAACGACCGCCGGGCACAAAGCTAGAAATATATTAAAAGACATCGAGAACGAAAGACAACGAAATGCTAGCTGGATTGACGATTACCTAATGCTTATTATATGTGCTGATTGATTGATATCTGTGCTCTTCTTTCCTTCCCAAATCTAAACAATACAGAAGGAAAGAGACGGAAAAAAACTCAATGGAGACGAGGATGAGCATCAAAGATAAGTTTGCAGCATTCAAAAAGGGTGCAATTCTCGATCGATGTAGATGGTTACAAGGCAAAATCTAAAGCAACAAATTAGGCAGTTTTTTTCTGCAGAATTCAAGCACATATCCGTTGCAGAAGACCAGAGACAAGTCTCAAACAATATTGAAGAGAAACAATGCTGGATTGGGTACTTATATTAGTGGAACTCGATAAAATGAATGATAACATACTAGATTGGTCAGGCCGGTTGGCCGGGAGAAGTTGATTCTCATGGATAAATTAGGGTTCTCAAAATCGTTTCAGGAACTAGATTAATAGTGTCTATGTCATTTATTTGATTATTGTGTCTTTTTCTGTCCGGCTTGGCTGTTTGTATGGGGTCTCATTTATCTTTTGTTTTCCTCAATCACTTTCTTCGTTGAAAAGCAAATGTGAATGAATGAACGACTTACATACATGGCAGTTGATTATTACTTGGTATTAGCAACCAAGCAGTATAATGGGACGATATAAAATTTTGGAATTGGGTTTATTTCTTTTATTAGTCTTTCTTAATTATTGTCTTATGTATATACTTGTCCAATTAAAATTTACTTATGTATGAATATATGGTTCACATACTTATAAGTAGATATTTCAGCTCATAAATGAATTAATTTGTACCGTTTGGTAAAAGAAAATAGTATATAAACTTGAACTATATTGTTTGTTGTGAAATCATTTGAACTGAAGTATAAACACCATATATTTCTTAGATAGAACTTTCTAACATGAATCGAGGAATAATGATTATTGGCTCAATTTGAATTCAAATAGGGATTTGCTTGATATGAAAATTTCTAATATTTATCACACCCACTTAAGATGTCATAATTCTAAAATGGTAACTCATGTTGTGGAAGGTTATGATGTCCGACATGTATTTTATGTTAAAATTTTCAAAATAAGACATCCAAATTTATCATCTCTATCTATGAATCCAAGATTCTGTGAGTTTGGACAAACTATCAGTTACTAATTGTTTTTTGAATTCCCACATCCTATAAATTCTTAGTGAAAATGCTTGATACTTGGAGAAATGTTGCTCATTCCAGTTGAAACTTTACAGACATCATACTCACTTGTGATAACTCAATAGTCAATTCTATAAACATCATACTCACTTGTGATAACTCAATAGTCAATTCTATAATTTCAAGCTCATTTCATTTTGGATGTTCACGTAGTCTTGATGTATGAACTTTGTACATATAACTGCAAAAAATTTTGGGAAAAAAATCAATTGCTTGTCAAAAACCACCGTAACGCGAAAACTCTTCTTGGTATAGCATTCACCTTACGTCTTCGGAAAAAAAAAAAATTAGATCGTAGAATTTATGACCATTTGGAGCGTATGCAGGAGAGTGTTACCTTAAAGAGAAAGCATCCATTAATTGTCATGTTTCAGGCAAACTTGTCCCGTCCAGAATAATAATCCCTCAGTCGTCCCTTTTGGTGATCACTATGATCGGCCTCAGCAAACTCATTCGCAAGCTAAGTCAGTTCCATCAGAGACCGACGATCTTGCTCTCTTGCGTCGCCTACTAGCATGGCTCAGCCATGTCAAGATCCGTCCAAACCATGCCATACAGGGTGGAATTGTCGACGACTGCAACTCCCTATAGCGCAGGCTGCAAGTGGGGATGCGGACGAGTGATCCATCCACCAAGAATGAATATTGTTTGTTTAATTCCCTCCCAAAACTTTCTCCGTCTTTGGGCGGAAAAACCAAATAACTGCATAAACAAAGCAGACCTGAGAGTCTCAGCGGACGACAATTAGGTGTAGATAATGAGTAAATTAAAGCCATTTGGTCTAAATAATTGGCTGCAATCTGGTCTTATAGTACTCAAGGGTTGAAAAGGTGGGCAGTCGACTTACATTTGATGATTTGAACAAGCTAAGATACATAGCTGTTGTGAATGAAGAACTTAAGTGATGTTAGCCAAAGCTGCCGATTCCCTTCAATTTTCTGCACAAACTCCACATCTCCTCCACTGAAATGGCTCCGAATCATTGCCTCGTTCACAGCTCTGATTGCCTTCCGCATGTTCCTGGCTGTGGTCGCCCTGTCACACTGCATTCCTCCTCCATTGCACCCAATCAAGAATCACTCTTCGTATTACATCAGCTCTAAGAATCAACATGCACAATCACTCTTCGCATTCAAACCAGCGACCTAATAGCCGTCCGTTAATCGGAAACCAAAAAGGAAAACTTGGGTGGAGTAGGGATACCATACCTCGTTCCCCAGCGTCACTGTCCTTGCGCTTCAATATCTTCCTCGCGTCCTTGTTTCTTACTAAGAAATTGAGAATCTCACGGCTACTCAACATCTCTCTTTTGTCCCCTTCTTCCACTAAACAAAGACCCATTCGGCAACCAAACCTGGGAGGAGGGGCTGATGAAAACAGAGATAAATTCAGTTACCTGTCTGTATATTATGCATGTCGACGATGATGAGTTTCATGGTCGTACAGTATTAAGGTCACTCTTTGTCAGCAATGGCTGCTATCATCGTCTGACTCTAGATTTGGGGTACATATACAGTTAAAAAAAACCTCAACTTTGTCAGCAAGGGGATTACATTAGACGATAATAGTAAAGATGGGAAAAATTAGAGCATGAACAAAAAAAAAAAAAGTTTATGACATTGGCGAATGTTGGAGCATGAATTGATCAACGTTTAGGATATTCAAACCTGAATTGTAAACCTTACACCATTTATTTTCTAATTCCTAAAAACAATGATTAAGAGTTTTAACAAGAATAATAAAAAAAACTATGTATATTGTGCGAATTCTAGAGCATGAACTGATTAAAATTTAGGATATGCAAACTTGAACAGTAAACATTACACCCAGATTCTCTAATTCCTAAAAACAATGATTTAAGAGTTTTAATTTGTGCAAATACATTCAAAATACCAGATGCACAAGTTTTGGGCGCATACCACATATCGTCATTTTAAGTAGCTAATTCAAGGCAAAATAATCACAATTTTCAATTGCAATAAAACAGAAGATGGACAAATATGTACAAAAACTATTTAAAATTTACTAATAATTTGAGGTGTTTGAGTTGGTGGCTTAAGGTTTAGAATCTAAGAGTTAGGATTAAAAAAAAAACAAGAAGAAGCAATGGATTAGTTGTAGTTCTAGATTATCTTAGTAGACTAGTTATACAATTAAATATTTTCAACAACGAGAATGATATGTTGTTGAGAGTGGGACCTGAATGAGAGAAATTGAATTGAAGATAAATGCCAAGGATGTGAAACTTAGTGAAAAAGATCTCAGGGAACCCAACCTGAACCTTGGAGTATATTGCCGTCCAGTTTTATATTGGGGATGTGGGAAATGTTGGGCCAGTCTTGGCCTTCACCCTTTCCGCATCTTATTGTCAACTCAGGACACAAAGAAATTTCCAATCTGTGTAAAGAGGTGAGGTGCCGCATTGCTGGAGGCAGAGTTGCTAATCTTAGACAAAAGCCAATCTCCAAAACACGGAGAGAAGTGAGGTTGCAGAGACCTTCTGGTAGAGATTTCAACTCTTGCATTCCCCAAAGATACAACTTTTTCAAGTTAGATAGCGGTCTATCCAGAGCAGTCCTCTGGGAAGAAGGAGAGGTAGTTGCTGTTGTAGTGGAATGTAGCTGAGAATCAAGATGAGCGGCTCCCACCACTTGCATCTTCAGTGTCCGCACTAGCGCCTTTGAGCTGGTTCTCCTTAGAATCAACCTTTCAACCGTTGGAAACAGAGGGATCCGAGTCAGGTTTGGACAACCTCCAATTTCCAATGCCAAAAGACAAGGGAAACGGGGCCACTCCTCATCTTCCCTTTCCTCTTCCATTGAAGGATCAAAGTTGTAATAATCATCATCACCACCATTGCCGTAATTATCATTATTCCCCTTCCTTTTCTTCCACCAACATCCCTTCAGATTCGGACAGTCCCAAATAGTTAGCTCTTTCAAGGATGGAAGTCCATGTAGGGATGGCAGGTACTCTACCATCTCACATTTTCTTAAGTGAATCAAAGTCAAGCTTGCACTGGAACACAACGAACTAGGAATCTTTACCCCTCGACGACAGTCCCCAATTCTCAACTCCTGAAGAGATATGAGACAACCGCTCGAATCATGATATGATAGGGATTCGAAATCGTCATCGATTGTCTTTAAGCTCAACTTGGTAAGCTTGGAGAGTGGGTGGACCAATGCCGAAGAAGAAGAGGAAGAAGAAGAAGTACGAAGAGGATGGCTATTTGCATCAAAGTCATCCGTATAACCAACACCTCCTTCTCTCCTCATCTTCATCTTCATAGTCCTAGCTAATGGTGCCAGACTCGCCGCAGAGAACTTCATTTTCTCTTCAACGGTAGGAAAAGTGGGCAACCGAGTTAGCCTGAGGCAACCCTCAATACACAAGTTAGCAAGACAACAAAATTGAGGCCACTCGCAATCCTCTTCCTCTATCGTTGAAGAATCACGATGATGGTCAACATCATCGATGCCCTTCAACAGCGGGCAATTTCTAATCGTAAGTCTCTTCAAACTTGGCATTTGCTGAATTTGTGGGGGGAGGTACTCACATTGCTCGCAATCTTGTAATGAGAACTCAACCAAATTGGTGAGGCCAGACAACCAGTTAGGAATCTTCACCCCTCCATAACCTCTTTGTATCGCTAACTTCTTCAGATTAAAGTGTGGCTTCAGCATTTCCAATATCCCTTCATCATGAATAGACAAGGAAGTAACATCATGAACATCGTCGCCAATGTCATCATCTCTGCTCCAATCTAAAACAAGTGACTGGAGATGTAGCTTTTCATTCAAGACATAAACACCTGTTCTTGGAGATTCAGAATTTCCTAGGCCTTTAATAGCTAATTCTCCACACAATGCATTTAACCCTTTCAGCTCATCCAACTCAGCCCCAACTGTATTGTTATTACTAATACAACCGTTCTTCTTGCTGACTACAAAAATTGGTAGCGTTTGGAGAAACTTCAACTTCCCAATCCCTTTTGGCATATGGGTTATATGTCCTGCTTCGTCTGCTATGAGCTCCAAATGCTTCAAATTAACAAGCTTCTCTATACCCTTTGGTAGTTCTTGTAGTGAACTGATGTCAATGAGTCCCAGTACTTGCAAATTAACCAAGTTGCTAATTGAGTTTGGAAGTTCTTTCCTTCCCTCGCAACTGAAATAAAGCAATCTTAAATGCTTCAACTTATAAAAATTAATTGAAGTAAAAGCATCCAAAATTGACCTGTCCTCATCGTTTGAGTATGAATCATCACAATAAAATTGTAGTGTGCGCAACCGTATGAAGTTGTTAATGACTTGTTGAACTTCTTTGCTTGTAAGATAACCCCAGTATGCAAGAGTTCGCACCTTGCTTGCATTTCCCAGACCATCACCACCATGATCTTCTTCTCTCTTATCATCATCATCATCACCAACCGTTACGAACAAGTGGCGGGTCTTTGAAGGAATATTTTTTAGAATCGTTAAACTTGAAGTTGGCATGATCTTTTCTCCAGCTATCCAACAAGCTAGGTCATGCATCAAATCGTGCATTGTGCACACACACATATTGCCCAGCCCATCCATTTGCACCTCTTGGAAGAATGATCGCCACCATAATGTTTTGAAGCAGTCAAAACCTTTATCTTCCGAATCAATGTACCCTTGTGCTACCCAAAGTTGAACCAACAATTTTATAGGGATCTCATCACCCTTGCCATACAATTTACAATAAGCAAAGCAATGCTTCATATAGGAAGGGAGATGATTGAAACCTAGTTTGAGAGCTGACATTGTAGGATCCTCTTCTCCTTCTTTTGTGATGCTCGAAAGACTTTTTTGTAGAAAAGATGGCCACTCGATCTTTGGATCGTTACAATCTACTAGCACACCAGCTATGGTGCTCACAGCTAGAGGAACTCCACCACACTTCCTCAATATTTCTTTACCAATTTCTTGCAGTTGTCGTTCTTGCGGAACTGTTCTTGGGAAGGCCTTTTCCACCAATAAGTTCCAAGACTCTTCTTCTAACAATCCTTTCAAGAGATAAGGTTCCATAATGCTGGTACCTGTTCTCGAATTTAGAGCTCCGCCAGCAAACTCTGCCACTTTTGTGGATCGAGTAGTCAGCAGTACTTTGCTTCCAAGAGCACCGAACGCCAAATAATTTCCCAATTTCTCCCAACTGTGCCTGCTCTCCTCCCAAGCATCATCCAATACAAGCAAAAACCTTCTGCCTTCGATTTTCCCTCGGAGTTGAGCTTGTAAAGCATCTGATGTGAGGTCCCTCATTTTCTGACCAGTTATGGATTCCAGCATCTTTAAGAGAATCACTTGGACATCAAAACTCTGTGAAACATAGACCCAAGCTTTGATATCAAAGTGACCTTTACCTCGATCGTCATCAAATACAAGCTGAGCAAGAGTAGTCTTTCCCAGCCCACCCATCCCAACGATTGGGACAACTGAAATGTTGGCTTCTGGATTGCAATTCAGCAGTAGCTCAATGATATTCTTCTTGTCATCTTCCCTCCCAATCACAATCTTGGGCGGGCAGGAATCAGTCTCCCTGGAAGGAAGAGTTTCTTCCTCAGAAGTATCAACTTCCAGATGCAGGACGTCTCTGTCTTTCGCCATATCGTCAAGCCTCTCCCTGATGGCCTTGATAGCATGAGCCATCTTGAGGTCGTATACCAATTGCTTGGGAAGTGACGACAACAGGAAGCATACCACACTCCAACATGTCGTTGCTGACATCCTCCTCCTGCCACCAGCATCATCTGTTGTAGCTGCTACCACGGCCTTCCGGCGAGCCTCAGTAGCGAGATCGTCGAGCAAATCTTCGGCATCATACATGACTTCTGAGAGCTTCTCGAGCCAGTCTTTGACTTGGTGACTGTGGGCCTGCTTCTCTTCAGCGTCACTGAGCACGGCCTGGATGGTGGAGACGGTGGCATCGAATTTGCTAAGCTCGCGTCTGAAATTCCACAGCAGTCCAATCTGCTCCTTGGCCAAGTCGGATGCCTTGCCAAGGATCAGTTTTGCAACCGGCATCAGAATGATTCCAGCCATTTTAGGGGAAATCAAGAAAGGAAGAGGAGCTGGAACAAGAGAGCAAGGAGAGGAGAAAAAAAACGAAGAACTTTTTTTTTGTGGGCAAGAGAAAAAGAAGATTTTTTTATGGATAAGAAGAACAGTGGATCAACCCAGATAAATCGATGGTTAAACACGGAGATCAGAATGATTTAGCAGTGGGAACACAACAGGGAAGCGAAAGCGCAAGAGCAAATCAAGAGTGAGAAAGCAGAGGAAAATCAAGGAAGCTAGAGCAAAGAGAAAATCAATGGTAAGAGAGACCACAAGGAGAAACCAGGGTAACAGCAACGAGATACGAAAAGCAATGAAGCAAGATCAAAATTAAAACAATGACTTGATTAGTTGGTCAGCAAGCTTAATCAATTGAAAAGGTAACATAGTTGCAGGGGGTGGGAGGCAAAGATCCAATGGGTTAGCTCGAATAACTCATACTGCAGAATATTATAACATATTGTCAACTCGCTTCATAATCTGTAAACAATAGGGATTAACACGGCTGCTAGTAGAGGAAATGGTGGGTAAGATCCACTAATTCAGTTTCCTCAACGTGGTAATGGTGTCTCGGACATTATTAATTCGAGCTTTTGTCAGTCTCCTATGGAACAAACTGCCCTTTGCTATTTCATCTCTGGAAAACAGGGGAACAAGGGATCTGCAAGAGGGATTTGAGCTTTTCCCATAATATGAAAGAAATCACAATCTCTTTGTTCACAGGTTACACAACCAGACCACGATTCGGCATTAACAGCTAGCAAAAACCAAAGGTTCTGTCAAAGACTCCAGCTAGCAGAAACTAGAAACATCTTAGCTGCCTGCCAGCAAAAAACTTTAAAGCTTGGGGTACTTTCAATTCCAACTATGGTTCTCAGTCTTCTAGATAGAGGAGTTCTCATCAAGCCATAATTACATCAGCTCTAAGAATCAACATGCATAATCACAAGGATGGAGTAGAGATACCATACCTCGTGCCCCAGTGTTGCTGTCCTTGCGCTTCAGTATCTTCCTCGCGTTCTCCTTCCTTGATAAGAAATTGAGAATCTCACAGCTAATCAACATCTCTCTTTTATCCTCTTTTCTTCCAATCAACAAAGATCCATTCGGCAACCAAACCTGGGAGGAGGACGGGCTGATGAACACAGGAGACTGCTATTCTGTGTAAATTTGCTGGGTTTCGTATCTTATTCTGGCGGCTCCTGAAGCTGCAGCAGCTCGAGGAGGTGATGATGGCGGAGCCGGAGGTAGGGCGAGCAGAAGAAGGATGGCACCGGCGGCAACGAGACCAAGCTGCAGGGACCGAGAAGACGACGCGATAAGTGTTGGTAATAACCTCTGTTTTCAGAACCGGACCGGAGGTTGAACCGGAAAAGTTAGTGGTTTAGTGTTCACCGGTTAACCGTTACAAAACCGTTGGTGAACCGTTGATAGAACAGTTAATGATATATAACATATAAGACTTGTATATTACACTAACTGAAGAATGAAATTATCATTGACCATAAACAAGTTCAAATTCATATCATCACGAAAATATCTAATAAATCATTCCAACCATCTCACAAAAGAAACTATCTTTTTTAATTCAGATTAAAAATTACGGTTCTAATTGGTAATAGACAATGTAAAATCGACAATAAGGTTGAGGAAGCATATATAAAATTAATAATTATGATTTGATGGTCTTAGTTTATGTTAAAATATTCTTTTTTGTTAAAATAGTGAACCAGTGGACCACTTAAACCGTGTCGGTTCATCTGATTTTATGTTGAATCGTGAAAAATCGTTTGGTCCATCAATAACCGTTCAAACAATGAACCAGACCGCTATCGTAACTGGTTTGACTGTTCTACTGGCCCGACCGTTGATCCAGTTCGGTTCTTATAACAAGGTAATCTACTATCTACACATAATATAATACACCGAAGGGAAAAACGGGAGCCCCATTTCAAATTTCCTGCAACGAGAGTGAAAGTAGGAAGGACATTTTGGTCTTCACAATTACTTTTTTTTATTCATTAAAAAGACACGTACTGGTATTCGAACCATGTCCATTTTAAAGAAAAGCAAGGAACATAACCAATCACACTAAGTACATTTGTTGCATCCTTTTAAATCAAAAACATATAATAGCAGGGAGGAAAAACCCCTTCCCCCATTTCAAATTCCCTGCTCCATGAGCGTTTGTAGGAAGGGTAGAATAGGTAGTGTAAATTTTTTTTCTCTTTCCTCTGTGGAACAGGCCAACTTACCGTACACATGCGGATTTAAACGGGTTCAGGAGTGTCAATTTTTTCTTTAACCCCTTGTATTTCTCCGTGGTGATAAAATATATATGAAAAGACAAAAACAATACTTCTTTTTATGCTAAAAATAAAAAAAATTTAACAATTAACTAATGCATGGTATCTAAAGGGCTAACCGCTAACCATAAAATAAAAGAGTTGAATGGGCCTGACCTACACCGGATTTGGCCATCAAGTAAAACAAATGAACATCATTGGTTTGACATTCTAAATCAAGCTATTTTCTCTAGCATAATATATATTATTATATTATTTTATATTTTAGTGGCTAAAATATAATGTAGTTTAAAGTTATTCAATGGTTCAATCTCGACCAACCCAATTAGTCCAATTTTTATCATTTCAAATATATATTATATAATTATTTGATATCATAATGATAAAATTATAGTGTATTTTATAGGGAATCGTTTGGTATTTGTTAGTAAAAAACTAAACAGAAAGATCTATTTGGTTATTTTAAACATTAAAACGATCCTAAACATTTTCAGTTTCTTTTGAATTTCTATGGTTTTATTCCCGAATAAGTGATGTGCAAATGGCGAATTGCAGTCATCTATTTTCTTTCACTATTTTTTATTTTCAAATAGAAAGTTTAAAAGTAACGAATAATTAGAATTTTGCATGGGTCGGTCAAACATGCTGAATTTTAAGTTTTGGCCCGTTTTGATCAAGTCTAATTTATAATCACATGGTTCCCTGATACCCGATAAAAATCTCAATCCAAACCACTTTGGCAGGTGAGTCCGTGTTTACCACCATTCTCTAGGAATACGACAACGGTGGTTCCTATCCCAAATCGTGTTGTTCGTTCTTGATTTCCTTAGATTTTATCATGGCCTGACAAAAACCAGAAAGCACAATGACGACAAGATGAAAGTTTTATAAATCAAATTAATGGTGTTCTCTTTCTGATCTCATGTAATTATATAATGAAGTTGAAGTTTTCGATGCTATTCAATTTCATTGGTATGTTTTTAATGGTCTAACTTCATGGTTGTACCAACTTTTGATGTACTGTTTATGTTCCAATATATTCACTTTGGTATGATTATTAGGGATATGCTAGGCGGTACTCACCATTAGACCAATTTAGCTTAATGGTTGAATCTACGGGTTATCCCAATAATTCAATATTCGGCTCAGCTCCTCCGACCAACGGGTCGGGTTACAAGCTAGTACTTATAATACGCCGAAGGGAAAAACGGGAGCCCCATTTCAAATTTCCTGCAACGAGAGTGAAAGTAGGAAGGACATTTTGGTCTTCAAAATTAATTTTTTTTATTCATTAAAAAGATACGTACCGGGATTCGAACCATGACTATTTTAAAGAAAAGCAAGGATCATAACCAATCACACTAAGTACATTTGTTGTATCTTTTTAAACTAAAAATATATGATATCAGGGTGGAAAAAACACTTCCCCCATTTCAAATTCCCTGCTCCAGGAGCGTTTGTAGGAAGGGTAGAATAGGGAGTGTCAATTTTTTTCTCTTTTCTCTGTGGAACGGGCCAACTTACCGTACACATGCGGATTTAAATGGGTCTAGGAGTGTCAATTTTTTTCTTTATACCCTTTTATTTCTCCGTGGTGATAAAATATATATGAAAAGGCTAAAACAATACTTCTTTTTATTGCTAAAAATAAAAAATTTAACAATAAACTAATGCATGGTATCTAATGGGCTAACCGCTAACCATAAAATAAAAGAGTTGAATGGGTCTGACCTACACGGGATTTGACCATCAAATAAAAAAAATGAACATCATTGGTTTGACATTATAAAACAAGCTATTTTCTCTGGCATAATATATGTCATGCTATTATTTTATATCTTAGTGGCTAAAATATAATGTATTTTAAAGTTATTCAATGGTTCAACCTCGACCAACCCAATTAGTCCAATTTTTATCATTTCAAATATATTATATAATTATTTGATATCATAATGATCAAATTATAGTGTAATTTATAGGGAATCGTTTGGTATTTGCTAGTAAAAAACTAAACAGAAAGATCTATTTGGTTATTTTAAACATTAAAACGATCCTAAACATTTTCAGTTCCTTTTGAATTTCTATGGTTTTATTCTCGAATAAGTGATGTGCAAATGGCGAATTGCAGTCATCTCTTTTCTTTCACTATATTTTATTTTCAAATAGAAAGTTTAAAAGTAACGAATAATTAGAATTTGGCATGAGTCGGTCAAACAGGCTGAATTTTAAGTTTTGGCCCGTTTTGATCAAGTCTAATTTATAATCACATGGTTCCCTGATATCCGATAAAAATCTCAATCCAAACCAGTTTGACAGGTGAGTCCGTGTTTACCACCATTTTCTAGGAATATGATAACGGCGGTTCCTATCCCAAATCGTGTTGTTCGTTCTTGATTTCCTTAGATTTTATCATGGCCTAACAAAAACCGGAAAACACAATGACAACAAGATGAAAGTTTTATAAAGCAAATTAATGGTGTTCTCTTTCTGATCTCATGTAATTATATAATGAAGTTGAAGTTTTTCGATGCTATTCAATTTCATTGGTATGTTTTTAATGGTCTAACTTCATGGTTCTACCAACTTCTGATGTACTGTTTATGTTCCAATATATTCACTTTGGTATGATTATTAGGGATATGCTAGGCGGTACTCACCATTAGGCCAATTTAGCTTAATGGTTGAATCTACGGGTTATCCCAATAATTCAATATTCGGCGCAGCTCCTCCGACCAACGGGTCGGGTTATAAGCTAGTAACTAATAAGTCTCTATCTTCTCTAAATCTAAAAAATACTATAAGCGTTTTCTCAAACTGCCTTTCAGGGATTCAAATTTTACTTCCATTCACGATTCCACGTCATCACATACTCGCTCTCTCTCCATCCTCTCTCTATTTAAAAAATCCTCCTTTCCAGCATCCGATACCCCTTCTCCCTTACCATTCACCGCAACGGTTCGTCTTCCAGATCTGCAAAACTTTCATCTCTGCCGCAGCGAGTACACGTCAAGCCTGCAACTACTGACTTCAGCGCTGTGAATCATCCGCCAACGGTGCCCAGTCGAATGATGCGCTCTTATTTGACAGTCTGTACTGTCGATTTCAACCTCGATCTGTCATATATGTTTAATCGCCCGGAACTAAATCCCCTCTGATCAACATGTCAAATCGTGCCGACTCCTTATGTCTCTCCCACTAGATTGAGATTCATTCCAAAGCAGCATTAACGAATTGTTGAGAAATTTCGCTGTCGGGACTTGAGGTTATGGAGGGGAATCGTACTGAAATTGGAGTCGGCAGATACGGGGAGACGAAAAGAGGCGATTGGAGTCAGCGGATCTGAGGGAGTTGAGAAAGTAGCATGCAGAGCAACAGACAGTATCAACTTCAACAAAACCATCTTCCCTCTTTAATCTCATCGGTTGTCCTATAGGCCGTAAGGGTCTCTGCTCTCAATCGGTTTGCTTTTGAATTTTGTTTTTCAATCGCTTTGGTTTCTGCTCTTCATCCAATTGGTCGGGTTGAATCCTCTGTCACAGATGCATATATAGTTCCGGTTCTAAATTGCATGTTCTTATGTTTATCATGAGTTATTATGTTTCCGATGAAAATTATCTTTGTTTTAATGTTGTTCTTCAATTGTAATTATAATACACTCCCCCCCCCCCAGAAGGGCAAGTGATGTTTCAAAATCACAATAAGTATGATTCAAGTGACATTAATAGATGACATGCAGTCTCTATTTGCTGACGATTACACAAAATCTGCAGCAATCTTCTTCTACTGTTGATACTAATTTGCAGTAGGTGTAGTGGTGGGTGGTCCTACCATAGCCATCTTCGTTCTCCAATTCATATATTTTGGACCTTTTGGCTGGAAGCTTTAAATAAGCCCTTTGTTTTGCTCAGTTCGATATGTGTACCCATGTCGCTAAAAATGTTGATATCTTCTTTCGACCTCTAATTTAGAGTGCGCTTATGTTGACGTGTCTATTTGGATTGCTCCTATGATTCATCTTATTGCCTGTTTAGATCGATTGGCTAAGGTACGGAGGAACTGATAGAGTAGGATTTAGGTTGATGTAAAATTCTGTTTCAGTTTAGAGCTATGTCAATATTGTCTCTTAAACCGAGCAAGTGGTTAGTGAATGCATGTTGATGTTGGTTCCCATGGGTAAACACGCATTGCATATACTACTAAGTCATTCCACATTGGGTTTCCTTTGCTGATTGCTTTTTAAGTAGCCTTAAACATATGGGACATCAGGTTTGACTATACTACCTGAAAATTCCATGTCCATCATATCGTTTCTTACTCTCCCATTTTTCAAACTCCAAATGTATTAGTTTAGTATGACCAAGTTTCTTCTCTAATTATATAGTCTGCTCATATTTTCTTATGTCGTGACGATGACAGTAGATCCATAAGTTATTTAAACAACGTGTACATCGTACTTAATTGATCCTCATTCCACTTACTCAAGCATGTCTTTTGGTTGGTACGTAATGCATCGAAGGTTGAGAATGTCAAAGGAAAAAAGGGGTTGCTTGAGGGAATCGCAGAGTAAATCCAACAACAGTGTAACATATCACTGGTTTGGATGAAGAGGCTTATTATACTGTCCATCACTTGCATTTTCGACTTGCTTTACATTATCTCAAATCCATCACAAGTTCAACCAAAACTTCAATGCAATATACGTCTAACTTGATCTGTCTATCCACTCAACCTCTCTTCCCTACAGACTAGAGTATTACAACCATACTCGGGTTAGTGACTGAAATTTTGGATTTAATTACACAAAGAAAAGCATATCAGATCAAATAAAAAGGGGGGGAAATGGGAAATCATCAAAACTTCCGGCCAAAGGCCGGGCCAACAGCTAGTATTGTTATATGCCGGTTTGATATAGAGCAGCGGCATCAGCTGTCTCTTCTTCCTTTCAAAGTGACATGGCAATGTCATTTGCCATTTCATGGTTGTAGCAACCCATTTCAATAATGAAATATTTCATTAGATGGAATAGCAAATGAAATTACAAGTGGGGTAGCAAGCGGGCCCATTTCAATTGATTAGAGTGTATAATTATTTAGTTATATTGTTTATGTGAATCGGGCCCACCATATGAAATTGGAGATAGATTTCATGGATGTAGATGAAATGGATGTTAAAGAATGAAATTGTAAAAAGTGTATAGGTGGCAGTAGGGGCCACAAATGAAATAGGTAGGCTATTTCATGGTTGTTGATGGTCTTAAGTGACATTGTCCTAGTTTAAATAAGTTCACGCCGTTTTAGGAAAAACATGTAGGGAAATAGAACATTTCTAAAGACAATGAAAAATATTATATTTAAATATAAGATTTAACGCCAACATCGAAACATTTATATTGAGATTTGAATACAACAAATAACATAAACATCTAAATATTCATATTCCATACTTCAATCCATCAAATAGGGATGGCAATGGGGCGGGTTTGGGGCGGGTTTGCTTAAACCATCCCCATACCCATCTTCAAATACCCAAACCCATACCCGCCCCATACCCATGCGGGGGAATGTTTTGCAAACCCATCCCCATACCCGTGGGTTTCGGGTACCCATGGGTAATACCCATACCCGTACATCCAACATTATTATACCTAAAACGTACAAGAAAAGTTCTAATTATAATTCTAAACGAACGTATTATATCATGAAGTCAATAAAACACGGTCATTTTTTTAATATCGTTCAAAAATTATGATCCTAAAATATCCATTAATACATAATATAGAGTATAATATTTTTCAAATTATTATGTTCTAACTCTGATACATCTACTAAATAATAATTAACTAACATAATCTTGTTGACAAGGGGGAAAGTGAAAGAGTGAAATGAGAATTCAGAGAAATGAATTAGATTTTGATTAAGGTGGTCAATCAATTGCATTTCTACTATTTATTTTCTCAAGTTATCCTTATCATCATTGATAGATTATAATTTGATGCACATATTTTTTTTATATGAAGAAATTATCTTGGTGGGGTGGGTATGGGGATGGGTATGGGGCGGGGGAGGCTAAAACCATACCCGCCCCATACCCATCAAACTTTTTGCGGGTTTTACCCATACCCGCCCCATACCCGATCAAAGGGGGATTCCCCGCGTTGACTGGGTCGGGGGCGGTCGGTTACCCGCGACCATGGGTTTGATTGCCATCCCTACCAACAAATAACATCAACATTTAATTTCCAAATTAAATAAACAAATAATTTTTTTGTTAACTAAATTCTCAAAAACGGCGTAGTTTTGTTTAGAGGTAAAAAATCGATCATGCCGGTCATATGAGGGAGCATTGTAGCCAGTTTTGTGACCGACGCCGGTTGAACCCAGTACAATCAAACGACATGCCACCGACACGCAACCATGACAATCTCGGTTCATTAGTAATCGAAACTTAAGGACCGTCACCACAAATTAGAATTGCAATCTTTTAGTGATGGCAACTGGGCGAGGGGAAGCGGGAGCGACAACTACAATACTCATACCCGACCCAATACTAAATGCGTATCAAATCAAGTAATGTTCGGGTGAATGGTGGATTGGCCATGTAAACCCATTTTTCTTATTTGAAAAAATAACATCGATATTTAACTATTTTACAAAAACAGATAGAGTATACACTTCACAAATGAATCAGAAATAGATGAGAATACATAATTGAGTCTAAATAGTTGAAAGATGAATTTTAAAATTTCTTTTAGATGAAAATATGATCTAAGAAAATGTTATGAAAAGAATAAATGCATGTAGATATTAATACAAATCATGAAATAACGAGTCGATAACGAGACAGAACTGATCGAAAGCAATACTCATACCCATTTCACACACTACTATAAATCGAATAATACGTTTCCCAAACAAGTAGGAACATGACGGATTGTGCGAATCATGTAAAAATTTGTCATCACTAAACTCCTATATTCAATCATTCTTTGTCATCGCTACCCCTCCAAACATACCACAAAAATCAACAACGTTTGACTACACTTTAAACATCGAGGCCAACAGTCAATCTAAAAGATACTCAGATTCAAATTTCAATCAAAAAATTCAGCGAAGATAGTCTCAATAATAATACACTTGAAACCGAAATACGAGTGCAAATGATATAACTAACTAACTAAGTAGATCACACAGAGGCATTGACAGTACTAACATACTCAAACGGTTGATTGCTTCTTGACAACAGAGACAACAATACTGACATGCTCAACTTCCTTCAGAGTCATCCACCATGATCCTGCCAAACTTCTGAAACAATCGATCCACAAACTCCACATCTCCTCCACCGAAATGGCTCCGAATCTTCGCCTCATTCACCACGCTAATCGCTTTCCCCGTGTTCCTCGCCATGGTCGCCTGGTCGCACTGCGTTCCTCCTCCATTACACACCCATCCCATGGGATCACGATGATCTCCAGGCGATCCACAGCAAACGAGCCTTCTCTCTCGATCTCGGCTCTCATCTCATGTGATCACGTCTTCAGTGAACGGCTCATAATACGGCGTGTTGGAAGCGTCCAGCTTCCCTTCAGAAATAAGTCCCTGTTAGCACACAACATAAAAGCAATTAAGAGACCACCAAGCTGGTTTCATATCAAACACAGGAGGGCGTGCACTATCACGGTCGCTCTTCGTCAACTTGTACACAGAAGCTGCTATCCAAAATAGACGATAATAGTAAAGATGGGAAAAATTAGAGCATGAATCCAAAATAAAAAAAATTTCTGACATTGGCGAATGTTGGAGCATGAATTGATCAACGTTTAGGATATTCAAACCTGAATTGTAAACCTTACATCATTTATTCTCTAATTCCTAAAAACAATGATTAGGAGTTTTAACAAGAATAAAAAAACTATGTATATTGTGCGAATTCTAGAACATGAACTGATTAACATTTAGGATATGCAAACTTGAATAGTAAACATTACACCCTGATTCTCTAATTCCTAAAAACAATGATTTAAGAGTTTTAATTTGTGCAAATACATTCAAAATACCAGATGCACAAGTTTTGGGCGCATACCACATATCGTCATTTTAAGTAGCTAATTCAAGGCAAAATAATCACAATTCTCAATTGCAATAAAACAGAAGATGGACAAATATGTACAAAAACTATTTAAAATATACTAGTAATTTGATGTGTTTGAGTTGGTGGCTTAAGGTTTAGAATCTAAGAGTTAGGATTAAAAAAAAAAACAAGAAGAAGCAATGGATCAGTTGTAGTTCTAGATTATCTTAGTAGACTAGTTCTACAATTAAATATTTTCAACAACCAGAATGATATGTTGTTGAGAGTGGGCCCTGAATGAGAGAAATTGAAGATATATCTCAGGGAACCCAACCTGTACCTTGGAGCATATTGTCGTCCAGTTTTATATTGGGGATGTGGGAAATGTTGGGCCAGTCTTCGCCTTCACCCTTTCCGCATCTTATTGTCAACTCAGGACACCCCCCAATTTCCAATCTGTGTAAAGAGGTGAAGTGTTGTATTGCTGGAAGCAGATTTGCTAATCTTGGACATGAGGAAATCTTCAATTCACGGAGAGAAGTGAGGTTGCAGAGGCCTTCTTCTGGTAGAAATTCCAGTTCGTCAATTTCCCAAAGACCCAACTCTTCCAAGTTAGATAGCGGTCTATCCAGCGCAGTCCTCTGGGAAGAAGGAGAGGTAGTTGCTGTTGTAGTGGAATGTTGCTGAGAATCATGATGAACTGCTCCCGCCACTTGCATCTTCATTGTCCGCACTAGCGCCTCTGAGCTGGTTCTCATTAGCCTCAACCCTTCAACCGTTGGAAACAGAGGGATCCGAGTCAGGTTTGGACAATGTACAATATGCAATGCCAAAAGACAAGGGAAACGGGGCCACTCCTCATCTTCCCTTTCCTCTTCCATTGAAGGATCAAAGTTGTAATAATCATCATCACCACCATTGCCGTAATTATCATTATTCCCCTTCCTTTTCTTCCACCAACATCCCTTCAGATTCGGACAGTACCAAATAATTAGCTCTTTCAAGGATGGAAGTCCATGTATGGGTGGCAGGAACTCTACCATCTCACATTTTTTTAAGTGAATCAACGTCAAGCTCGCACTGGAACACAACGAACTAGGAAGCTTTACCCCTCCACGACAGTCCACAATTCTCAACTCCTGAAGAGATACGAGACAACTGCTCGAATCATGATATGATAGGGATTCGAAATCGTCATCGATTCTCTTTAAGCTCAACTTGGTAAGCTTGGAGAGTGAGTGGACCAATGCCGAAAAAGAAGACGTACGAAGAGAATGGATATTTGTATCGAATTCATCCGTATAACCAACACCTCTTCCTCCCCTCATCTTCATCTTCATAGTCCTAGCTAATGGTGCTAAGCTCACCGCAACCAACTCCAACTCGCCTTCAACGGTAGGGAAAGTGGGCAACCGAGATAGCCTTGGGCAACCCTCAATGCGCAAGTTAGCAAGACAACAAAATCGAGGCCACTCGCAATCCTCTTCCTCTATCGGTGAAGAATCACGATGATGGTCAACATCATCAATGCCCTTCAACAGCGGGCAATTTCTAATCGTAAGCCTCTTCAAACTCGGCATTTGATGAATTTGCGGGGGGAGGTACTCACATTGCTTGCAATCATGTAATGAGAACTCAACCAAATTGGTCAGGCCAGACAACCAGTTAGGAATCTTCACCCCTCCATAACATCTTTGTATCGCCAACTTCTTCAGATTAAAGTGTGGCTTCAGCATTTCCAATATCCCTTCATCAAGAATAGACAAGGAAGTAACATCATGAACATCGTCGCCAATGTCATCATCTCTGCTCCAATCTAAAACAAGTGACTGGAGATGTAGCTTTTCATTCAAGACATAAACATCTGTTCTTGGAGATTCAGCATTTCCTAGGCCTTTAATTGCTAATTCTCCACACAATGCATTTAACCCTTTCAGCTCATCCAACTCAGCCCCAACTGTATTGTCATTACTAATACAACCGTTCTTCTTGCTGACTACAAAAATTGGTAGCGTTTGGAGAAACTTCAACTTCCCAATCCCTTTTGGCATATGGGTTATATGTCCTGCTTCGTATGCTTTGAGCTCCAAATGCTTCAAATTAACAAGCTTCTCAATACCCTTTGGTAGTTCTTTTAGTGACTCGATGTCAAAGAGTCCCAGTACTTGCAAATTAACCAATTTGCTAATTGAGTTTGGAAGTTCTTTCCTTCCCTCGCAACTGAAATAAAGCAATCTTAAATGCTTCAACTTATAAAAATTAATTGAAGTAAAAGCATCCAAAATTGACCTGTCCTCATCGTTTGACTCTTGATCTTTGCAATAAATTACTAGTGTGCGCAACCGTATGAAGTTGTTAATGACTTGTTGAACTTCTTTGCTTGTAAGATAACCCCAGTATGCAAGAGTTCGCACCTTGCTTGCATTTCCCATACCATCACCACCATGATCTTCTTCTCTCTTATCATCATCATCACCAACCGTTGCGAACAAGTGGCGGGTCTTTGAAGGAATATTTTTTAGAATCGTTAAACTTGAAGTTGGCATGATCTTTTCTCCAGCTATCCAACAAGCTAGGTCATGCATCAAATCGTGCATTGTGCACACACACATAATTTCCATTCTTCAAGTGGAAATTACTTGAAGAATGGAAGATTGCTATTTTTGTGTGAAGTTGCTGGGTTTCGTATCTTATTCTGGCGGCTCCTGAAGCTGCAGCAGCTCTCAAGGAAGTGATGATGGCGGAGGTAGGGCGAGCAGAAGAAGGACGGCACCGGCGGCAACGAGACTAAGCTGCAGGCACCGAGAAGACGACGCGAAATGGAAGTGTTGGTAATAAATTATAGGGTTTGGAAAATCGTTAAAAAAAATAGACAAAAGAAGATGTCCTGAAAAACATTTTCGGGTATATTACCGGTTTCGAACACCAAACCTCATTAAACGTCGTTATTCAGGTTGGTAGCTTACGCCTTACAGACAGTAAAACTTGTTGCTGCAAAATGTGTTCTTGGACACTCTGCCAATAATGGGAGGGCTCTCCTCTTCATCAATATGTTAGATTCTGCAAAAGAAAGCACAGAAGAACATGGTTGAAGCAAAGGTCACGTTTGGCTCCTTGTACATATCTTGTATCTGAGAAATGTCTGGTTGTGCTCCTTACTGTCTGTTTTTGGGACTAAACTTCTGAAACAAACGGTCCATAAACTCCGCATCTCCTCCACCGAAATGGCTCTGAATCATCGCCTCGTCCACCGCTCTGATCGCCTTCCCCATGTTCCTCGCCGTGGTTGCCCTGTCATGCTGCGTTCCTTCTCCATTACACCCATCCCATGGGATCACGATGATCTCCAGTCGATCCACAGCAAACGAGCCTTCTCTCTCGATCTCAGCTCTCACGTCTTCAGTGAACGGCTCATAATACGGCGTGTTGGAAGCGTCCAGCTTCCCTTCAGGAATGAGCCCCCTGTTAGCACACAGCATAAAAAGCAATTAAGAGACCACCAAGCTGGTTTCATATCAAACACAGGAGGGCGTGCGCTTAAGATCATATAACATTTAACCTTGATCGTGAACATGTGCTTGATCTAGTGGTAATACCGCTGGTCTGCAACCTGAACATCCATTATAAGCAAAGATTGCACAGCAGAACCACCTTTCCTGACAAAGAGATATAAATTCCGCTACCTGTCTGTATGTTATGCATGTAGACGATGAGTTTCCTGGTTGTACACTATCACGGTCGCTCTTCGTCAACTTGTACACAGAAGCTGCTATCATCGTCTCACTTTAGATTTGGGGTACATATACAGTGAAGAAAACCTCAACTTTGTCAGCAAGGGGATTAAATCAGACAGTAATGACAGAGATGTGGATAAATTAGAGCATGAATAGATCAACATTTAGGATATGCTAGCCTGAATTATGAACCTTACACCCTTATTCTCTAATTCCTAAAAACTATGGTTAAGAGTTTTAATTTGTCCACGTACATTCAAAACACCAGATATCGCCATTTTAAGCTAGCTAATTCAAGGCAAACTTATGACAATTTTTTATTGCAATACAATAAAACAGAAGATGGACAAATATACACATAAATTATTTAAAATTTACTATTATTTTAATGATTTTGAGTTGGTGGCTTAGGGTTTAGAATGTAAGAGTTAGGATTTAAAAAAAAAAGGCAATGGATTAGTTGTAGTTCTAGATTATCTTAGCAGACTAGTTCGAGCAATTAAAATTTAAAATTCTATGATCAAAGCTTACTTTTAGCCTTGCAATCATTTTGGTAGGTGCAACGTAGAAATTACCATATACATACACAGAATCACAACCGGAATATTAGTAGCAACAAGAAGAATGATATGTTGCTGAGAGTGGATCCTAAATGAGTGAAATGGAATTGAAGAATCCACTAGGATTCACAGAGACTCGACCATTTACGGAGAGAACACACGGCCATGTAAAAGACTCGGTGAAATAATCTAGTAGGCTAATTGGAAAAGAAAACAGATAAATGCTAGTGATAAGGACACGATGATTTGATTAACCTTGGAGACTAGTTCAGTCCAGTGTTATCCAAGTGATGTGGGAAATGTTGGGCCAGTCTTCGCCTTCACCCTTTCTGCATCTTATTGTCAACTCAGGACACCCCCGAATTTCCAATCTGTGTAAAGAGGTGAGGTGCCGCATTGCTGGAGGCAGAGTTGCTAATCTTAGACAAAAGTAAATCTTCAAATCACGGAGAGAAGTGAGGTTGCAGAGGACTTCTTCTGGTAGAAATTCCAGTTCGTCAATTCCCGAAAGAACCAAAATTTCCAAGTTAGATAGCGGTCTATCCAGCGCTGTCCTCTGGGAAGAAGGAGACGTAGTTGCTGTTGTAGTGGAATTTTGCCGAGAATCATGATGAACTGCTCCCGCCACTTGCATCTTCATTGTCCGCACTAGCGCCTTTGAGCTGGTATCTATTAGCTTCAACCTTTCAACCGTTGGAAACAGAGGGATCCGAGTCAGGTTTGGACAATCTAGAATCTTCAATTCCAAAAGACAAGGGAAACGGGGCCACTCCTCATCTTCCCTTTCCTCTTCCCCTCCTTCCATTGAAGGATCAAAGTTGTAATAATCATCATCACCACCATTGCCGTAATTATCATTATTCCCCTTCCTTTTCTTCCACCAACATCCCTTCAGATTCGGACAGTTAATAATAGTTAGTTCTTTCAAGGATGGGAGTCCATGTAGGGGTGGCAAGTACTCTACCATCTGACAACCTTGTAACTGAATCACCTTCAAGCTCACACTGGAACACAGTGAACTAGGAAGCTTTACCCTTGTACGACATCCCTCAACTCTCAACTCCTGAAGAGAAACGAGACAACTGCTCGAATCATGATATGATAGGGATTCGAAATCGTCATCGATTCTCTTTAATCTCAACTTGGTAAGCTTGGAGAGTGAGTGGACCAATGCCGAAAAAGAAGACGTACGAAGAGAATGGATATTTGTATCGAATTCATCCGTATAACCAACACCTCCTCCTCCCCTCATCTTCGTCTTCATAGTCCTAGCTAATAGTGCTAAGCTCACCGCAACCAACTCCAACTCGCCTTCAACGGTAGGGAAAGTGGGCAACCGAGTTAGCCTTGGGCAATGCTTAATGCTCAAGTCGGTAAGACAACAAAACCGAGGCCACTCGCAATCTTCTTCCTCTATCGGTGAAGAATCACGATGATAGCCATCATCATCGATGCCCTTCAACAGCGGGCAATTTACAATTGTAAGCCTCTTCAGACTCGGCATTTTATGAATTTGCGGGGGGAGATACTCACATTGCTCGCAATCTTGTAATGAGAACTCAACCAAATTGGTGAGGCCAGACAACCAGTTAGGAATCTTCACCCCTCCATAACCTCTTTGTATCGCCAACTTCTTCAGATTAAAGTGTGGCTTCAGCATTTCCAATATCCCTTCATCATGAATAGACAAGGAAGTAACATCATGAACATCGTCGCCAATGTCATCATCTCTGCTCCAATCTAAAACAAGTGACTGGAGATGTAGCTTTTCATTCAAGACATAAACATCTGTTCTTGGAGATTCAGCATTTCCTAGGCCTTTAATTGCTAACTCTCCACACAATGCATTTAACCCTTTCAGCTCATCCAACTCAGCCCCAACTGTATTGTCATTACTAATACAACCGTTCTTCTTGCTGACTACAAAAATTGGTAGCGTTTGGAGAAACTTCAACTTCCCAATCCCTTTTGGCATATGGGTTATATGTCCTGCTTCGTCTGCTTTGAGCTCCAAATGCTTCAAATTAACAAGCTTCTCAATACCCTTTGGTAGTTCTTTCAGTGACCCGATGTCAATGAGTCCCAGTACTTGCAGATTAACCAAGTTGCTAATTGAGTTTGGAAGTTCTTTCCTTCCCTCGCAACTGAAATAAAGCAATCTTAAATGCTTCAACTTATAAAAATTAATTGAAGTAAAAGCATCAAAAATTGACCTGTCCTCATCGTTTGAGTCTTGATCTTCACAAAAAAATAGTAGTGTGCGCAACCGTATGAAGTTGTTAATGACTTGTTGAACTTCTTTGCTTGTAAGATACTCCAGGTGTGCAAGACTTCGCACCTTGCTTGCATTTCCCAGACCATCACCACCATGATCTTCTCTCTGATCATCATCACGACCAGCCGTTACGAACAAGTGACGGGTTTTTGAAGGAACATTTTTTAGAATCGTTAAACTTGAAGTTGCTATGATCTTTTCTCCAGCTATCCAACAAGCGAGGTCATGCATCAAATCGTGCATTGTGAACGTTGACATATTGCCCAGCCCATCCATTTGCACCTCTTGGAAGAATGATCGCCACCATAATGTTTTGAAGCAGTCAAAACCTCTATCTTCCGACTCAATGTACCCTTGTGCTACCCAAAGTTGAACCACAGTTTTTATAGGGATCTCCTCACCCTTGCCAAACATTTTACAATAAGCAAAGCAATGCTTCATATAGGAAGGGAGATGATTGAAACCTAGTTTGAGAGCTGACATTGTAGGATCCTCTTCTCCTTCTTTTGCGATGCTCGAAAGGCTTTTTTGTAGAAAAGATGGCCACTCGATGTTTGGATCTTTAGAATATACTAACACAGCAGATACGGTGCTCACAGCTAGAGGAACTCCATCACACTTCCTCAATATATTTTTACCAATTTTTTGCAGTTGTGATTCTTGAGGAACTTTTCTTGGGAAGGCCTTTTCCACCAACAAGTTCCAAGACTCTTCTTCTGACAAGCCTTTCAAGTTATAAGGCTCTACAATGCTTGTACTTGTTCTCGACTTCAGAGCTCCTCCACCAACCTCCGCCACTTTTGTGGATCGAGTAGTCACCAACACTTTGCTTCCAGCAGCACCAAACATCAAATATTTTCCCAAAGTCTCCCAACTTCTGTCGGTTTCTTCCCACACATCATCTAATACAAATAAAAACCTCTTGCCTTTGATTGCTTCTCGAACGCGAGTTTGCAAAACATCCAAATCAACACCTGCTTGGCTTCCACAGTTTATGGATCGCAGCATCTTTCCGAGAATCACTTTGACATCGAAGCTCTGTGAAACATAGACCCAAGCTTTGATATCAAAGTGACCTTTCACTCGATCATCATCGAACACAAGCTGAGCAAGAGTAGTTTTTCCCAGCCCACCCATCCCAACGATTGGGACAACTGAAATGTTGGCTTCACTATGATGATTCAGCAGTAGCTCAATAATATTCTTCTTGTCATCTTCCCTCCCAACCACAATCTTGGGCGGGCAGGAATCAGTCTCCCTGGAAGGAAGAGTTTCTTCCTCAGTAGTATCAACTTCCAGATGCAAGGCGTCTTTGTCTTTCACTATATCGTCAAGCCTCTCCCTGATGGCCTTGATAGCATGAGCCATCTTGAGGTCGTATACCAATTGCTTGGGAAGTGACGACAACAGGAAGCATACCACACTCCAACAAGTCGTTGCTGACATCCTCCTCCTGCCACCAGCATCATCTGTTGTAGCTGCTACCACGGCCTTCCGGCGAGCCTCAGTAGCGAGATCGTCGAGCAAATCTTCGGCATCATACATGACTTCTGAGAGCTTCTCGAGCCAGTCTTTGACTTGGTGACTGTGGGCCTGCTTCTCTTCAGCATCACGGAGCACGGCCTGGATGGTGGAGACGGTGGCCTCGAATTTGCTGAGCTCGCGTCTGAAATTCCACAACAGTCCAATCTGCTCCTTGGCCAAGTCGGATGCCTTGCCAAGGATCAGTTTTGCAACCGGCATTAGAATGATTCCAGCCATTTTAGGGGAAATCAAGGAAGGAAAAATGAAGAGGAGCTGGAACAAGAGAACAAGGAGAGGAGAGAAAAATGAAGTTTTTTTTTTATTGGCAAAAGAAAATGAAGATTTTTTTTATGGATAAGAAGAACAGCGGATCAACCCAGATAAAGCGATGGCTAAACACGGAGATCAGAATGATTTAGCATGGGACCAACAGAAAAAGAATACAACAAAGAAGAGAAAGCGCAAGAGAAAATCAAGAGTGAGAAAACAGAGGAAAATCAAGGGTAAGAGAGACCCCAAGGAGAAACCAGGGTAACAGCAACGAGATACGAAAAAGCAATGAAGCAAGATCAAACCAAGAGAGCAGGAGGAAGACTCTGAACTTTTCAGACTTTAGATTTCTGGAAAACAGGAGAGCAAGGGAAAACAGGGGAGCAAGGGATCTGTACTGTAAGAGGGAATTGAGCTTTAATATTTTTAACAAACTCAAATAATATATATCAGTACCCACTTGCAGGGGAGGCTTTGACTTCCTACTTAAATTAAATCAATGAATAAGGTAAGCATAGTTGCAGGGGGTGGGAGACAAGATCCAATGGGTTAGCTCGAATATCTCATACTGCATAATATTATAACAGATGGTCAACTCTCTTCATAATCTGCAAACAATAAGCATTAACACGGTTGCTAGTAGAGGTAATGGTGGGTAAGATCCACTAATTCAGCTTCCTCAACGTGGTAAATGGTCTCTCAGACATTATTAATTTGAGCTTTTGTCAGTCTCCTATGGGACAAACTGCCCTTTGCTATTTCATCTCTGGAAAACAGGGGAACAAGGGATCTGCAAGAGGGATTTGAGCTTTTCCCATAATATGAAAGAAATCACAATCTCTTTGTTCACAGGTTACACAACCAGACCACGATTCGGCATTAACAGCTAGCAAAAACCAAAGGTTCTGTCAAAGACTCCAGCTAGCAGAAACTAGAAACATCTTAGCTGCCTGCCAGCAAAAAACTTTAAAGCTTGGGGTACTTTCAATTCCAACAATGGTTCTCAGTCATCTAGATAGAGGAGTTCTCATCAAGCCATAATTACATCAGCTCTAAGAATCAACATGCATAATCACAAGGATGGAGTAGAGATACCATACCTCGTGCCCCAGTGTTGCTGTCCTTGCGCTTCAGTATCTTCCTCGCGTTCTCCTTCCTTGATAAGAAATTGAGAATCTCACAGCTAATCAACATCTCTCTTTTATCCTCTTTTCTTCCAATCAACAAAGATCCATTCGGCAACCAAACCTGGGAGGAGGACGGGCTGATGAACACAGGAGACTGCTATTCTATGTAAATTTGCTGGGTTTCGTATCTTATTCTGGCGGCTCCTGAAGCTGCAGCAGCTCGAGGAGGTGATGATGGCGGAGCCGGAGGTAGGGCGAGCAGAAGAAGGATGGCACCGGCGGCAACGAGACCAAGCTGCAGGCACCGAGAAGACGACGCGAAATGGAAGTGTTGGTAATAACTAATAAGTAATAACTAATAGGGTTTGGAAAGTCGTTAAAAAATTAGACAAAAGAAACTGTCCTGAAAAATATTTTCGGGTATATTACTGGTTTCGAACACCAAACCTCATTAAACCTTGTACGCGGTAAAAAGTGTTCTTGCTGCAAAATGTGTTCTTGGATTTCTGAGTACACTGCCAAGAATGGGAGGGCTCTCCTCTTCATCAAGATGTTAGATTCTGCAGAAGAAAGCACAGAAAGACATGGTTGAAGCAAAGGTCACGTTTGTTTCATTGTGCATATCTTGTATCTGAGAAATGTCTGCTTGTGCTCCCTACTGTCTGTCTTTGGGACTAAATTAAGAACATACATAGCTACGGTCTGCTTGAGATAAAAGAAAGCAGCGATGGCAAACGCTTCTAAGGCGATAAGCTTACAAATCTAAAAGAGTTTGGTTAGCTACATGCTAAGTAGTACACTGACATGAGATCAATAACAATAATCAAGAAAAAGAAGTAGTACCTCGTTCCAATGAATTCGACCAAATCAGCTCTATCTACGATCAACGAGTATAAACTGCAAACATATTACAAAGACTGGAGCAATATATGGACTGGTTTTCTACCTTGAGAAAAGAAGGCACACAAAGAGATGGGAAGCAAAAGGTAGGGAAGTTATAAAGCTCTGCAATAGAAATTACAATGGCGACTCAACAGTGATGTCGAAATCTTTCTTTGCCCCTTGTGGCAGTAAGTCTGCGAGTTGAAAGAGCAGACTGTCCATCCCCAGCTGACCATCCGATCATTATCATCATTGGCAGCCTAATACCATCACATGCGAAAGTCTACGGCTTAGTTAAACAACAGAAGATATTGTTGAAGCAAAGATTCATACTGACATGCTCAACTTCCTTCGAGTCATCCACCATGATCCTACCGAACTTCTGAAACAAACGGTCCATAAACTCCACATCTCCTCCACCGAAATGGCTCCAAATCATCGCCTCGTCCACCGCTCTGATCGCCTTCTCCATGTTCCTCGCCATGGTCGCCCGCTCGCACTGCCTTCCTCCTCCATTACACCCATCCCATGGGTTCACGATGATCTCCAGGCGATCCACAGCAAACGACTCTTCTGTCTCGATCTCGGCTCTCACTTCTTCTGTAAACGGCTCGTAATACGGCGGATTGTATGTGTCCAGCTTCCCTTCAGGAATGAGCCCCTGTAGCCCACAGCATAAAAGCTAGTAAGAGACCAAGCTGGTTTAATATCAAAGAGATCTGGAAAGTAGGTTTTGGGATAAGAGAAGATGAGGAAAAAATTTTGGGATAAGAGCAAATCAAGAGTGAGAATAGTGGCCCCCACGTTACCTCCTGCGAGTGGCCTTCGTCCACTCGTTTTCTCTTCTTTTCTCACACAGAAACAATACTGGACATGCTCCTCCTTCGACCTACATTTGAAGAGAGGTAGGTAAGACAGGCCACTCATTATATTATCTTCCTCCGTTACTGTTGAGAATGAAGAACTGAAGTGATTTTTGCCAAAGCTGCCGATTCCATCCAGTATTCTGCAGTCCATAACAATAAACTTGTTCAGAAAAGGAGATTGATAATTCAAATTTCAATCAATGAACTCAGGGAAGATGGAGTCTGAATAGATCCTTTTCATAGAACTAGAAATCAATTATTATACACTTAAAACTGAAATGAGTACAAGTGAACAAGGGGAGTGGGGTTCAGTCACTAAAACCTATGGCTTAGTGATATTACTAAGCAGATCACACACAGGCACAGCCATCGATTGTACTGACGGACATGCTCAAAGCGGTTGATTGCTTCTTGATGACAGAGACAACAATACTGACATGCTCAACTTCCTTCGAGTCATCCACCATGATTCGACCAAACTTCTGAAACAAACGGTCCACAAACTCCACATCTCCTCCACCGAAATGGCTCCGAATCATTGCCTCGTTCACCGCTCTTATTGCCTTCCCCATGTTCCTGGCTGTGGTCGCCCTGTCATACTGCGTTACTCCTCCATTACACCCATCCCATGGGATCACGATAGTCTCCAGGCGATCCACAACAAACGACCCTTCTCTCTCGATCTCAGCTCTCACGTCTTCAGTAAACGCCTCGTAATATGGCGTGTTGTAAGTGTCCAGCTTCCCTTCAGGAATGAGCCCCTGTAGCCCACAACATAAAAGCACATAAGAGACCAAGCTGGTTTAATATCAAAGAGATCTGGAAAGTAGGTTTAGTTGTGCACCTCAGAAACTAATTCCTGGAAGGCCAATCCTAGGTAATCCCAGAGCAAGCAACTTTCATCAGGCGCCGGGTCTTCTAGACGTCTTCCCCTGAACTGCAACACCATTCTCCCACCTGCAACCACTTCCTCTGAACGTGCCTGGAGGAATGTGCAGAAGTCCTTTTGGAATTGGGACTTGTAAGCGTCTATTACAGCAGGTGAACTCGTTCTCGAGATGAAAACCTTCCCTTTGTTTATCAGCGGATCCTGTTTATCACTCAGCTCTGGAGGAACCTGTCAAAGATTGAAATTTTCGTGGAATCTAATTGGAAAAGAGTGGATTTTTTCCCCAGCAAATCCATTTTCTGGGTTAAAGTTAAATTCTTTGTCAGTAAAATGAAAAAGGGCGGGCAAACCTGGGAAAGCCAGTGAAGGCACTGGCCGGAATGAACGAAATGGAGGGAATTGGAGGGGAAAAGCCTGCCGTAGAAAGAGCCCGGAACGCCTGAAACATAACAGGGCCCGAAATCTTGCCCATGCTCTGTTTTCAGCTTCTCCTGGAAAGACGGCAGGGAGTTGAAAACCGTGTTGAAATCATTTCCCGGAAGATCGTTCAGGAAGACAGAGAATTCCGGAGGCGTTCGGCCGAGCTGGGAGCTCTTCTGATGGATGATGCCTGTGATCTGCGCAGCTGCGACCAGAGAGTTTGGTCCTGAAGAACATCCGAGGTCTGCTATGTTAAACAAGTTGGCTGGAAATCCGGCAGTGCAGAGGTCCAGAACTGCTTGATCCAGAACCGGCATTGCTCTGGATAAGTAGGCGCTCTGTGGAGGAGCAGCCCACAAATTTCAGGTCAGTGAAATTAAGAAGTAAAACAATGCAAGAGAAGCAATTTGTGTTTTGTTGGAGAGAGCTGGTAGTTAATCTGAACCTGGGATTTTGAGTTAAGGGCATAGCTCTCTTCCCCTAATCCGCCTTTCATGTGGAAAACTTTCTGCATCTCGTTGCTTTCAGCTTCAACCACCATCTCAGTTGTGCTAGAGTTCAGAATCGATTCCGGAACCCAAAAAGAAACTCGGGTACTATCAGTCTGAATCACGAAGACAAGCAAAGACCGCAATAGAATATATAAATCTCTCTGTGGTACAATAAAACAAAATGTACAGCTCTTGTTTATATAAACAATACTGTAGCTGCTACCTAGCTTCTCTTGTCTTCATCCTATAGAGGCATCAAAAGAACTAGCATATGGAATCTTCTTCCTATACGATATCATACTTGTCGACAATCAAGCCTGCATAAACTCCATTTACTCGTTGACCATTCGGGTTATGTTTCTGAGAGCTCGATCTGATTCTCTTACCAAAATAGTAACATTTAAATTCAGAAAAAGCTAGAACCAAACAAGATCTCCAGCTTCAAAGATTCAAGTCGTATGACTTGGGATTCAGAATCATGTGGTCAAATTATCATTTGCCAAATATTAATGTTGGGACAAGGATAAGCAGAACACGAAATTTCCACGAAAACTTGCACGCTGATGGTTCTCTATATAACCAGGTCGGAAGAAAGCACAAAAACCCGAAGACAAACGCAACAGATAACTACACAACAGCTTAGCAAGTCTCAATCTACTTCCTTCTACCTCTTCAGTATAATTGGAACGGATGACTGCCACGTCTCGAACTTCATGACTCTTCGATGAGCACTGCATGATGATGTTCGACTTAATTCCTTCTACCTTTGTTTCGATTGGAAGAAACAACCGTCCACCCATCATCCTCCATCTGACTTTCATTAGGCATGTTCTCTGAACTCGCCTTAGGCTGAGGAACTGGCGAATCCACTGCCATATTTGATCTACTTCCAGGCATCATATCACCTTCATCATCACTTCCATCCTCCGAAGAGTCATCGTTATCATCATTGCTAGCCTAATACAGCATAAACAAAGCAACATCAACACAAACCACAACCAAGAACTAGTGAAAACCCCCCATATTACAGTTCTTAAAAAGAGTTAAACCTGTCTAATATGTTGTTGAGTCCCTGCTGCAGGCCCTGCTCTTCTCAACTTCTCAACAGAGCTATAATCACCTTCCAAACATTCCTCATGCATAATCATCAACTTCTCTGCCACCTACCATGGCGAAAGACACACAGAACGTTTCAGCAAAGATTAAGCATCAACAGAGAAAAGAAATCACTGCACGTGAAAACCCAAATCTCATTTACCTCCTCTACGCTACCATCGTCAATCTCGCAATTCAGAGAAAGCATCCCTTCGTCGAGAACGTTCTCTAAATCATCGATGTAAAGCGGCTCAGCTGTAATCAACACGGAAAACCCGAGTAAAAGAATCAGCAATTGCAACAAGGAACCGCAAATCTAACCAGAATCGAATTTCCCATTCCGAATTAGAGCTCGATTCTAGACACTAGCTATGGCATTTTTACCTTTGGGCTGGGTGAACCAGGAGAAGATGTCGGAAGCGAGATGATCGGCCAACTGGCGGGAGCGGCGGCCAGCCCATTCTTCTTCGATGGCGAGCTGGAGAGCCGACCATCGGGAGAGAATCAAGTATACTCCTTCGTTGAACACGGGCAGTGATTCGGCCGTCAGCTGCTTTGCTGGCCCGTTTTGGGCGTCTCCTCCGCCATTCATGGCTTCGTATCCTCCTCGCTACACTCTCTGTTTCTTCTTCGGTGTGCGTAAAACCCTAATGGCCTATTTCTCTATCAATTTCGCGGTTCCGCCAAAAGGCAAAAGTGTTGGGTGGTTAAATGTCTGAATGGCCACCAAACTTTAGGATTGTATGAAAATGGGCCGTTGAAAGAATAAACTGCACATGGTAGGATCTTGGACTAGTTTGTAAATACATGAAACATGGGGTCTGAAACGACGTTATATACTTCATCTTCTCCGGTATCGTGAATTTACCGCGGTTCGAATTTGATTTCGTGAAATCAAACGCATTTCTTTTGACGAAGCACAAACGTTTAGGAGTAGAAAAACTGAAACTGGAATGCAATAGATTGGCAAAAACGATAATTAGAAAGTACAGCAAAATACACGATATACCGAGACATTTTGGTGATATATTCATTTCTCCCACAACACACCGAAAGTGAATACACTGATGTTCATGCAGCAAGTGGAGAGGAAATTCAATTATTCATCTAGTCTAACAAATCACACCAGGACAGACAAGTCGGTTTGCACTATATCGATGGAACGCTGAAGAAATGTGATCGAACAGCATAAGCACGTGCTTACGAAAAATAACCGAAGCAAATGGAATAAACGAAGACGAAGAAGCAATCATTGCATTCCGCGCCTTAAGCAGCAACAAGTCCAAGTTCCAACAGCAAGGTGTGATTGACATCATTTGAGCCAGGTCCCATAAACTGAATTGGACCTGCAAAAACGTCGAAAACTAGGATCAGCAAACTGCGTGTACCCAACGTACGAGTGCATTCATGGATGGCAATTTCGAACTGGAATTGGTCATTGGTTCAGTGACTACACATACCAGGACTGATGTATCTGTTCTTGAGTGCCCACTCTTCTCGCATTGAAGCAAACTTTTTGAAAGGTGCACCTGAAAATATTTATGCAGATTAGTAGACTGCGGCTGAAATGGTATCCATTGTGTGTGCTTTGCTAAATCGAGAATAGTAAGGGAGTATCAATAGACAACGATTACCTTCGAGCTCTACCATTGCCTTCTTGATAACGGGCTTGTTTTTACCTAATTAGAACAAATAACAGGGGAAGGGAAGGGTATCAGTACTCAAGCAGCACCTCCCGAGACTAAATATGGAGAAGGACATTCATCAAAGGAATCCCAGGATGCAACAAATTCGTGATTAACAAGCCGTAACGATTTTATCCAAATCCTAGTTCCCTCCCACATGTTGCTACCCGCAACAGAAGTTCATGTTGTCGGCAATAATAAAACTTTACCATGTCTTCTCTCCACATCCATCAAGGAAGTCAATGCAGTCCCGCCCACCGTCCATTCTGAAACAGGGGCACCTAGATTTCCAACCTGGGATACAATCAGCATAAATTATCGTTAAATGAAAATGTTATCATGGTAAGAGTATTGATGTTCTCTTTTAAGAATTGAAATAGTATTGATATTACTCCCCTCAGATCAAGCAAGACACTAAAAATAGCTTAGAAGAAAAGCTTGACAGGGAAAATGGAGCGAAATGAAGAGAGATTAGGAAGTGGACCAGCGACAATAAGTGTCGGCAACAAAGAATTGTATGGACTTACTGATGAAATCAACCCAGTCTTCCCACTGTGGAGAAGAACAGCAGCAGCATAGCCCAGTGCATAACAGTACATAGAATCAAAATTAGTTGGCAAACCACATCTTCCTTCATACCTGAAAAAGAATAAATTCTTAACCAATTGCTCCAACCAAATTTGAGAAAGCATCATATACATTATAAGGCAACAAGTGTCAACTCTCTCCAGCTAGCTATCAACTGAATTTTGATAAACCTAATTAACAACAACCCAAGTAAAAACTAGTGTTTCGGTTGGCATAGCTGGTCAGTCCTGACAAAATATGACCAAAAGAGTCTTCAATTATAGGCCTAAAGTATGGAACTAGTGAAAAGTTCATCAAGTATGTTACCCAAAGAAGTGGGACTGTCCTTTGAATTGGCCTTTGTATGAACCTTCTAGCTTCCTTTTTTCTAACTCGGTTTCAACCATCTGAATGAGCATTTTCTCTGTCTCTATTTTAGCAACCTACAAGCACAACAACAAAAAAACATGAAATATACAACAATCCAGAAGAGATTCTTAACAAGTGAATCATCTACTGATATTGATATGTGGTAGACACCTGAACATTTCCGTGTGGATCTCTCTCAAGCATCAACTGCTCCTGAATAGCTTGAGGCAAAAATTCAAAAAGCTGAAGAGACTGCTCCGCAAGCTTCTTCTTCCAGAGCCCAGCTTCGTCAACAGCATCATGGGCCAGAATTTCATTCAATTCTGCAATGAGCTGCTGGACCTGCACAGCACAATATGCCACCGAATGCCCATTTAATTACTAAACTTTGACATACCGCTGTGTGAAAATAAACTCTCTAGTACCAGGCCAGTAGGGTCCTAAATCCTAACAATGAGTAGGGATAGAAGATGAACATAAGCAAAACAGCAATTAGGATACCTCAGGGATGAAATCAATCAAGCCCTCTGGAATAAGGATAACACCATAGTTATAACCAAGTTCTGAGCGTTTGGAGATCACATCAACCATGTAATCGGTAACATTTTTAAGGGTCAATTTTTTTGCAGCAACCTGCAAGACAATACAACTTGAAACATCAGCACTTTTTCCGATTTATTTGCTTCATAGAAAAAGTACTTAGACCGCAACTTTTTGTTCAGGAGATAATAATTAACTAACAAACTGGACCGATGGTAAAAAGGAAATACCTCTTCTCCAATGATTGTAATGTTGGGGTGAGTTTGCAAAGCACACTCCAAGGTAATGTGGGAGGCAGCACGGCCCATAAGCCGTACAACTGAAACAAAGCAGTAAAATCAATTCTTATAAAGACAACAAGAGATTGTGTGATGTGTGCCTGTGAGTTGATAGAGAGGAACTACCATGAACTTCCCAGAAACAAATTAAGATGTAAGGCTCAACTTAAGAAATTGTTCTACTGAGCTTAGGTTCAAACTGTGGTCCAATACTCCTTATCAACAATGTTTGCTGATGAAAAGTGTAACTATTCCAGAGAGCAAAATGGGGTCCATTTTTTATTCAATAACACCTATGCGAGTATATCATACGTGTGATTCCGTAAACAGTAAGACATAGGCCCAAGGAAGTCAGCGTATGACAACTAACAAGTCAATGCCTTACAAATAAGTCATTGAAATAGCAGCATTTCGAAGAGCCATAGCCAAATTTCTTTCTTATGAGGCAGAGAAAAGGAAGAATCCCTCCTGGAAGCACCTAAACTCTAAGAGGACAGCACCACTAAAATTGAACAATTCTTTCGGAAGCATTTCCCCGAATTTTAATATAACTTAACTCAAACTCATATAATGGTCACAAAGGGCAAAAGGATCGAGACAATTGACTTACAGTGATAATATTTCCCAGTTGATCGGGCATCAATCATGACATTGCCAATCATTTCAGCATATATCTGCATTCCTCATCACACAGACAGATACTCTGACTAATTAGGATACAGAGAACAAGTAGAAAAATCTATTTGAAATGCATTCAGATTCAGACCCGGGCCAGTAATGGGAAAACAGATACTCCTACACACTATTTCATTTGTCGTGAACATAACTTCGAACATGAGAAACAAAACAAAAAAATAACACAGACTCCTAATCACCTTGCAGGCAGTGTCAAATCCAAAACTGGTGGGGACCTCTTTGCATTTCAGATCACCATCAATTGTCTTCGGGCAGCCAATTACCCGTGCCTTCAAATTCTTGCTCCTGATTGATGAAATGAAGCAAGAAAATAAGAAGAAGAAGAAGAAAAAATTGTCATGACAACAAAACCTCGAGTGCCAGCCAGCCGAAACCGCAACCAATAGTACAGCAACAAAAGAAAAATCAAAATGTGGAGTATACCTGAAGTTTTCAGCAAGCAGGCAAGCATTGGTGTTGGAATCATCCCCACCAATAACAACAAGCCCATCCAAATCGAGCTTCACTGCAGTTTCTTCAGCTTGCTTAAACTGCAAAAAATTTCCTTTCCAATATCAGTTAAGCTTTTGCTTTCAGCTACCACACAACCAAACGTAAAGAATGAAACAGTATCACCCACCTGTTCCGGTGTCTCAATCTTGTCCCTGCCACTGCAGATCATATCAAAACCACCCTGATGAACCAAGAAGATATCACAGACTTTAGACAGTGAGAGTGCTGGAATCAAGCAGACAATGCCACAGATCCTCAAAGCCAGTAAACTCCACGATTACTCTATCTATCAAGCAATGATGGTACCTGGTTTCTGTAAGGGCGAATGTAGTCAGGAGTCAGTTCTACATATTTGCACTTCATGATACCAGCAGGACCACCGCGAAATCCATAAACCGTACTCCCCTTGGCATGAGCCTGCAAGTAATCTACGGCCACACAAAAGATCGGCAAGTTGACAGTCAGAGCAATTCGAATCGCGGAACTGAAGACAGATCGCGCAAATTTTAAAATACTTTCCCTTACCAAAGATCCCGGAGATGACATTGTGTCCTCCGGGCGCCTGGCCACCGGACAAGACCACGCCGATTTTCAGTTTCCGACCGGAATCGAGAGCATGCTCGCCGTCGGTCGGCACCAGCATTGTGGAAGGCTGGCCAAACAGATTCGGGAACAGACTGGCGATCCCATCTGCAGCAGCAGAAAGATCCAGAAACTTCAGACTGACAATAGTCAAACGCAATTGACCTCGCTAGGAAGGAGAGGAGAAAGTAGGACGAACCTGGGTTCCCGGCGGCTGAACTAGCGGGGCCGTCAACGATCTTGAATGGACCGGTGAGGACTGAGGGGAGAGGGAGTGCGTAGTCAATTCGGCTGGTCTGGACCTCACTGTAAACGGAGGATGCGCGGCCGCCGCTGGAGGTCTTGCCGATGGCGGCGGCGAAGTCGCCCCCGTTGATCACGAACGAAGGAGCCATGGGAAACGGATTCGGCGAAGGGGAAGAGGGGAGAAACGGCGGTGAAAACGAGAGAGATGAAAGCGGAGTAGCACACTGAGCAAGAAGACAAGGTTTGGTGAGGTTTTATATGTTAGGTGGTTTGTATTTGAGTTATATATATCCAACAGCTCCCTTTATTTTATCTCGACTAACAAACCAGCTCCTAAACTTTAAATTTTATCTGAATGACTCCTCCTACCGTCTCAGTATGGACAAACACACCCTTCTGTTAAGTTCTCCATCGTGAATGGACCGTTAATCAAGTTTGTCAAACTGGTTTGAACCGTTGAATTGGTCAATTGCGAGGATTCATGGTGAGAGTCTTGCAAATACCGCTTTTCGACCACCGGACTGGAGGCTAGCAAATGGTTTGAGATTCAATGTTTGGACCTGATGGGACCAATTTAAGTCATTTTATCGATATTCATTAAAATATATGTGTGTGTATATGGAGATAATCTAAGTTTTAAATAATTTGAATATAATTTGACAAGTACCATACAATAATTTAACAATTAATATATTACATGACCCTAAAAGATGCGTTTATATGCTTCGTTTTCCATAGTGGCATTTGGGAGAAAGCCAAAATGACAACATTTTGTGCAAGAGTCGGAAACCAATCAAGACGCGATTAGATCAACAGTTTTAACCTGTTATCGGTTTGGAGGCAAATTGGCCTTTTTGGGGATTGTTTTCGACAATGACTCCGAACCGACCTGGTACAACTGGCCGACTTAAGTACAACTTGACAACCTTGTCATTAATCAGAAAGCTCAGTTGCCGTAGTCAACAATTAATATTTTGAAAATGACGAACTTGCCCCGTTCATTTGGGCGAGTAAGTTAGCGCTTATGTAGCCTCTTTTCCTTTCAATCTGACTACAGTCATACATCTATCGAAACTAAAGGTATGTTCTAGCATGATTCATAATCGTTAGACCGTACGTTCTGCGTACGATGGATGTACGTTTGACAATTGTGCAGAGGTAACCAAGTTACATGTTTAAACAAGATTATAACTAGCTATTTATTCTTAGCTACATCCTAATTAGTTCTTCAAGGTAATTAAGGTAGCAATTACATATGCCAATATGATGTGAAAAAATGAAGCTCAAAGAAACCGGCCTCGCTTGTTCGGCTTGTCAAAGATCCCCGGCCCATACGTCGACAAGAAGATGTCGACGAGCAGAGGGAACTGCAGCAGCGCAAACAGAGTCACCGGAACGCTGGCCAGCAACATGATCGGAAAAGAAACCCAATCGAACCTCTCCTTCAAAAATATCATCAGCGCCACCCCAAACGTCATCATCATCGTCGCCATCGAGAAGAACAGAGTCGACAGCCCGATGATCAGCTTCATCGGCAGCGACCGGAGGAAATCCTCCTCCCGGTACCGCGACGTCAGCATCCCGAGGAACATGAGCATCGATGACGTCGACGAGAAGAGCGAGACGGCGTCGGAGACGATGTACGCGATGAAGGAGCTGCGGTGGAGGAAGATGGGCAGCCCCGTGTACTGGTCGAACCCGCCGGGGAGTGTGAACAGAGCAGAGAACATGATGGTGGCGATCAGCGCCGCCACCACCGTGCAAGACGTCGCCGTTTCCTTCATCCACTTCTCGCCTTCTTCCACCAACCCTCTGTGCTCCTTCGTGAACAGAGTCCTCGGCGTGTCGTGCGACAGGTTCCTCATCTCCCTCTGCTTCGGCTGAACAATGCTCTCCACTTCTTTGTACCTGTGGAATTACAGTGTAATTTAGTGAGACAAGTTCGTACTAATGGAGCTATCCGATTTCAACAGACTTTGCTTTATGTGACATGATGACACATTTTGTCATGTTAGTTACTGACCATTGTAGCTCCCTCTGCATCTGGAGAGCGGCCCCGGTGACGCGGTCGAGCTGGGAGAGCGGGGCCAGGAACGCCGCCTGGTGCAGGATGTTGTTGTGGTTGACGTCCCAGGGCGTGGCCATGGCGTTCTTCTTGGCGCCCATCCGGTAGATGAGGTTGAAGATCTTCTCCTGACGGTGGAGCGTCGCGCACAGGAAGATCCCCCTCTGGCTCTCATCCTCTCGCCACACGATATCTGGGTACTGCTTGATCAGTTCCACTATGAGCTCGACGATGCCATGTTCGATGGCGTCGAACAGAGCCTTTTGAATCCCCGTTTTCTCAAATTCTGACTCGGACAGGGTCGAGATCTGCTGGCACAAGCACCGGAGGAGCTTGATGGCCTGGACGTGGGTCAGTTTCAGGTCGTAGAGACGTTTGAATCCTGGAACTGTGTTGACCATATTAGCATAAACAAAAATGTTAATATATGACAACTTGTAACAACACACATTCTTAAGAATATTATTTTGTTAGGCATATTAGCCTTTTGCTTATTGCAAGGACATGATTGTTAAAATACAATAGTATGGTGGTGTATTTGTTAAAACATAAAACTCCAACCATTAAGCAAAGGGTTGGTTTGATGTAGACATGTAGTAGGTACAATTAGTGTTGGTTGAATGATGACTAATAGGTTAATCATTAGTTAATTACTATTCAAAATGTTATTAGTTTATTATCACTTACTATTCAAAATCAACGATGGACCGATAGTTGTGCATATTTAATGTGTTTTCATTAATGCACGTACTATAGATAAAAGTTCAAGCTAGGTGCATAAGACGAGTGTTGGGGCCTCGCATACTCGTCTAGGTCCCAACTTGTCTAGGCGTCGACTAAACGTGTCTATGCATTGGAAGAAAAAAATAGCATTTGGTACTACATAATGAATAAAATAATAATTTACCACACTTTCACACTTCGGTTCAAAATGATTAATAACTTAATTAACACTTATGAATGAGAAAAATAAGCTCACAAGTTCATAAAATCATAGCTCAACAGCTCACAAAATTCCTGAACTATTGAAAAGATTGATATAGAAGATTTCAACCGTAGATGAGACTAATTCCTCCTCTAATATCGAATGCCTAGCTCCGTCTGATTATGTGTAAGGGACACGCATGCGTCACCTTACTCCACTAAGGTGTTCTCAATGACTAATTCTAAAATAAACTATTTCAACGATCTGACATAAATTTAAATGAGGGATGAATCTTCCATAGCATGTATTGCCCAAATTCCATATAAACCATCACAACCGGAGATGGTGATTTAGTGTGAGGTCAAAGTATAGTACTTAATTAATTATCATCACATGATTACCTAGATACTTGAGGCTCTTGGAGAAGACGACCAATAATTGACGAAGTGCTGAAAATTTTGCAAAACATTACAGAAATTAAAACTAAGAGGAAATGGACATGGGTTATTACATAAACTAATCTCCAATTAATTAAGTAGCGATTAGTCATAATCAAGGAATATACCTTTGTTTATCATCCACAAAAGAAGGAATATACCTTGTCTCAACATGGTTCTCTTCCTGCCCGTTTCTGGTCTCTTATCGGCCACATCTCCATCATCAGAGACAATGTTGTGCGACGCAATGTGAGGCACCCGTATAACTGCTTTTCCCCCAAGTAATCAATAAAGCATGATTAATTAACACTAATCTCAAACTAATTAATCGTTTAAGAACTGGATTGATTGAAGCTTTACAGGAATAGATCCACCACTGCCACCAAGCAAGCGGAGCTCCGCTGGGGAACGCCGACGGCGTCTGAGCCAGCACCTCCAGCGCTGTGTCCTTGTCACTGTCTTGAGTGAACGCCAGTTGCGGGTAGCAGTGAAGCAAGTCCAGTGCAATATCTGCAACACAAGTGTGTGTATGGGTTTGTTTATATAAAGAGAAACTGATTTAGCTGGTGGATTTTCGGTTTCTAGGCTCTGATACTATGTCAAGAACCAGTTGATCCTAATAACTCGAGTTGTTGAGAGAGGTTCAATTGTGGATCATATACCACACACTAACACTAGTGGCTCGCACCAAATTCTGAAGGTCGGGTTGGGCCAGTGTCTACGGGGGCGGGGCGGTTTATGATCGGGTTATCTTCTGATTATAAGGGTTGGACAGAGTCAAGTTTACTATTTAGACTTTGTCATTGTATTGATATGAAACTCATCATTCCAACACACTTGACTTATTTGTAAAATTTTTAAAGTTTAGGTACTATAAAAAATATTGATACTAAAATATAATCTTACCATCGACATTTATGCACCTATATCCAAAAAAATGTACTAAATTGTAATGAAAAATAATTATGGATATCAAAATATGTTTTCCAGAAAATCAATGTATAGGCTAGCTTGACCCACCCGACCCTAGCTAGAGGGTCGGATAGTGTCAAGAAGAAAACAACGGTGGAGTAACGAGTAATTCCGTTACATATATTGACCCTTCGTGAGCGAGTCAAGCCATTTTTCCAGCCCTATAAAATTATTCAAATTCTAGGTGCTCGATTCGTTACATTTGGTAGAATTAAGATAAAACCGTGATCATATTATAATTGTTTGACTCGCTCACATAACCAATAATTCAAAATGGTAAACTGAAAAAAAAAAAATCTCAATCAGGAAGAGTAATTAATTAAGCACCCATATATGTTAATTACGTTCACACGTATTAATGTATATAACGATCATAGGGTAATTAATTGGTAAACTGAAAAAAAACACGTATACCGTAGAGTCCATCGACGATACAAGTCGTAAGAAGCATGGCACCATTGATCTTGCTCCCGCCATGGCCGACCAAATCGTCCTTCGGGCTCGCGTGGTAGAGATACCGCACCATCTCCCTGTGGCCGTACAACGACGCCACGACGACGGGGATGTGGCCGTTCTGGTTGGGGACACGGAGGAGCTCGGGGGCTTTCCTCACGAGGCAATCGGCGATCCCCGTGACGCCGCCGATGGCCGCGTAGTTGAGCGCGGTGGCGCTGCTCTTGTTCTTCATCATGAGCGCTCCTTTCGGCAGCACCTCCGTCGCCAGCCTCTCCACGATCCCCTCGTGCCCCGCCAGCACCGCCACGTGGAGGGCCGTGTCCCCGTCGGGGGACAGGCTGGCGGTGGCGGCGGGGACGGGCCCGTCAGGGTGGCGGTTGAGGAGGCGCTTTGTTGTTTCCCAGTCGCCGCTGTCGAGGGCGCGGTAGAGCGGGAGGTTCCGGATGTAGTCCTCATCTGCAGATCCAAAGAGATCGAATACTAGACCGTTTTCGTCAAAAGTTACAAATTCAGATTGTACCATAAAATAGTTCGACAATAAATGTCGGTTATCTCGGAATACCCGACAATTTTACGCTCTGTTGGGCTTATATTAAAGATTTTTTCTTAGGATAACAGGCTATGTATAGGAATGAAACACAAGAGCATATAGTAGCAGGGGTAAGTAGGGTTTTGGTTGGAATTACCTTGGCCGGCGGCTGCAATGTTGGTGGTTGAGGTGCTGGGGTTTGAACCGGAGAGCCAGGCTTTGGCGTTTGTCGTCTGCTTTCTCATCACCAGCAAAAACGCCGGCCGGCAGAGGTTTCCTCTCCTCTGGTTTGGTTTTCTTTCCCTTCTTAAAGAGAAAAAAAATTGCTCTTGTGCTTTATTTCCTAAGGGGGCTTGTTTATTTTAATACTGAAAGCTAGATGTCCTGGCTAAATAGTAAGTCATGCTGCAAAGTAAAAAGAAAGCTTTGAGATTTAAGATCGTGTTGAATCTTGTAGTTACGAAGCTGTTGTTATGATATTGTAGGTTAAGTACTGAGTTTGGTAGTAGGAAAAGTTACTGCTGTTGTTTGATGGATATGGAAGCAAGGAATTCAATGGAATGTCGACAATAAAGCTACAGCCAGCTAGCCGATGAACGATTGTGTAGCTTGTTGTTGGAGTTATTCTTTTCCTAAAGCAAATGAAATATTCCCAATGTGAAAAACGGTTTGTGTGACATACTTGTAAGGAGAGTAATGGTATGCTTACTTTTACACCAGAAAAGATCATGATGATGATCTATAGTGTTTTTATGAGAATGCTTAAGATAATTTCCTCCAATCAAAGTTTAGTGGTTTGCTGATGTGAACGGATCATAAAAAAACTGAAGTTAATATGCATATGAAATAATAAATATCACAGTTGATATGATTTGAATCAGATTTTCTGCCGTCGACTTAATAATATTGTAATATGATGTATCTGCTCAACTATAGTGAAACTTGCTCTCTCTCCTGTCCGTGGACTAGCTAGCTAACACACATTGTTTTGGCGAACCACCTGAATCTACGTGTTGTTTGCTTTCTTGCATTGTCGATTATCCTCGTCCGTTCTAACAATCACATTGCTTTGTTTCTATATTAATTGGAAGGTTTACTATCAACAACAATGATCATAACGTCTTATTATAAAATGATCTCTATTAATTTATTCTATGGAGAGGGACTAATCCCTAATCTCATGTAGGGATGGCAATTTCGACCTGACCCGATTTACCCGACCTGTTTGACCTGTTTTGGGGCGGGGCGGGCATGGGTACCTCTCATCGACCCGACCTGCCCTGACCCGCAAATTCTCGACCCGTTCTTGCCTAAATTACATATAATATTAGTTAAATTACTTAAGATTTTCTTCTTATTACATTATATTTTAGCTATAATAAAGTTGTAAATAAGTGAAAACCTCAATTTCTTCAATATTTTAACTACATTTTATCATATTATGGTTTCTTTCTTGGTCTTTCAATGAAAAGAACGAATATTTCTAATGTTTTTCACATAAATTACATACCCAATGGGTCGACCTGCCCCGACCCGCGTCCCGTGATAAATTACCCGACCTGGACCTGACCTGCCATGGGGCGGGTATGGGTATCGAGATACCCGTCCCGGACCTGCCCATTGCCATTTCTAATCTCATGATTAAGGAGATGGCTATAATAAACGTGTCATGGGTAATACCAGATTTATGCAAACCCATTCAGTGTTTCGTGAGTGCACTGCGCCTCGGCCCAGCGAATTGAAATGGTCGGCCCGAAAAGAAGTACAATGGCTGGATCAAATGGTTGTTAGGACCGGCCCAAACACAAAGACGATTTGCATTGTGCTATATTTTTGCGAATATAAAAGGAAAAAGAGATTGGTCAATTTTTAAATTTTAAAATGTGGATTATACGCGGTACATTTTGATCCAAATATAATTCGATTCAATATGTTTATTATATGAATTAGAATGCGATCGTTGTCATTCAAAATTCCATTATTTTCATTGGCAATGGCAAGTACCAAAATTAGTATCAAATTACAAATATCAATGAAATGGAGGAAAAAATTGTTTTAATTCAACGGAAAAAAAAATTGTTTTACAAGTTTAAACCATTTCCCCCAATATGGCGCCAAAAGCAGTAAAAGTAAACGGAAATGCGCGCCAAACCGGGCCCGCTTCCTCTCTCTTCCCCCGGTTTCCCGCGCGGGGCCCACATTTTTCCTCCTACTTTTACCTCCCCATTTTTCAAATTTAAAACTGAAGATCCCACTCACTGCCAGCTGGCTCCCCAACAGGCGCGCCCCAGAGCTCTACTCTCCTCCAAATTCCTGGCGCCAAATTCAAAATGCTTCCCTCGAAAATTAAATTCCTCATTTTTTAAAAAATATATAAAAAAATCCAATTTCCCCTCCTGCCTAACTTCCAAAATACGCCTCCAGCCTTATCTCCACATATATAACCCTAGCCCCCATTTCTCCATCCCAAGCGCGCCTTAAACCTGTTCGACGAAATTCCCGTGAGAGAGTTCAAAAACCCAGGGGGAGACTAGAGAGTGGAGGAGAGAAAAAGATGTATGTCGTGAAGAGAGACGGGAGGCAGGAGGCTGTCCACTTCGACAAGATCACCGCCAGGCTGAAGAAGCTCAGCTATGGCCTCAGCATCGACCACTGCGACCCTGTCCTGGTTGCGCAGAAGGTGTGCGCGGGTGTTTACAAGGGCGTCACCACCAGCCAGCTTGACGAGCTGGCCGCCGAGACTGCCGCTGCCATGACTGCTAACCATCCTGATTACGCCTCCGTGAGTTTTTAGTTTAGTCCATGCTGGGATGGCTGTCGTTTTATGCGTTTTGGTATGGATTGTGTGTGACTGTGTTTTGGGATTTCTGGTGTGGCAGTTGGCTGCGAGGATTGCGGTGTCGAATTTGCATAAGAACACGATGAAGTCATTCTCCGAGACGTAAGATTGTGATGTGTATTTGATTGGTTTACTTTGTAATTGGGTACGGGATTTGGGTTTTTGATTTTGTGATATTGTGATTATGCAGTGTGAAAGTGATGTACCATCATTTCAATGAGAGATCTGGGTTGAAGGCTCCTCTGATTGCTGATGACATTTACGAGATCATTATGCAGGTATCGATTGAGTTCAATTTTGACTTAGTTTTGTTTGATTTTTGTTTTAGTTTGTTTGACGAAGATTGAGAATCTTAATTGCACATCTGCATCAGCTTAATAATCCGCCTGTACTCATTGATTGCTAGAAGCTGTTATAATACAAAGTGGTCCCCATGGCATGGTGTTGGATCTGGTCACGAATTGTTAAGAAAGTCACTTTCTCGTTTTTAAGAAAGATAATAACAACCTTGTGCGATGCCTTTTGGGTACCAGATGGATTCCTTCTAGGCATAGAAGCATAGTTTCTCTTATGGGTTGGTACCCCTTGGCTCAATGGAACTGGTCTTTCGTGAGTGCTGATGTTTTCTTGAGCCCTTGTATTTAGCTTGTGAATTATAGTTGCTGGGGTTTTATTGCGGAGTCAGACTGATGCTCGAACACTTCTGAGTTACTGAGTATCATGGCATTGTGGCTGATATGGATGAGTAAAATGCTCAGTTTGTAGCGTGTTAATGAGCAAATGACTGACATTGTGGCCAATCACTTTTTTTGATTCAGAATGCAGCTCGATTGGACAGTGAGATAATCTATGACAGGGACTTTGACTATGATTACTTTGGATTCAAGACCCTGGAGAGGTCATACCTGTTGAAGGTCCAGGGGAAGGTTGTAGAAAGGCCCCAGCATATGCTGATGAGGGTTTCTGTTGGAATTCACAAAGATGATATTGATGCAGCCCTCAAAACGTATCACTTAATGTCACAACGATGGTTTACTCATGCTTCTCCAACACTTTTCAATGCTGGAACACCAAGGCCTCAAGTATGTGATTTGTTATTTAAGCTGTTGATTTGGTTGTCCATTTCATGCCGGTTTCTGGAGGTTAATGTGTTCATTTTATTTTGCAGTTGAGCAGCTGTTTCTTAATCTGCATGAAGGATGATAGCATTGAGGGAATATATGAAACCTTGAAGGAGTGTGCTGTAATCAGCAAATCTGCTGGAGGGATTGGTGTTTCTGTTCATAATATCCGTGCTACTGGTAGCTATATTCGTGGGACTAATGGGACATCCAATGGCATTGTACCAATGCTAAGAGTGTTCAATGACACTGCACGATATGTTGATCAAGGAGGGGGCAAGAGGAAAGGTAAATTGAGTTTCTTGTGCCTTTTATAATTTGTTTATAATGTGGATTTCATGGGCATATGGTTGACTTTGTTTGTACTGTTTATAGGAGCTTTTGCTGTGTACCTGGAGCCATGGCATGCTGACATATTTGATTTTCTGGATCTCAGGAAAAATCATGGAAAGGTATGATCAAAGAGTAGCAGATCTTTTCCGTATCATCTTATTATTGTTGGATGAAGTATAATTCACCTCATTCATGTTCTCATCTGAATGAAATGTAATGTCTACAATATGATCTCGTAGGAGGAGAACCGTGCAAGGGATCTGTTCTATGCACTTTGGGTGCCAGATCTCTTTATGCAAAGAGTCCAATCAGATGGGACATGGTCTTTGTTTTGTCCTAGTGAAGCACCTGGTTTGGCTGACTGTTGGGGTGAAGAGTTTGAGCGGTTGTACACCAAGTATGAAAGAGATGTAAGTTCACTTTGCTTTATGCTTGTTGCCCTTCTTATTCCAAAACTTCTGTTATCTTGTGAAATATGTGCGAGATTCTGATTTTAATAACCCCTGTTACTTCCGCAGGGAAAGGCCAAGAAGGTTGTTCAAGCACAGAGCTTGTGGTTTGAAATACTAAAATCTCAGATTGAAACTGGAACCCCTTACATGCTCTTTAAGGTAAGCACTTTGAATATTTGAGATATGTTTGAATGTTCTGTTTCTGTTTATTCATTTAAAGTGAATGGTCTGTTATATGTACAGGATACTTGCAACAGAAAGAGCAACCAGCAGAATCTGGGGACAATAAAATCATCCAATTTGTGCACTGAGATCATAGAGTATACAAGTCCAACTGAAACTGCTGTGTGCAATTTGGCATCAATTGCACTTCCACGCTTCGTGAGAGAAAAGGTATGCTGCTTTCCCCTTTCCTGATGTGGATCATATGACTCATCCCTTATGTGACATTCTTTGTTCTTACAACATTTGCCAATTGTCTCAGGGAGTACCAATGGAATCACATCCATCTAAGATTGTGGGAAGCAGAGGCTCCATGAGCAGATATTTTGATTTTGAAAAATTAGCTGAGGTATGTGATTTTGTTATGTCATACTTAATTGACCAAATCTCTCCCGAGTTCATTGTATTCATGCTTCCAATTCTTCATATCCTCTATTACAGGTTACGCAAGTTGTGACTTACAATCTCAACAAAATAATTGATGTGAACTACTACCCTGTTGAGACTGCAAGGAGGTCAAATATGAGGCATAGGCCCATTGGAATTGGAGTTCAAGGCCTTGCAGATACCTTCATTTTGTTAGGCATGTCATTCGATTCCCCAGAGGTAACTGTGTTAACACCTGCAATAGGTTTCCAGTTCTTTTGCTTATCCATTTTCAGTTTAAGCCTAGTCTTGAACTCAAACTCGGATGACCTTAGTTGTCTAAATATTTCACTGGGGTGTGCATTTCAGGCTCAACAGCTGAACAAGGATATTTTTGAAACAATCTATTACCATTCCCTGAAAGCTTCAAGTGAGATTGCCTCAGTAGAAGGTCCTTATGAGACATATCCTGGATGTCCTGTCAGTAAGGTATGCTAAAACACTTGTCGAGAATTTTGACCATAGCTGTGCACTGTCAGATATGATATCATTTGAGAGTTTTCTGGGGTTTATGACCATTTACATTTTTGAAATTTTGCAGGGAACTTTGCAACCGGACATGTGGGGTGTTACTCCGTCAGCTCTATGGAACTGGGACATTCTAAGGGATATGATATCAAAGAACGGAGTCAGGAATTCACTTCTTGTAGCACCAATGCCTACTGCCTCAACCAGCCAGATTCTTGGAAACAATGAATGCTTTGAACCCTATACTTCCAACATCTACAGTCGCAGGGTTCTGAGGTACTGCCATAGAAACTCTACAACTCATCTATTTTCAGTCAATTCATCTTAATCTCGCAATCTAACCAACTTTGCTCTTTTTTCCAGTGGTGAATTTGTTGTAGTCAACAAGCATCTTCTCCATGACCTGACCGAGATGGGTCTCTGGAATCCAGCCCTCAAGAACAAAATAATCTATGAAAATGGTTCCGTCCAGAATCTGCCCGAAATCCCTCATGACCTCAAGCTTATATATAAGTATGTGCAGATTTCAATTTCCACCTGCCAATTCCTTTCATTCTCGCTCTCGTACCTTTGCTCATGCGATTGCCATGGTAATATCAGGACTGTCTGGGAGATCAAGCAGAGGACGCTCGTCGACATGGCAGTTGATCGTGGTTGCTACATCGATCAGAGCCAAAGCCTTAACATCCACATGGACCAACCCAATTTCGGGAAGCTCACTTCCTTGCATTTCCATACTTGGACCAAGGTATGCACCTTGAGACAGCAACCACTTCATACATACACAAATTTTGATATCTCCACCACGAAACTTGATATTTTCGCATTCTCAGGGTCTCAAGACAGGAATGTACTATCTGAGATCACGTGCAGCAGCTGATGCCATCAAGTTCACTGTCGACACTACCGATCTCAAGGTTCATAAAAATCCCTGCTGATGGTTATCACTTCACAAACTATCCACCTTTCTTTCTTTTTATCTCCATTGTTGCTAATGGTCTTGTACACAGGACAAGAAGCTGAAAGTGGAGGAGGTTGAAGACGATGGCACCAAGCTGGCGCAGATGGTTTGCTCTTTGAACAACCGTGACGAGTGCCTAGCCTGCGGGAGTTGAATGAATAAACAAAGGCGAGTGAAGTTTGTACTATATCTTTGACACCATATCTTTCTGAAAGAATGTTGGTTATGGTTCTAATGGTTTATTATTCCGAGTTATATAGTTTATTTACAGTAAGAGTAGTAGATGACTTTGGGGAAGTCTTTCTGTATATAGTTTAATGTATCACCATGAGAGTTCTTTCTTAATGCGATTCAAGCTCGATGCGTCTTAAGTCTTAACTCATTTTTCGGTGTGATTGTATGTTCTTCATTAATTTTTAGTACAAATATTACTCATAATCACATTCCAATGCCAAAGTTCAATTGAGTTTGTTTATCTCTTTATTAGTTGTTCTTTGAACAAAATTAACCGTTAATATTAGAGGTGGTTGTCTATGTGCTCTATAAATTACATTTTCATACCTGCGGTTTAATTTTTTTTTCTTTTGACATAAAAACCCTGCGGTTAAATATTGGAAGTTACTCCAGTAAAAGCCCTATAGTTACTCCCACAAAAGAAAAAGAACCCTGTACAAGTCTCGCTTGCACTCCCGGCGGCCGCCGCCGCTTCAAGGCCAACGCCGGCGTCAATCTCTTCCAGAACAACGTCTCTGCTCTCCGACAAGTCAGTCCAAATTTCCGTCCTCGCCGCTCTTTTCAACTCGATCGGTTTCAACGACTCGCTGCAAGTCACTCCCTAGTCTCTTCGCGGGGGATTCAAAATTGGATTCTCCGCTGCTTCAATAAAAGATAAAATCTCCGGCCACCTGTGAAAGAGCGAGCTCGTTGCCCCATCTCCAAACCGCTGCTCTGGTGGAGTTGTATTAACCTCTCAGATGGCGTCCGGCCGCCCTTATTCTAGGAATCCTTCCCGTGGTCGTGGCCGTGGCGGTCCTCGTGAGTTTCATCAGGGAGAACCCTACATCCTGTTCCCTGTAAGTCTACGTTCGTTTCTTCTGCTTTCACTTCTGTCCAATTCTGGCTATCTTGGGCGATTTCCGAGTTTATATAGGCAAAAGGGTAAAGTAAAGATAACATTATTGAGTAGAAAGATCACTCCATATAAACATGCATGGCGAATGAATAGTTAGTGCTGAAGAAGCAAAATTTGCTAGTCTCCGTAGCCTACATATTGCTTGAACTCTCAACTCATGACTGTTACCTTTGTGCATTCATTCTGTGTTTCCAATGAATGGTTTTAGAGCTTCCCATGTCTGTCGCCTGCTTTCGTTTCTGGTACTCACCCTTGATGGGGAAACTGCTGCAGGAAGTGAAATTGCCTGATCCCAAGAACGTGAAGGAGGAGAAGAACCTGGTTGTTGTGAATGCCAAGTTCCAAGCTTTCTGGAAAGCTTCCTGTTACTACCTAGAAGAAGCTACGGATGCTGGTCCAAAGAGTGAGTCTGGAGCTTCACCCCTAATCTATATGTATATATGTTTCTGCAGTAGCTGTATGTTTTCTTGAGTTTTTCTCTTCTTCGCCTTCCTTGGTGGTGTCGTGTTTAGAGAGTTGGAGCATGGAAGTAGAGAGATTCGCTGACAGGGGGAAGCCGAAGGTCACATCGAAGCGTAGTTCGCTCGATGAGTTTCTGCAGTTTGGATCTTATTATTTCCCCAAGGAATTGGTTGGAGGTTGGTTTTTGCAGTCTTAACCACAAACTTACGTGATAGTTGGTTGCTTTTTCCTTAATGAACTGCTTTTTGACACTCATCAGTGTATGTGGGATGCGAGTTTTAGGAAAGAAGGTTGTGAGGAGATCGAAGAAAGCGCGATGGGACCAGGGTAATGACGATGCTTCTGCGATCTGCCCTTTTTCTTGTTTTCCTACATCATGTGCACAATCTTGTTATCTTAGGTTCAGGAAGTTTTCCAACATATGATGTGATGAGATTCCTTTGGTGCTGTTTGCATTACACAACATGATGATTCATTGCTTTTGCAATGGTCTCAGCTTGTTTCTACTTCACTTGTGCTTCTCTTTGATCAACCTTCTGATGAATGTCTAATGGTAAACTGATCTAACCTGATTGTCTGACATGTCAGCTATGGATGCCCTTGAAACTCTCGAGGACAAAGAGGCGAAAAAGAAAGCCGTGGTATGTGATTATCTGGCCTCGGATACAGTTTTCATCTTCTCATAGCTTGTATGCTTGCTACTGATGACTATGAATGCTGCTCTACTGATGCCTTGATGGTCTCCTCCATCTAGGGTGGCCAGGAGAAAGAAGGTGAAGAAGAGGAAGAGGAAGAAGAAGTGGAAACATTCGAGGAGGAAGATTTCAGCGACGATGACTATAATCAGGTTAACATAACAACTCATCATGCATTCTATGCCTTTTGATTTGGTTGATGAACTCTGCAACTTTTAGAACAGAGCTTTTGTGTGGACTCTGACCAGTCTCCACAATATTGCAGAATGAGTACTTCGACGACGACGAAGATGATTTCAACGTCGATGCTGGCGATGATGGTATGGAGTTTCTTGTCTCTTCTCTTTCAACACCCACTCCCTCGCTTAAAATCTTGCTCTTCTGTCGTATGATTCTAACCAGTACTATATTTTGTTATCTTCTCTTGCAGAGGGCCCTTTATACTGAAGGTTACAACGACAGCACGATCTTCTCGAGACGTTCCTCCACTCGTATTCCGTTCGTTCTACCATTGAATATAGCTCGAAGAACAATCATAATCGTATTTTTTTACTGGAGTCGGGATCATGTTAGTATTTGTGAGAGATTGAATAGAGAGCAATTCAATGTCATGTACAAATTATCGTTCAATATGGTTTAAACAACGTGTTGGTTTCAATGAAATATTATCAGCCATCATTCGCGTAACAAAACACCGTTTCTCATTCAACTATCACTAAAAACGCAATAACCCAAAAAACGGTAAAAAAAAGGAAGAAGTAAACTACTAAAATGAACTAACTGCCTCCGTCCTCTCTGTGACGTGTAACCCTAAATTTGTTCCTCTTCGCGGCTGCCCTCTCAGTCTCTTCACTCTCTCCATATTCTGTTGTCGGCGTGTACTTTTGAGGGGCCTTCAGGCCGCCGCCGGTTATTGCAGCACGACCGCCTCTTTCAGTCGTGCCGCTTCTCTCATTCTTAATCTCGCCGTTACACAGCCGCCGTTATCTCCGTGCCGCCTCCATCCGTCACAACCCTCTTGGTAAGCTAAAGTCTCCCCACTCCTTCGTCGATTTTTTGATAGATTTCGGGGGATGTGTAGAGCCGATTCCGGCCGTTTAGGAGTTGATTTGCCATTGGGTTCCTTGGTTTCCAGAGGCCCTGCAACTTCTTCTGAAACAGGGGGGAGCTGAAAGGGGAGGAGTGAGAATAGGGGAGCGATGGAGCTTGCATTCGTAAATCCTTCCTCCGCTACATTATTCGCCGCTAACAAAGCTTTCCCAAGCTTGTTTAAGCATAGTTCCATCAAGGTTCTCAGTGTCCGCTGCTCCTCTAGCTCAACCGCTGGAGCAGCCGCAGGTGGTAAATTTCTCTCTCTGTAATTTCATTGGTTTTCCAAGTTGCGTTTTTGCTCCTTGAAGGGTTTTTATTGAAGGTATTGTTGCTAAAGACTTCATTTTTAATGGTAAAATTGTTTAGGTCTTTTGGAAAGGCCTTGGAAGACTTCAGATGCTAGGCTTGTGCTTGAAGATGGTTCAGTGTGGAAGGCCAAGTCCTTTGGTGCCACTGGAACCCAAGTTGGGGAAGTCGTATTCAACACCTCCTTGACAGGGTAAATACTCGAGACCCGAGTCCTCGTTCTTTGATCTTATTTAATTCCTTTGATTCATTGGTTTTATGCGTCGTATCAGTGGGGTGGGGAAATTTTGGTGAACTTGATCTGATTAAAGGAAGGGTTGATATAACACTTCACTTGTGGCGTGGTTCTTCAAGTAGTAAGAGCGTGTAGTCACCACGAAATCAGCTACTTACTGTGAGCTGAGATTGACATTTGATACTATTAGTCTTTTCATCGATTGGATATGCAAAGCTATCTGACGTGACTTTGCTTTTGTGACCTGTATGTTTGAGGGACGATGTGTGTAATTATCTTCATCTTCTACAATTAATTGGCATCTGCAATTGCTTTTGTTGTATGATGTATTGATTCTCTGTTGTTCATTCTGTATAGGTATCAGGAAATCCTCACAGACCCTAGTTATGCCGGTCAATTTGTGCTGATGACGAACCCACATATTGGCAACACTGGTGTAAACCTTGGTATGTGAACCTTCAACGAAGTTATGTTTATAATATCAGGAGGCATGGCTGCATCATTAACTTAAAATGATTTATTCGTAACTATTGGTCAAAAACACGGATTGATTTAAGTAAATTAAAATGATTTATTGAGTTAAGTTTACTGGAATAGTTGTTACTTAAAAAAATTAAAAAGCTTTGTGCTGAAGCCTGAAAGAAGTGTTTTGAATGTTCAAATCATTTGAAAGATGATCCTACCTGGTGAATTGGCAAACTGAACTCATATTAAACTTTCTGTTCTGTTGGTATATATATATATTCATTGCTTGCAAATTTGTGAACTGTACACCCTCAGTTCGACATGAATTTTTTGTTGTTGTTATCAGATGATGAAGAATCAATGCAATGTTTCCTTGCTGGCTTGGTAATCAGGAGCTTAAGCATAAGGTACCCTTTATTTCGTCTGAGCTACCTGCTTTGTCTGCTGGCTTATGGTTCTTGCTTACATTATAAGACTTAATTCTTTCGCAGCACCTCAAACTGGAGATGCACCAAAACTCTCGAGGATTATTTAACAGAGAGGAACATCATGGGAATATGTAAGCTCTAACCATTGTCATTTTGCTAAAATTCGATCAAATTAAGTTGCTTGTTTTTTATATTTTAATATAATCTATCTATATGTGCCTTTTGGTATAACAGATGATGTGGACACTCGTGCAATTACTCGGAGATTGAGGCAGGATGGAAGTCTTATTGGCGTGCTCAGCACAGAAGAAGTGAAGAGTGATGAAGAACTGCTTGAGATGTCCCGCTCATGGGATATCGTAGGTAATGACTCGCCCTCTAGCCCTCTATTAATGATCTCAGATACTTGAGAAAAAGTATCGCTTAATTGTTTCCGCCATGTTTTGGCAGGTGTTGATCTAATAAGTGGTGTCTCGTGCACTGAGCCTTATGAATGGGTTGATAGAACAAAGCCAGATTGGGATTTTAATAATGAAGGAAGAGGAGAGGTCTTCCATGTAAGTGGTACTCCATGGGTTTATGTTCATATTTGCTTATGATAATCTTGTATGCTCTTTTGACGGTTAGGTTTTCCATGAATTCAAGGTTGTTGCTTATGATTTCGGGATCAAGCATAACATACTGAGACGCTTGGCATCATATGGCTGCAAAATCACTGTAGTCCCTTCAAACTGGCCAGCTTCAGAAGCTCTAAAGATGAACCCAGATGGAGTTTTTTTCAGCAATGGCCCAGGAGACCCATCTGCAGTTCCTTATGCAGTTGAAACAGTCAAGAACATTGTGGGTAAAGCTCCAGTTTTCGGAATTTGCATGGGTCACCAGTTGCTTGGACAGGCACTGGGTGGCAAGACCTTCAAAATGAAGTTTGGCCACCATGGAGGAAATCATCCGGTTAGGAATATTCGAGCTAACCGCGTTGAGATTAGTGCTCAGGTTAGCGCTGCTTATCAAACCATTATTCAATCATCATCTTCAGTTTTCACGGAAACAAATTGGCTTTCAGTTTTGATCTTCCACTGTCTTCTCTATTCGGTTGATATATTACGACCTGAACTCTTCTCAACTTCTATTCCATGACAGAATCATAACTATGCTGTCGACCCTACATCACTCCCACCAGGCGTAGAAGTGACTCATCTCAATCTTAACGATGGCAGTTGTGCTGGACTTGCTTTCCCTGCATTAAAAGTGATGTCTCTTCAGTATCATCCCGAGGCTTCTCCAGGCCCTCATGATTCCGATTCTGGTAACTGACTATTTCCTCCCCTTTCATTTCAGTCATAACTCATAAGCCTGTGTCCCCTTTGCTTTCCAATCCCTTCTACCGTTGCAGCAACTTCACCATTTCCTTTTTTCTTCATGAACCAGTCTTCGGAGAATTCATCGAGCTAATGAAGCAATCCAAACAACAAGCATGAGCTACATTCCCTCTGCACCAGTTACGCTGCATGCAAGTAGCGAGAACATAAATGGGGTTGCGCGTGCCAGTAGATCAGCTAGTTTGTCGATATATCAGTTACTCCGACAATATTCTCGTAGTTGAGCTTTCTTCTATCTGAATCTTTGTATGACATAACCCACAAAACGTCGGGCTGAGATCGGAGATAAATGTGGTTTTATCAGACATGATTGCTTGCCGTGTTGAAAAGAAAGTAGCTATTCTGTACTACGATTTACAACGAAGATCGAATCCAGATCATAGAAGATTTCTCGCGATTCAGATATCATTGTCGTCGTAAAGAACCTAGGAAAGGAAGAAATCAACCGTATCCTGTGCCTTGAAACAGTTGCCAACATGATCGAGTACGAATTTACCTTAGTTTCGACGAATGATCCCCTCGAGTTTACTTGCTGTCATTTTCAGATTACAGTTCAGAACAAGTCATTACTAATAACGCCAATGAACACGAGTTTGTGTTATGCTTACAATTGATGCGATGAAAGGTCGGCGGTCTTGGTGGGGTTATGATCTCTCTGTCGCTAGACATTAACTTCTGGTTGGTAGGAAGTTTGGAACCGGCCTTAGGAAAAAAAAGAAACAGAACCCATTACCCAATAATAGTTCAAGAAAAAGGACATGTCACAATCCTGAGAATCAAAACAGAGGAATTTTTCCAAGAACCAAAACCGAAAAATTCTTATTGGTATCGATTGATGTTGATTGTGGAAAAGAGTGAATTCCCCTTCTCTTGATACACAAATCACAAATTCAAAACCTGAAAATGACCCCCCATAATTTAAGAATAGTACTAGAAGGAGTTCTTTGTTCCGTTTACTAGTAGTAATTGGTTTCGTGGATTGAAATAGTTCTTCTTGTATTAGATTTTATCTATCCTCGTCATACGACAGGTTCCAGTTACAACGAATCTTAATTCAATTCGCGTCAATGACTCTAGTGAGTGAATATGTTGAGTGACTTGGTATATAACCCATTATAAAGTTGTAATATATGTACATTATTATAACTAGGCATGGTTATGTACCCGAGTTTATACCTATTATCGCTGCTGAATCAAGGTAGGGTTAGGGTTCTTACTTAGTCGTCGTCGTCTTCTTCTTCCTTGAGACCTATGTAGATATGCAAAATGATAAGATAAAAGACACTTAATACACATCTTTGCGACTTAAATCACTTGTTAGTGGGCAAAACCAAACACATCGATCGAAGTCGTGTTTAGTTCATAATATATGTAAATATATATATGATAACATACCATTTTATGATATCGTAGAAAAAAAATGGGAGCTTGAAGTTTGTAAAGACTCATATACTTTGTTATTAGGTCAAGGGAGGTTACAACCAGACATCGAAGAAAATCTATGTTCTGTTCATAATTCAAGTGTAAGTAAAAACAAGTTTTTAAGGTATCGATGTAGCATTATATGAATCTTAGTAATTACTAACATAAGTGGAAGCATTAGTTGAGATCATTTTTTCCAAAGTCAATCAAGATTCAAGAACTAATTACACAAGTTTGAAAGAAAACAATCAATGTCAAAGTGGATTTGAAAGAAAGAAAAGAGAAAACCTAAGACCAAGTCCAAAAGCAAAGGGGAGGGTTTTTTTTCCTGCCGGTTGGTACTCGTCGGTGTTGAGTTTGGACTTTGAATACTCGGACTAGCTCCTTGCATTATGATTCTAGCTTAGCATGATGCCAATTTTGATCTGACTAGTTCGTGTTTAACTTGCGTCTCGATTCGTTATTGTGCGATATATGGTTAATCTCTTTAGCAATAATTGAGTCTTCCGTCTATACCTCAATCTAGCTCCACGACTGTTGACATGTTTTTATTAGGGTTCTTCTCTCAAAATATATTTTACTCCTATTTCGACGCATCTATGAAATGATATTAGCCACAATCAGGTTGGTACGTACATTCATCTTTTCAAGTCCTAAAAAAACTTGGACTTGCTAGTAATATTTATGCTCAGTTCTCATCCATGCATAATGCGAAATGTCCGAGTGCGACGAAATTCAGCATACGAGCGATATATTTGTGGTGTAGTAGTAGATGATTATAGACTTCAAGTTCGAATTTCAATATGCAATACATGAATATCATTATCTTCAAATTAGTATCTAGCCAACTTTTGAATTTCCTTAGCTTCCAATTTTCATAGCAAGGTGGAAGTGGGACTTTTTTCAGTCATACAGTTTTCTTCATTAGGGTGCCATGATGGAACTCATGAATTAATTCATTAGAAGAACATTCGCAATGTTTTTCAAACTTGGAGAGCTCCTTAGGGCCAAGGTTACATGTACTATTTTTGCACATCTTTGAATAGTACAATTTTTTTTATTTGTTAAAGTTATTAGCTATAGATGATGATAATAATAATAATAATAATAACAACAACAACAAAAAGAAAGGTGCAATTAAAAGTCAAATATTCAAAAGAAGACGTTGTAGTTGATTGATTGATATATATTTAAGACGACCATGCATGTGTATATGTGAAGGATCTACAAATTATACATGGAGTACCCGTTTCAATATCGAATGAATTGATTATCACGATGTAATGATAAATGAGACGAATTCATCCGACTAACGGGTCGGGTTAAAAGCTATCATATATATTAGGATTAAACACCATATACACGAGATCTCGATTATCAAATTAAAGACTTCAATACCATGTGAAGAACCATTTAGTCACACTAACTCAAGTTGTTGGTAGATGATCAATTATGAATCATATATCACTCACTAACACACCCCACAAACGAAAGCCTATTCATATGGACTTGAAGTATGCACATATCTGAATACCATGTGTTTAACAAATGCACGTGGGCTATATATCGAGATTCGAACATAATAATTCTTGATGGTCACAAAAGGCTTCGATACCGTGTCAAGAGAACCGGTTGATCCCAACAATTCGAGTTGTTGGGAGAGGTTCAATTATTGATCTTATACGTGTACCATTTACTAACACATCCCTTCAAACAAAACACAAGACAACAACTCAAACGAGTTTGGAGTTTGCACGTACATATAGCCGAATACCATAACACATGCGCTTAACAAATGTGGGTCTTCAAGATTTGAACACCATAACATCTCAATCAACGAATGCTCCGGTATCATGTCAAGAACCAACTGGTCCGACCCACTAACTCGAGTTATCGAATCAACCTCGAATCTTGTACAACTTCATAGTAATGTTTGCAAATACTTTTCTCTCCATATGTTCATTCCATTTTTCAATCATGCCGTTTTAAGCGCAGGAGCTATATATGGACTTTTGACTTTTGACGTTTCCCCTGCAGTTTTTTTTTTTATACATTTCTTCGACACATGCATGTTAGTTGCCAACGAATTTCGTCGTGGTAGACGTCAGGATTTGTATGTCACAGTGCCCTGCTAAGAAATGCAACGTAGTCAAACATCAATTCTTTGTTCATAACAAAAAAAAAAGAGACTAAAATAGTAAGGAACGATGGACTTTCGAAGCACAATCACGTATGTTTTAACATTATAATCCAGTTTAATACACTTCAAGATTCAACAAATAGATGGTTGATTTAGAATATTATACACGAATAAGATCATCATTACAAATAACAATTCAAACAACGACAACATATATACCGTTGAGTCTTGCTAAGAAAATGGGCGATATACATATATCGTTGATCAATGACTAGCTTTGGAAGTCAAAATTGGATGTAAAATATATTATCACCCAATTACTAAAAAAAACTTTAACGTAATTATGCAAACGTGCACGTGCATTTTGGCCCGAAATAATCCAACTTATAATTTAATAATGATATTTATAGAAAATTAAATCATTCATCTAACTTCTTGGTCGCTAGAGCTTATATTGTCCCTGACATTACATGATTTGTTGACCAATCCCACCAACCAAAAGTCTCTTTGACCATTTAGTTTAATTATTTGAAGTAATGAAGTTTAATATTACAGATAATTCAAAAGTAAAACGATTTGATTTGCTTGGCAAGCTAGCTTACATTTATACCAAGCATGCAATCCAAGAAATATGGATAATATTTATTGAATATTATAGAAGAAGACAAATGAAGATGGCCCTGTTTTTTTTTCTTCTTCTTCTTTCTTCTGTGTTGTAGCCTGTAGGTTGTAACTTCGTTGGTTTTCAGCGGCGCAATTTCTGCTGTATTTTAATTATTATTATTATTATTATAATATCAATACCCATCTACATTACAAAATTCAGGAGTTATCAAACCTATAAAATGTGTCTAGTCATTCCGGATATGAATCACACTATCTTATCAGATCATATCAGAGTTGTATGATTTGTACAAGAGATGATAAGATAATGAATTTTGTAGGTTTTTTAATTTTTTAATTTTATATCCTATCATTTCAATGAAAACTATAATATTAATTAGTACTTACGATAATATTAATTAGGATAAGGGGGTTTTTACATGCTTGGTTTTTTTTTTTTTTTTTGTCGTTGAATTTGCTAAACCTGTCGTCAAGGTGAACAAATCTAAACCGGGTTATTTATACTCAATCTAGTTTTTTCTCAAGAATGAATCACGTGCAAGATGAAGAACTGTAAAATCTACAAAACTTCAAATCGTACAATTTTTTCATAAGATTTCTATCAAGAATGGTACGATTGGTGAGTTGATAGGTTTTGTAGACTTTGTTTTTACACAATGATAGTAGTAGCCTTTGTAAGTCGATTTCTCTTCCTCCATTCCATTAGCCATGGTTGGACCACAATATGTATATTGGCTTAATTAGTTAGGAATTCATATGCATATATGAAGATAATAGGACTATATGAGTGGAGAAGATGGATAAGACTCAGTATGTGAACCAAAATAGGTAAACGCTATAGCTTGTTCGTTCTTGTTTTTTAGGGTTTTGTTCATGGAACTAAAGGTTGCCGACTGAAGAGGAATAGAAAGAGTCACGCGTTGACCTGGGAGGGTCAACTCTATCAGTAGGACATAATAATACACCCTCGATCGAAAATTTATCCTATAAACCATCAAGGAACCCAAAAAAAAAAATAATAATAATAATGTCGTTGATTAATTCACACATGCATTTACTCTATTAACCACATCATTCTTGTAATAACTTCTAAAAAGCATTAAGTTCGAATTGATCGGTACTATAAGTGTCATGTTCGATTTCTAGGATCGATGATTCAGTTCACATGTCATATATCTTCAGTGACATACTCGAATTTTTTTAATACGTGAGTTGGATTTAGTTCACATACGTAGTATAATACATACATCATTTACAATTATCGAAACTGCATGTGTCCGAGGTCTTGGATTTGATTTTTTTTTTTTTTTTGGTACCGACGAAATCTAAGTTTCTCACAAAAATTATCGGGCAGAGCCGACACATCTTTCCACTACTTGGATCGACTACTCGTATATCATTACATATATCATCGCATATTAATTCACCGAATCTCATTCACACCCGTTATGAATAAGCTGTGAGTATTTTATGCGTGCCTTTCTTTAATTTATCTTATTAGTTCTCTATAGTGAATAATTAGATGCCACTTTCATAATTCAAAACTACATATATTTTCCCCCTTCTTGGTGAAGCACTGACTGTAATTGATTGAAAACACTTAGAACAACCGACCTAATTAGACTAGATGTATAACCATATTAATACATGCATGCATGCCAATTTAGTTGTTTGTATTCATATGCATCTCGGTTTTCCCTTTGTGTCGTTCAATGCATTTTCCCTTTGTTTCGATCAGTCGGCAAATGGGGTTGCTCTGTTTTCATGTCAATCTTTCTGCCACCCTTTCCTTCCTCCTTTCGAATTGCATGGTAATGGAAAACCGTAGTGTTGAATCCATAATAGAGAAAACGTGACAAAATTGAAAAATAGACTATTTATATGTGGTAATAAAAAGTGACAAATGGGCAAGTTGGGTGGTCGCCAGGTGGCACGGCATGTGGGCCGACAACAACCCTCCTGTCGGCGGAAAGACCAATGAGGGAATGGCGTGGAATCATGGTCATGGCATTTATGGAAGAATTTCATGATGAAGATATGGATGAATTCCATGATGAAGTTTTCTTTCTTGAGTTAATCCAATGTTTAATTTTTCTGTTGAATTGGTAGGATGGGTTCTAGTCATGATGATTGTTTGTTTAGTTTGTGAACTTATCTGATTTGGGTGAACCGAGTTAACGACAACGAGAGAATGTTACGATTTATCTGATTGAAATTTTACGATTTTTTGTTTTGTTTTTGTTTTGTCGTGTGTAAAGATAAATTATGAAGATATGGAGTGTCTAAATGATCAAGACGGGGAATTAAAGTATGTTAGCGTTTTTTTTATATCAACATTTTTTATGGCACCAGAAGTGGCCACGCTCTCACGGTAATTCTCGATCCGAATATCATGTTTGAGACTTTAAGTATTGTTTAATTTAATTATAAATTATCGTTCTTTAGTTATAATTATTCGCTTTCAATGTTTCGAATTATGGTATGAAAAGAAAATAAGCGACGATGGAGAATCGTAATACGAATTTAGTAGGGTCTTAGTCATCATCATGATTATCAGATTGGATCTTAGCTTGTGATGCTTTTTTGAAACTCTTATCAAGTGGGTGGTAATGTCGTCACCAAAAAGTAAAACCATTGACAAGTGACGAGAGCCTAGTTCAGCAACTTGCTCACAGCTCAGATTAATCTCATAATCAATCAAGTTGCAACCCTCCTATGGCTATATGGCTTCCTCCTAAAAGATGAAAATGAAAAAGAACCCAAAACAAAAAGGAACTTGGTTTCCCAAGTTCACACCCAGTCCTACAAACCCATTTTGACCCACCATGAATGGTATAGAAAGAGACAGAGAAGGAGAGAGGGAAAATTCACAAGTCAGAATATTCTATTCCTTCACCAATAAACAACTCAAATTGATAGAATATATATATATAAATGGGTTAATATTTTCGTATGGCCTGAACTTTGACCAAAATAAACATCCTGGCCAATCTTTTCGATCTATAACATCCTGGCCCGAACTATACACCAAAATAAACAATTTGGCCAAACTCAATGTTTGACCGTTAACTTGGACGGTCAAACGCGTTGACTAACGGTCGACGAGCCACGTCACCGCCAAGTCAGCAAGTTTAAATTAAAAAAAATTCCACCTATTCCATTTATTTCCTTTCTCATTTTGAAGAAGAAAAAAAATGGAAAAAAAATGGAATAGGTGGAAATTTTTTTTTTAATTTAAATTTGTCGATTTGGCTGTGACGTGGCGCGTTGACCGTTAGTCAACGCGTTTGACCGTCCAATTTAACGGTCAAACATCGGGTTTGGCCAAATTGTTTATTTTGGTGTATAGTTCGGGCCAGGATGTTATAGATCGAAAAGATTGGCCAGGATGTTTATTTTGGTCAAAGTTCAGGCCATACGAAAATATTAACCCTATATAAATAGCCTCTGAAAGTAGCCAGGGGTTGAGTCTTCCTTATTTTAATAATCTTTCGCCGCTCCTTTGTTCGTTCTGGAATTCTTGCTGCTGAAGAATACCACCGAAGAAGCAAAAAAAAGAGAAGAAAAAACAGAGGCCGACTCAGATAGCTTGAACCGCCTCAGAATTCGTTCTACCCACGAAGGAACCGTAATCAAGTCGGCCGGAACCAAAGATTTAAAGGGTTTCCTTCCTTTCTTCCGTTCATTCATTCACTCCAACCAAAAAAAAAAAACAAGAAGCAAAGATCCCATTTTTATTTCCCCTGTTTCTTGCTTCCCCTGTTTTCCACCATCCCCTGTTTTTCCCTGGCTTGCATGGTTGTGGGTTCGTTGATATGCACCCTATACGTGATTATAGTAATAACGGAAGTAAGAGGAAGATGAAGCAAGAAGAAGAAGACGATGGTAACGGTGGCGGTGAGCTTATTGGTCCGCCATTAATGGCGGAGGAAGTGGTGAAGAATACTCCCAGGCACATGCTGATGTCGACGGAGAGCGAGATGGACGCGATGGTCTCTGCTTTGACCCACGTCGTGGCTTCCGGCGGTGGTGGAGGAAGTGATCAATTTCGCTACGAGAGTGACGGGTTCGGATTATTTGGAGCTCCCCCTGCTCCTTTCCTTCATCAACATAACCAATATCGTCACGTGGATTTTCTACTTTCTCAACAAGCTGCAGTGCACCCTTCGCCATCTCCATTAGCTGCACAAGGTAGACTACTGATTTCTCGAGCCCATCTAATATGTCTAAAAGTATTGGCGATTCCGGGTTCAAGTTGAATTCGTATCGTAACATTAAAAATACCGAGTTTGTATTGTAAATGAATTTGTACATAATGTATATATTTAAACTAAATTTGTTCTATAAACTTGAATATATAAGTTCAGATTGTACTCTAAAGAAACTTATACTTAAAGATATAGATACATATCGAATGTGAACTTCTTAAATTTACATGTTCATATTGTTTCATAAATTCAAATTTGTACGAAAATGTATACCGATGGGTATAGTATTTACTGATATTTCTCTACTCCAGGTGACACATTATTCAACATCGCTGCTCCTCCATCACTGCCGCCGCCGCTATCAGGAGCAGCGCCGATGACGACCAGCAGTACTACCACGGTGGTGTACGAACACACTCCGGCCCCGCCGTCGGGCCAGCATGGATCATCGGCAGCGGCAGAGGAAGGCAGCAGCGGGAGGAAGTACAGGGGAGTGAGGAGGCGGCCATGGGGGAAATGGGCGGCCGAAATTCGAGACCCGTTCAAGGCCGCCAGAGTGTGGCTGGGGACGTTCGACACGGCGGAGGCGGCGGCCAGAGCGTACGACGAGGCCGCATTGAGGTTCAGAGGCAGCAAGGCCAAGCTCAACTTCCCGGAGAACGTCAAGCTCCGGACCATCAACACAAGCAGTACCACGAGCAGCAGCAGCAGTCACAGCAGCGGCCTGACTACTGCTGCTGCTGTTCCTCATTATGCTCACCACCACAACAACAACAACAACAACCAGACAAGGTTCATGAACATGTTGAACATGAACCGCGGCGGCAATCGGCAGCCGCCGTCCAATGCTTCTCAGCTGGTGTTGGGAGTCGGAGGATACTACGATCATCATCATTATCAATCCTCATCGCAGCTGTCTGATCAGGCGTCGTCGACGTATCTCGACCAGCTGCCGATGCAGGCGTATTACCCTCTGCTGCCGGATTTCCAGCAGAGTTCGCCGTGGCCGGCGACACCGTCTTGTAATAGCGGTGGCGATTCTCCTTCAGGATAGTGTAGACTTCTGCTGCTTTCCTTTTTGCTTCCTTAGCTGACCCAGCTGGCCCGAGTTGGTTTTTGTTCCAGAGAGTAGAAAAGAAAATGTAAGATGAAAGTCGTTTCGATTCGATCATAAGAGCACTTGGAAAAGCCACGAGAACATATTGTAACAACTTCATACCACGGATGAAAACGTGCACCGTGCTCAATGTTGAAAGACAAACCGGGCACATAAGAGGATAGAAACTGAACTGAGTGCAAACTTGAAACGGACACAAGGAAGTTGTCCATGGTTTTCTCAAGTTCTTTCCGCTGAGCTAAGGTGTAAATATAATAACGAACGAGTCGAAAGCGTAATAATCAGAGTCGTGCCATTAGCCAGCTGAGTTCTAAAACTGCGTACTAAGGTGCGTGAATCCGGAAAAGTATACAAGTTTTGTCTGACTAATGTCTCACTAGCACATCCCCTGAAACACAAAAGGCAATCAAACTTCAGGAAGAAGGGGGGAACTGAGCAGGCCGCCATGCATGAATCAATCATCGTCCTGGTCAGGAAAGGAAGAACATTCTTCTGAGAGCGAGCTGCGGGCTTGGCCAAACTGCGAAAGCTAAAGGCGTCAAGTTGGGTTTCATCTCATCATAAAGCTAAAGAGTGAAATTAGCATAAAAGGAAAACAGGGTTGAGGATGTGTACCTGAAAATTCTCACCACGGGGGGTTGCTTAATGTTCTTGTCAGACTTTCAGGGCGGCTTTGTGAACCATGGTTTCTTTGTGGATTTGATGGCAGCTCTTCTCGACGAGATCGAGCAGCTTCTCCAAGTTCACGGCCCATGAGTTGAGGATGTCGTTGCTGTCTTTCGCTACTTGGAAGCTGATGACTCCCATCGGCCTGTCGATCTTGGCTATCAGTGCCTTGGACACCACCATCTCCGAAAGGTGCTTCTCCGTTTCCTGAAATTCAATCGGGCAGACCAAAAATGAAGGGAGGGTACAAGTGAAGATGTAATTCGCCGAAAGCAAAGTGTTCTACGACAAGTGAACTTAAATTATGCAAACAGTGGGCGGTAAAATGCACATGCAATGCAAACCAGTTTATTTTGCTAAGGAAATATAGCAAAGTTAATACAAATGCTTACTGGAATGCTGAGACACAACAACTCTGCCAATCTCTTGACGGTAATCCTCGAGTAATATTTAGAGACAACCAGGATATTCTGAAAGAAAAAAGGAATCACTCGTCATAAAAAAAAAACTTCATCATGAGATGCGAATTTATTCATTGGCATAAGGTTAGACGTGAGAAACTTACATGTTCAATTACTCTTTGCCTCAGATCTTCAGCTGCTTTATCCACTAAAGAACCTCCAAGCAAATTCTTCTCGCTGTCGAACTCTTCCTTGTAACTATCCCATAGGGACGTCCATTGAACAACCTCCATCGTGACCAGTTGTTTCAACAACGTCCTGTGAGAGAACATCCGTCATACATCAGTATTTTGTCAGCTGAATCGTCTAAGTTAGTTGAAAAGTGAACACTACATACTTAAACTGGGGAATTTCAGAGAGATTTTTGTCTTCCAGGGTGGAATTGAGAAGACTCGACTGCATCGGATCATGTGGTGCCAAAACTAGGTACCAGCAGATTTTCCTCAGGACCTGTATTACAGAACCAATCCATTAGAATAGTCTGGAAGAGGAGCACAAGAATCAAGTGAGCATAAAATGTGTAGCCAAACTGTTACCTGTGTCCACTGGGCTGGATCTTCCTTCACGGCAGGAATCTCATATATTGACTTGTAGCAGCGGCAGATCTCGAGGTACTCATTGTTATGGGAGTAATACCTAGAAAAAACCAGACAATACAAATGTCATCCCATGAAAATTAAAAAGCAAATATGATTTACTTTGAAGCAGTTCTAATCCTTAGATATAAACAAATGCATCAATCAGAAACTACGGATCAAGCCTCTAGCCAAGCAGGTTAAAGTAAATTTGCAGTATATTGTATGCTAAAGCAAAAGATTCAGATGGTTCAAAAGGGTATCTAAGGGGGGCCAAAGAAGAGGTGGGAATAACACATTATTCAGGCCGTGTTGAGACAAAAGCAACTTTTTACTATCGTTCCTTGACAATTCAGACAGGATTCATTGCAAAAGCAAGTCCAACCAGTTGCCACAACTAACTACAAGAGCAAATTATGAGCAGCCAAGGGAAACCACTTTGCACGATTCAAGAAAGTATGCAAACGTCACAGGTTCCAGAGAAGATATGAAACGGGGAGAAACTACTAACCTTATCATCAATTCATAGTAGATCCGCTTCAGCTCCAGCAGGGATGGAATATCAGCAGGAGCCTCTTCAACAACATTATCACCTTCCTTAGGCTTCTTCTTCGTCTTAGAAGTATCGACATCAAACACCCTTGTGCTGATTTTCCTCGACAGAATTTGAGCACGGATATAATCTTGCCTGTCTAAGCATAAACGAACCTGCAAAAGAATCAATTAGGGTAACAGTCCAAATATCATGAAGCATAAGATACTACCAAACAGGCATCTCGATAATATACAAGGCATTGATGAGCACTATTCATAAACTCTCCCTTGTAATTGTATTTTTTTTGTTAAATCCAGGATTCGACAAGAGTTATTCCATTAATGGGGCTGACGGATCAAAGTGGAAGCTGTAACGCAACACTTACTTGTTCAAGTATGAAGGCAATCTTTTCAGTCTTCGCCATAGCACCAAATGTTTCAACCTGGAAGATAATTGCGCCGAACAAGTGTCAGCAGAAAAAAAAATGAAAAAAGAAGTGGTCATTGGTACACAGAAGAACGGAGTATTATCCTATGTACACAAACTTACTGCAACTTCTTGCATCAGATCAGCAGCTTCGGCTATAAGGCCTTGTTCTTCCTTAATCTTGGCTAGTTTCTTTACCAAGCGTGCCCTCTCAATTTCAACATAAATCTGAAGCACAGCAGAGTTGTTAAACAAAGAGGAAAAGGAACCCTCAGCTCACAGTATATAAGATGGCACTCTCCTGTCATATAAAATCTCACCTTCCCAGCAGATACATTGTTCAGGGTCTTAATGAGTTCTATGCGGGTTTCAACATCTGGTGTCTGATCAATATATTGCATTGCTTGCTGCACCATTGCAGATACAGCCTGTAGGAAACATGAAAGCCTGATAAATACATGTCCTACCCAAAACCTTTGAGAACAATAGTAGGTATTACCAAAACTACGCTGGCACAGACAAAGAGCTCTTCCAAGAAAACATTAAGAAAACTTTCCTACATAGACTAATACAACTAGCATCCAAAATAAAACTTGTTCTGCCTGAAATAAAGAACCGAACTGGTTATTCCCCATCCAAATCCAAACCTGAAAACCCTAAGAGTCATAGGTTTGAACTTTCGTATACAGATGAACCATAAGCAGGGAAATACTCCGATCGCTAAACTGAAGAGCTAAGATCCCAGGTCACCTAACGAAGTAAGATCCCTCCTACTCCGTTCTTCCAGAACTAGACCTCGCTTCCAAGCAACAGTCCAAGTCATTCAGGAATTTACATGCTGATCCAAACATGTAAGAGTAATACACACCGCTATGCTCGTTGATACAAGAGCCATTGTTGCACAGAAAATCATCGCATGAACATATTCTATTAGCTTCTGTCATGACATCAACGAATCTACCAGCAAAACAATTAAGAACTAAAATGGCAACATTCATCTCACAAGAAGCCCCAAGTCAAAAGAAAACAGATGCCTAGTGTATGACCTGACGAGCTAACCACATCCAAACAAAGTAACAGTAACTATGCAAGGCCCCAATGGCAGCCAAGTCCCCTTCCAGCTGAAGCAATTGCGGAAATTTTGTGGCTCCTAGACCAACAAATTCAGCTAATACAAACACTAATTCTCTACTCCGCGCAAAAACACGAGCCTGAAGCTAAATTCCACTAAGTTCTCAATTTACCTGCTTGAGCTGACCGCGCTTCTTAGAGAGGATCAAAATCTGGTCGTTCAACGACTTCCAGTCCTTAGCCTGGAAGCAGAGCTCCAGAATTTCGGTGACTGCCTGCCTCGTGGCGGTAACCTCGCCGGCGAGCCTCGCCTGCTTCTCCGCATTCTGCAGCCGCTCTATGGCCGCCTCCAAATTCGCACTAGCGTCCTGCGATTCGCACAAAAAAAAAAGAGAGGAAGAGAATATCAAACGACGGAGAACGAGAACCGGCGCTCCAATCGAGAGAGAGGAACAAGCTATAGCTCTCAGATCTGTGAGAAGCGCGCCGAGTTCTCACCATTCTGAATCGGATGGAAGCTCCGATAGACTGTAGATTGACGATGAAAAGCAACCCTAGAACTGGAATGGAGCGAATCGGAGTGTTTTTTTGCTGGTTTTCTATGATTTTTTTGGTACAGATGGGAGTTTTTATTTTGTTTTAATTTTTAAACCCTCCCGCAAGAAACCTTCGTATGCTGAAACGGGCCCGTTTTGTGTGGACCAAAACATTGCCCACCTATTCTTCAAATAAGCCATTGGACAATGTGGAATTTGGTAGTTTAGTCCTTCCAAAGATCAACCTTCAAGAAGGATATAACTCATTACTCAATATCAAATCACATCCATTCTTAAACCAAGCACAAATCAACCAAGAAATCATGCTTATACATAGAGAGTTCCACTCGAAATCAGCTCTCGAAAAATTTATGAACGACACACTTTTTTTTACGGATATCTCACATGTACGAGACTGAAAAACAAGTTTAACGAAAATCATGCTTGAATTTCGACCTGGTTATAGATTATTCAGAAGGTAATTAAGTAGCATGATGGAGGATATAGGTCTTCTAGTAAGGTACAAAAGAGTCTTTGGGTGAATAAGGCTTAAAAATGGCTTGCATCAAGTAACTAGGTATCTCCTTAGTTTGGCCACAAAGGAAGCACATTTTGCTTGTGTGGTAGCAAACTAGATTATACATATGAAACAAACACTACAACCCATCCCAAATGGCTCATGAGTCATGAAGAGCTCTAGAATCTCAACATTCATATGTAAAGACATAACCAAAACAATTGTAGAACGTTTCCCTAGCTTTCCATTTGGAATAGTACATCACATCTACAAGGAGGCCCTAACAAACTAGGGTGTAAGGACCTGTTTCATGCGAAATCAAATATCCATCGCCGGGCGTGCCAGTTTGTTTCGGGCGATGTTGTTAATCTTGCGACACCACGTCAATTTTGTATTTAAGGACAAATTATTTGTATGTATAAACATGACCACAACTAGGGCTGGCAATTCGGTTATTTCGGTTATAACCGGTAACCGATTGGCCGGTTATCGGTTAACCGAAATAAACACCCCCTTACCGAAAACCGACCGAAATAGGCTTCGGTTTCTCGGTTACCTCGGTTATCGGTTAACCGAACCACTTTTAAGACCCAAAACCATTTTGGCCAGCTTCCGATAACCGGCCGAAATTCGGTTCTTCGATTATCGGTTAACCATTAACCGATAACCGAACTGACACCCCTAACCACAACGGAATTGGCAAACTACCGTGTAAAGTGAGTAATTTGGGTTTGACGATTTGGATTTGGTCTCATTCTTTTGGAGTTCATTGAACTTTATGATGAAAGTAAAAAGGGTGTCGGTCAAGGGAGGTAAATTTTCAAAGAAAGGAAACTACACCTTCATACTATTTCGTGTTAAGTAGTGAGGATTGCATTGTCTCTTTCGGTGTATTGTAAAAGAATGTCGTTGAATTTGTTAGAGGTTAGCTTGCTAATTAAGTACCACAATATTCATTCTTCTCATAATTGGTAATCGTTAACAACATATTAAAGTTTTCCTCTTCGATCTTCCACGAAAATTTTCCAATGTTATCGATGGAATACTCATTTCTAACCTATAACAACTAAGAAACTAATTACAAGTTATGATTTTCCGTCCATACATTCTCTATACGAATGTCTAGGCAACTGATATGAGCTCGCCTTTCTATCGAACCAAATCATAAATAGTACAAATTTGAACAAATCAACTCATCCTTCTCCTTCTTCAACAAGTGTTCAAGTCCACAAATAACTATTCAAGAATAAAATCCAAAAGAAGCAAACCGCCATCTTTGAAAACAAAAAAAGGTGCATAATGATCTCATCAAATTCCAACATTACCAATCATCTTTACTTGTCTAATCTAATCTCTCTCCAATATATCAAGCTGACCTGTTGGAGCCTTTTTCATTAACAGTCAATGCATTTGCTTTTAACCCTCGAAGATTACCAAATAATGACGAGGATAATTATAATTATTGTTGTCTCCATATCTCAAGGTTTGATTTTAATGTGTGATTTGTTACATTGAATTGACTACTAATAAGACATTTTCCTACTAAGTGCCCCACCTTAATTAACCTTTCCTCCCAACATACCATTCACATGTGGGTACCATTCATGTCCACTATGTTCCCTTTTTCTTGTAAGTCTGAAAAAGCACCAATATATGTTAAAGAATATACACTAATAAATTGAGGGAGAAAAAGCTTAATTATTCTCTTCTATTCCAACTAACTCTGCCTTTTGATTGGACCCTTTGAGTAACTATCTCCTTCTAGGTTTGGCTAGAAAAGTTGGAGCTTTGAAAGTTCCACACACTCTGCCTATATTACACATGTGGATGTGGGTATCCTTTCTGCATTTTCTGGTATCACGAAGTCACTTGACCGACAGGGAGAGGAACATGAAGAGAATTGGTGGTTAGTTCGGAAAGACATTTGGAAAATATATTCTTCGTTATATGATCATTCTCTCATATGAACACTTGTCGTTTATTTCTCGGAACAAAATGATTAACCCGAGAGTTTTGACTATTTGCCACACTTAGCTTGTAATTGACTACTTTAGAAGCACTTTTAGGACTTTTAAGAAAAACATGAAGACAAGAAAAAAGGAGCAAGACTTTTAATCTTGAGTGTGGTTTTTTTTATTGCTTTTATAGTTGACTTTTACATTTCCTTCCCCAATCTCCAAAATCTATCTACACTAATTAACTAGCTAAATAGTATCCAACCTGTGTATACTTATACTCCCATCTATAGCTATATATTTAGCTCTCTATAAATAGCTGTAATCTATTAGCTAGCTTTACCCCCACCAACAAATAATAAAAAAAATCAAAAAATTTTGCTTCCTGACGCCGGTCAGTTGTGAATTGGAGGCTTCTTCCTCGCCGGAGTATAGTCCATTCCGGCGAGTTCGTCGGGGTCCGGCAAATGGGTTTCTTTCGATGGAACCTCCAAATTATGCTCCTTCGTCTCTACCGCTACTACTTCATGCTTCTCTTCACTAACCACTTCTTTCAACCTCCTTCCTGATATAAACAAAAGCAAAAAACACAAGAACCTTCATTAGAAACACGATGGTATCAAGTATATATTCTCTTCATTCGTGCATATGAAAGAGAGCTACTATACGAAACTACTACGAGAGATCGAGTTGTAGATCGATCACTACCTCGAGCACAGGGAGAGATGAAGCAAAGCAAGAAGAAGGCCACCAGAAGGAGATGCTTGGTGAAGTGGTTCTTATGCATCTTTGACATTTGATGAGTATATGATGATGAACCGCTATGTGATTATTGGATTTGCTTTGGTAGTTTCTTGTGAGTTTTGTTTGGAAAAAAATGGAGCCACTAGCTTAAATAGAGAAGTGGTTGAAGAAGAATGAATGTACGGTAGGGATGGAGCAATAGCGATAGAGGGAGAGGTTGTGGAAAATGTGTTGCAATCCGATTTATGATTGTGACCTCTATTTTTTTTTTCTTCATCTAGTTAAGTATAAATTATAATTCTATGAAAAAAATTAGAGGCCAAGGCCAATTTTTGTAGGGTCTTGTGAAACCGTCATGGTCCATGTCTCACTAGTGTCTTTGCATGAAAGTGCAAAGCTAGCCCAAGACAAGAGATGTCCTCTCCAATCTCCAAATGGGTTCCATTTTGATTTTTGGAAAAAAAAAAAAACAAAGAGGATATATGACAATGCGATATGTGTATAGTACTCTATTGGCCTAGAAACAAATTTAGAGATTTGGAATCTTCTCCTCCGGATTTGGATTAGGCGACTGCGTTATGAATAGTAGATAAATCAGATTGGATTTCCAAAAGGACAACTAGAGATTTGAGCCCAAGCACTATGCATCCACCTCCGAAGTAGTGAAAGAGAATATGGAATGCCACCTCAAGATGGCAATTGCTTCATCACTTGCTCTTCCTCACGACTTATATAGGAGGAATCGACAGAGACAATGGATTCTAATTGGAATTCAAAACTGTCACATTAAATCAAAATATTCTCTTTTGTTGTAATATAGTCTTATTGATAATAGATTAATTTAACTTATAGATTACAATCATATAAAAAATACTTGTTTGAACTCTTGTTCAAAAAAGGTTAGAGGTGCAATCCATTGATATTAGTGATAAAATTTTAGGGTTAATTATACGATCGTGTTTAATGAGATTAAGATATGATTCAAACATTTAATTTATGGAGGGGGAAAAGCCGACATGGATTGATGTTAATATGTAATATCGATCATTTTCAGATAAGCTGATGAAATATTGTTTTTTGATAATACCAAATTAAGACGTTAATATGGTTCCAAAAGAAATTCACGTGATAGGCAGTATGCATGCATGGGGCCCTCTTTTTTCTTGACCCAAAAATCAAGCTCAATTAGCATTTAATATGACTAATATTTGCTAACTAATAATGCCTTAATGATTTTTTTTTTTTGTTTCCTAGTGAATGATTGATTAGCTAACTGGATTACCATACATGACAACTCCAAATCGATTGCAGACAGAAAGATTTTCCATGTCAAACAATTTTGATCTAACTCAGTTTAAGATAGCCATTGTCCGAATGACGTGCTATATTTTCGGGGAGGAAAAAAGAGAGGTTAAGTTCTCTCAGGATGTATCGTGAATTGTACGTGTTAACGTTTTAACTTTGGGAAAACTATTATTATAATTGGGTACGGATTGTATTATTTGAATAATTTGACCGAATTTGTCCATTATATTTCTCTTTTAGATTACATAATATCTCATACGTAGTCACCTCTTTCACGCATAAAATAAGTTTTTTCGGCCTTTTTTTGTTCTTTTACATCACATATTTGAATCAATTGATTTGGTCCAACTCTTACCTAACTATTGAGTATTAGAGTGGCATGATCGCTCTCTCGCTCCACCATGAATTTGCGTTATTGGTGCACAATTGCAAAATCATCTCTATATTGTTTCGATATCAAAGATATATCAATGTTAAATCTCTCATATATTGTGCAATTTAGAAATCTTGGAAATTGGAAGGCATGGCTGCATTCTTTCTTTTTCAAAGTTTTAAGGTAACCAGATAAGTACAAGGATAAGAAGCCAATATTTTGTCAAAAAAATTTTGTGGGCTAAAATACTTAGACATCCTTGTAAATTAAAGAGTATAAAAATAAAATTCAGATTATTAGTTTCCCCAAAAACAAGAACAAAAATGAAAGGGATTGTGCACAAAGTGACAAAATAAAATGGAATAGTCAATATCCCTAATCACATGGTTGTTTCCATCTCCAAATCTCATCATGTCCAAATTTGACTCTTGTGGCTTCACTTACTTGTCAACAAGAAATCAATTTATTGTTCACCTATATCAATATTCAATTCAATGTTCCTATTGTGAAGGGAAATATTTAATATTCCTTTGTAAAATTAGATATAATTTTGTGTTCCATGTTGGGTTTTTGATAGAGCAGACAGTATGGTTGGGCTTGGGCCCTCCCTTGTAACCCAGAAATCCAGCCATAATCGAACCTCATAAGATGTTATTGGCATAGGTCATGGGAATCTAACTACTAATGAGTTGATAATCAGTGAGAGTAATTTGACCCAAACAACGTGCTTCAATAGAGTTCAAGTAAAGAAAGAAAAAAAAAGTCCACTGAGTGAGTATTTCAATACCTATACTCGTTTTATTTTATCACAACTTGAATCTGATTCCTGTACTATTTCGTTATAAATGAAAGAATATAGGTGGTTTATAAAAATAAAAAAAATCTATACTCGTTTTGCATTAAGTGTGGGTGAGGACCCGTCCTGCGTGTATCAGTGAGGAGGGGGAGGGATTTTACCTATTCTTAACACTGATATTTAATTTTTTTTATAAGAACGCATGGAGAAAACACTTTATAAATTAATGATAAATATATTAGAATGAATATTTGAGTATAAATAGTTGGAAGATAGAGTCTTAAAATTTATCTGAGATGAAAATATGATTTTGGAAAGATCAAAAGAAGAAAACACATATATAGATATTGATACAAATCATGATAGGACGGGTTGAGAACAAGGAGGGATTGGACTGGGCAGGACAGGTCGGAAGTAATACTCATGCTAGCTCCACCTCATGCTACCACATGCTGGATATATAATACTCGGTCGAGGATTCAATAGAAATGATTATGCCAATGACCGGTATATACTCCTCAAAATTGACAATTTATTACGGAATGATGTGATCGAGGATTCAATAAATCGAGTCATAGTACATAACTATATGTATTTTACAAAACTTCTATAATGAATATTATATCATGCCAATAAATAGCCTCTTACTATGCATTTCCACTATCAATCGAATCAAGTTAGCAATAAACATGATCTTAGGGTCATAGACTACTATGGTTAGCTAGCTAGTTGACAAAAATGTCTTATCTTATCTCATACAGGATCCAACGAAATAAATTGTAATAATGTACAACACTTGATCATTACATATTGTGCGCGTTAAATAGGATTTAATTAGTGAAATAAACCTCCAGTTTTTCGTCTTCCGCAGAAACGACACGTATGTTTCGCAAACTTGTTTCTCATCACTTTGGTACGTAGTACTAAATGTGAAGCGACGGCCGGCGGCGATGGTGATGGCTTTCAGCAATTATGGGGATGTAACATGCCGTACGTCGCCGGTGGCCGCGCTGAGAAGAACCCGCCAAATGTCGATGTTACGTTGGACCAGACCAGCACATTCGTTGGCTTAATTGTAGTGATATATAATCCATGGGACATCGTTAATCTGGTCGACATATACGAATTCACACCAAAAATCACATGCCAATGAAGTGTACACACAATAATAGTGATTGTCATGTTAGTAAATGGTATGAAATTCACAATTGAATCATCTTCCAACCGTTTGAATTATAGGGACAAACTGGTTTTTGACACGGTATCATATGTAGCATTCTATAAGTGAGAGGTCTTTTGCTCGAATCCTGACGACCCCATTTATACTAAACACATAATAATATTCGTTACATGAGACGCGTCGGGTAAATGATATAAGATCCGAATCCTTAATAATATTTGACCAACTCCTTATCCCTCTGTATCTCTTCCATACACCTCTGGTGCATGTATATATATATATATATATATATATATATATATATATATATATATATATTTTGCAATATTAGTTCACCTTTATAAAACAAATGATAAACATGTGAAGAACCGCGGTTGGTCCCAATAACTCGAGTTGTTGGGGGATGTTCAATTGTGGATTATATACTGTTTACTAAGGTTATGTTGGATCTTATAAAGACCCATGTATGATGCTTAAACCACTTCCTTACTACTAACACACACCCTCAAACTCAAGCCCACTCAGATAGGTTTGGAGTTTGCATAGGCACAGGTCCGGACACCATGTGCTTTACAGGAACAGAAGTAGATGCGGGGGGGGGGGGGGGGGGGGGGGGGGGGAGGGGGGTCATCGCGTGATTCGAACAGGAGGCCGTTCGGCCACAAAAGGCTCTAATATCATTGTCAAGAATAAACTCGAGTTTGTCGGGAGATGTTCAATTCTGGATCCCTATACGGTTTACTAACAAACCAATTGTGTTAAAAGTGTGAACAAAATCATAACTCCCTGACAAGTTGGAGTACAGTTGGATTGTAACTTTTGAGAGAAATGATACAACTTAGATATCTTGTTGGGGTGGGCAGCTCGGCCCATGTCTAGGGTTGTGGAGTGTGGAAGGGAGAGTGTCTTTGGGTCATTTTCACAAAACCTTGATTGTTGTTGTTATCGTTGTATTTATTTGCAATTGGGAGCTAGGGACGGTTGGGAGGGAGAAGAGGAAGGTGCATGGTGTGATATGCCTCACATGGCTGTGTTTCCCATCTGCACTACTCGACGTTGACAAAGTCGGAGATCGATCGAGTTCGTTTGCATGGCGGCACCTGTTCACGATTTGCTTTCACATATAACCAAACCCCGGCCACCGGCCGGTCGCCGGTCCTCTCAATGATCAAAATCAAATCCCCAGATCGTGAAGTTCCAAACGTAGGATCTTTGTTAGAAACCCACTTTAATTTTATGGGATTTTCCTACTATTTATGGTAGGATATATAATTATTGTTAAAGTTACTACTATTTGAGTAGTACGTATTAAGTTATTATTAGGGTTTTCAATATATTTTCCTATAAATATGTATACGTTGGTAATTATTGTTAAAGTTACTACTATTTGAGTAGTACGCGTATTAGGTTATTATTTGGGGGTTTCAATATATTTTCCTATAAATATGTACACGTTGGATTTCATTATCAGAGAATCAAGAAGAACATTAATAAAATTATCCCAATCCTAATCTCTCCAAAATCCTCTCAAAATCTCTGTCTTCTCTTCCTCAAAGGCTTTAATTAGCACTTCCTAACCTCCACAAATCTCCTATCTAAATCTCCAAAATTCTATTATCCATCCCTAAATCTCTATCATTATATATAATCGCAGGTGCCCAACATCAGTCTCTAAAAGCCATAGAAAGAGGATTTCTAACAATTTTGTTTCTTGTTTGTCTTTCTTCTCTCTGTATTTTCCTTATCTTGACTTGGAGAGATGGATCTCTTGTGGTGACATTAATTCTCGATGACATGTTAGGATGCAATTTGCAACTATGTAGCTTGACTAATTAGGTGTCGGGTCTCTGAAAGCCGAGCCATAACTTAATTAGCTTGGTGCTGAATCATTCATGTTCAATGATCATAACCGATTCGTGGTATATATTACTGTTTGATAATCATTCTTGTTTCGTGACTGATTGGCGATCGATCGCCACAGATCACATAATTGGTGATCGCATGGGATATAAACATTTATTAATTATATGCGGTAGCTGAACTGTGATGGTTCAGTCAAGTTTTCTCATGTAATTTTGGAGGATTCGATATGTCCAACTTGCTAAAGAAAACTGTCACTACACGCGCGTCATTCTCGGTCTTCTACAAGAAAAATTAATGTTCGAGAAATCATCATCAATTTGAGGGAGGTTATTTTAAGTCCAAGGGTTTATTGTATATTTACTTATAACCCTCGAGGATTAACAATGGATAGTTACACATAGTGAATCTTCTCAAAATTGATTCTCCAAAAAGCTTATCTATACATCACCTTTCCATGTATCTATGTCTAATTAAATAACTCTAATCAAACTTAATCTCAATCTATTACCTACAGGCTGATCAAAAGGTATATATATACCCACTAAAACGATTTCTACAAAAAAAAAAAAAAAAAAAAAAAAAAGAGTTCCTCCGGCCGGCGGCCAATCAGTTATGAGTAGGAGGCTTCTTGCTCGCCGGAGAATAGTCCATCCCGACGAGCTCGTCGGGATCCGGCAAATGGGTTTCTTTGGATGGGACCTCCAAATTGTCTAACTTGTTGCCGTGCTCCTTCGCTTCTACAGCTACTAGTACTTCTTCATGCTTCTCTTCACTAACGGCCACTTCTTTCAACCTCCTTCCTGCTATAACAAAGCACAAATCAATGAAAGCTTGATTAGCAAACCGTTGTTGTGTATAATGCATATATGAACTCTCTTCGTTCATAGAATAGAACTATGAAAGATTGAAATCGTGGATATATCGATCGTTACCTTGAGCACATGGAGAGATGAAGCAAAGGAAGAAGAAGGCCACGAGGAGGAGATGCTTGAAGGAGTGGTTTTTATGCATCTTTGAAAGGCTTCTTCTTCTTCTTCTTTAGTAGTTCTTTGTGGATTTTGTTCGGGGAAAAATGGAGCAACTAATTTATAGAGAATGGAAGAAGAAGAAGAATGTACGGTAGGGATGGAACGATAGAGATTGTGGAAAATGTAGTAGAACATGATTGTGAAATCGTCTTTGTCGATGTCCCACTAGTGTCTTTGCATGAAAGTGCTAGCTAGCCCTAGACAAGACAAGACCCCTCCAATCACCAAATGGGTTAAAAAAATGAATTGAAAAAAAGAAATGTGTGATTTATGAATGAAATATTTATGCTTATTTGAGCCAATTGTGCCAGATTGATCCGTTTGGTAGCAGAAAATTTGAACGAAGCAATTTGGGTTGGGGAATTATGAATTGACTCATTTTGAGTCAATTACAATTGTCTGGGGTGGGGTAGGTAATCTGAGTTGACTCATTTTGTAAAATGAAACAATTGGTCAAATTGTCTCGTTTTATAATTTATCCATCCAAACAACCCATGTATTGGACCATCATTGCTATTCGGTGTAACAAACCTCGGAAATGGAACACGTGGTGGCAGTTGGATGGTTTTCAAAGTCTTGTGTTTAATTCAGTTTGATAAGTACAAGGATAAGAGGCCAATAATTTGTCAAACCTATTGTAGCCTAAAATACTCAGAGGCGTATCCTTGTAAAAGTAGAATTGAATAGTTAAAACCCTAATCACATGGCTGTTTCCATCTCCAAATCTCAATCATGTCCCAATTTGTAGCAGACAGTATGGTTGGGCTTGGGCTTGGGCCCTCCATTGTAAACCAGAAACCCAGCCATGATCGAACCTCCTAATTAAGATGTTACTTATCGGCTTAATTAGGCGATGGTAAGCTTAACCGGTAATGAGTTGATCAATCATTAATTGTGTCTGATTTAATCCCAAACGTCATGCTTCAAGTGACATAATTATCACGAAAGAGGGGGGTTAATCACTATTGCCGCTGAAGGAGATCCGGCAATCACTATACTCCTCAAAATTTATAATTTCTTGGAGAATAATATGCATCATTAGATAATAAATGAAACATATGTGCACGTCGTGTGACATGTTAACGATGTCTCTCATACTCTGTAGATTTCTCCAAGGGTTATGTGAAGATAGCCGCTCTCACCTCGATCGGCCCTTTCACGCGTGTCAATCGAATCCAATTAGTAACAAAAAAAAAAAAAATCATCACACACAGCCACACAATCTCGTTAATCGGTTGCCATGGATATTGACTTACTCTACCTCATATTCGATCCAAACAGTCTAGGTTTTGACGTTCATCACTTGATCGAATACGATCTAAGCTAAATTCCTCAATCCCATCTACCTAGCTAGCTAGCTGCCTACGTGATAGCCGATTCGGGTAGGTTCATCATCTGGTCAATTTTTATTCTCAACTTTAGGTGAATCGACACGTCACGATAACGTCGACTCAACTAGAATAGCAGGTAGTTCAAGGCATCGAGTCTTGCACATCGAAACTCTCACAAGTGGTATTCTCTTAAGCGACGACGGACGACGTGAACGACATGACGTGGTTGTGTTGGGGGGTGGGGCAGCTCGGCCCATGGCTAGGCCCACTATGATGTTGGATTGTGTGGATCGAGGGAGGGGAGGAGGAGGGTGCATGGTGGCCATGCATGAAGGCCCAACTTCCAAAATGGGGACGACGACTGAGAGTGAGAGAGAAAGGGAAGAGGACGTTGCTCACATGGTCGTGTTTCCCATCTACACTACTCGACGTTGACAACGTCGGAGACTTTGCAAGCATGGCGGCATCTGTTCATGATTTGCTTTCATAATAATTAAACCCCCGGCCACCGGCCGGCTGCCGGCCCGATCTCAATCAAATACCATCTTGACATCTCAACAAAGGATCGGATTTTGTTTCTCTTTTGTCTTCTTCTCTCTGGTTCCCAAACATTTCCCTATCTCTTGGAGACATTTCTTGATGACGGTTAAGAAAGTGGTTGAACGATAATGCCACATGTTAGGATTAGGGCTGGCTATTTGGTCCGGACTGTTTGGTTTTACCCGAAACCGGACCTTATAACCCGAACTTGGACCGGATAACAAACAATCCAATCTCATATTCGGGCTTAGATTTGAGGTAAAAACCCGGATAAAGACTGGATAAGAGACCCCCAACACCTAAAATCAAGATCAAATTGGGACCGGACCGGATCAAGACCGGACTATATCCAATCCAATCTTTGGTCCTTATATTCCCGAAAAGACCGGACTGAGACCGGATCAATTTGGTCCAATTTAACCAGACTGGACCGTATAGCCACCCTAGTTAGGATACAATTAATTTACAGCTATATGTCTTGATTATGCGAACTTTGAGGTGGTTTAGTCAAATAAAGATGGGTATATAACTTGATGTTTATCATTATCACGGCGTGGTCGTTAAATCATTCGAGATATTAATATTTATTCGATAAAATTACTAGCTAGGGCTATATGAGAAAATATAATGAGAATATATACAATAGATATACATAAAACAAGATATACCGATTAAGGTTATGAATATATATATCATAAACGATATCAATTGCTACCTATATGAACTCGAACTCCCGAACTCATGATACCTTATCAGATCCGAAGCCAATACGGATTTTACTAGTTGTAATTGCACATTATGGAATATCATTATTTTAACTTTTACGATTTTATAGCTTAATAACAATATTATATTTTACATGAAATGTACAAGTTAATTACTGATCTAAGTCTAATACCTCTATTATAGGGGTGGCTATTTGGACCGGGACCGGATTAAAAACCGGAAACCGGACCGTATAACCCGGACCGAGACCGGACCGGGACCGGATAGTAAACAATCCAATCCAATCTTTGGGCTTAGATTTGTGGTAAAAAACCGGATAAAGACCGGATAAGAGAGCTCAACACCCAAAACTTAAGGGTAATTTGCATAAACGGTCACAAACCTTTGCACTTAGTACAAAACTTAACCAACTCATCACCCTTTAAGGCCTTAGGCCACTCAAATCCACAATCTCAATGTAAAATCAAGACCGAATTGGGACCGGACCGGATCAAAACCGGACCGGATCAAGACCGGACTGTATCCAATCCAATCTTCGGTCCTTATATTTTCAAAAAGACCGGACTGGACCGGATCAATTTGGGCCAATTTAACCGGACCGGACCGTATAGCCACCCCTACTCTATTAGATAACTTATAAAAGACCAGTTGGAAATTTTCTTATTTCTTTTATGTTTTTTTCAAATGACAAGATTTAACTTAACTATCAAATAAATTGTATTTAATTTTTGTAACTTACTATCTTTGATTTAATTATCAAATAATAAAAGGAAAACTCATAAACAGGAAGATGATGAACATTGAAAATAAGTTAAATGACTAAAATGAAACTAGCAAAGAAATTCAGTGATGATACGAAGCATTTTGGCTATCACCTCTTCGGCGAAAATCCTACTTCCACAATCCCGCGCTTATTCGAAAATATCAATCCAGAGCCGAAACACCGCACTGTCACCCCCTCTCTAGCTCGCTCTCCGGCGGTTCCGTCGAATTGTTCCAGCATTCCTTCCCGTCTTCGGTCAATGGCGGAGAATCCGATCCTTCTCTCCGACGAAGACGCCGACGATCCAGGCACTCCGATTCCACCCCTCTCCAAGAGGCTCCGCGCCGCTCGAGCGGAGCTCGGCCTCGACCCGGCCCCTACCATCTTCCTCATCGACGACGATCCCTCTCCGTTCAAGCCGTCGCCGAATTCCTCATCCGCTCCCTCTGTCGTCCCGGAAACTCCGATGTCTGATGTCGCCGCCGCTGGGAGACGCACGGTGGACCTTTCGACTCCCGAAATTAGGGTTCCTGATTTCGGCCTCATCGGCGATGATCCCTCTCCGTTCAATCCGAATCAGAATTCCTCATCTACTGCCACTGTCGTCCCGGAAACCCCGATGTCTGATGTCGCCGCCGCTGGCAGATGCACGGTGGACCTTTCGACTCCCGAAGTTAGGGTTTCTGATTTCGGCCGTAAGATTTCTGGTACGTCTCTGTCTTCAGTCTTCACTTAGTCAAGAGGATCCAGAGGAGTTTCAGTTTTTTAGTGGCTGTTTTTCCGCATTGAAGAGGTGCGAGTTTCGTTCTGTGTTTGTGTATTGGAAGGAAATGGCGGAGTGACGCGCTTGGAGCCGGAACGTTTCGAGTCGGTTGATTGCTCTGGTAGTGGAAAATGGCGGGAGAATGAGACCGTGGATATTGACGATGAGGGCGATGATGATGAGGCCCTATGGAGGTCTAGATTCTCTGCATCAGTTGATTCACTTGGTATGTTTTGGTTTCATCTTGAGTGACTTGTAATGGTATTTGGGTCTCCACTGACTGAATCTTTTCTACCCAAGGGTTCCTGGAAGGTGTGGATTGTACTCTATGATATTTAATTGTACATTTTAGTGAGGTTCTGTGGGAACCTGATTATAAAAACGTTTGTCAGGTGGTGCTAATCTCAGTCAGATGTCGTCTGGAGTAAACTCTTCTCAGTCAATGTTGTTAGAAAATGATCAGGTGATTGCTAATCCCGTGCTTCCTCTACGTTTTTAAGAGTATTCTTTTAGACTTTTCCTTTCCTAGTAGCCTTTGATTTATTAGAACTCTTAGTTACATGAATGGGCATGAATTGTGTAGATAGCTTGACCTATAATGCCTTTAGTTACTATGCCTATGAGTAGAAAGTCCTTCACAGTCTGTTTGCAATCAGTTCCATGTGGTTTTAGGTCGAATGGGGTACCATTTCCCAGTTTTCCTCCTTCCCCACTAACACAGCGGGAAATGGATTTGTTAATGGAGTTCTATTTCCATAGGTTTTGCTGGCTCCTAAAGGGCTGTTAGTTAGTGCGTTTACAGAAAGTTGTAAGTGGATGGTTACAATTGTCAGAATCATAATCTTATGATGTCAACAGAATCTTGTTTCTTGTGAGTTAAGATAAATTAGCATTGTGGGAAGCTAAGAAAGAAATGGGATTGAATGCAGCATGTTTCTCTAGGACAGTTGAATTGGATCTAACCTCTGATGAAATGACTAGGACATTATGTTATGTCAAATTGTCAACCATTGTGAAGCATAAGATCAGAGAAATGAATTTAAATCTACTGGGTTGTCCTTCAAGTTGCACTCTTCTCGGAAGAACTTTTAGGATTGCTACTGATTGAATTGTTTGGCTGATATTTTGTCTCTTTTCATCTTTAATAATGCTTCTCAATCAGTCACACGACAACCCTGACAAAGAGAATCTGGGGATGGAGCAGATGGATGGTATTGTTAAACAGAAAAGGAGATCCAAGAGCAAGTCAGAAGAGAAAAGTAGTAATCCAGATGAAGCAATTGAAAAGAAGAGGAAAGTGAAAGAAGAAAGGGCCCGTTTGATGGAAGAAAAGAAGCTAAAAAGAGAAGCAAGTTTTTCTTGCCCTGTTATCTTGTTTTTGTGAATCTGTAAATTCTTGTAGACGTTTGTAGAGATAGCCAGAAATCCATTTTTTTTTTCAGGAGGAGAAGCTGCAAAAGGCAGCTCTGAAAGCTGAAGCAGCAGAGTTGAAAAAGCTCGAGAAAGAGAAACAGAAATGGGAGAAAGGGAAGTTGGCCCTAAAATCAATTGTTGCTCAGTTGGATGCCAAAGTAGTGGAGCAGGCCTCAGTTGGAGGTGAGTTTACTCAAATCACCCTTCCGAGTGGCGTGATATTAACCTTCAGGTTCATTCTGAGTTCTTATAACTCTTGTTGTAGGACATCTTCTGTCCAGGTTTGCTGAGAAAGGGCTTACATACCATATAACATCACATCCAATTGAAAGATCAATTATGTGGTCAATGAGTGTGCCAGAACATCTTGCGCAGGTATTAGTTGTTAATTCTCTTAAGATTAATGAGTATTTCTTGGACGCAATGGTGGTAGTACTTGGTCCACTTGTTAATTGCAACTCGCTTAATGTTGCTGGATTTCTAATTTGATGACCTATACTTTGTTGTAGCTTTCGATCCAAGAACAAGATGTGCGATACATTTTATTCATCTATGAAGCTGAGGAATTCTGCAATCTTGTAAACAGCGAATTAATTATTAAACATGTATGCGAAGTTCGAAGTCAGTATCCATCTTACACAGTTTGCTACCTGACGAATAAGTTGATGGCTTATATTAATAAAAGGTTTGACACATCACTTAAAGTTTCATTCATGTTCATATGCCTATTCCCACACCCACAAAAATAGACCCCAGCCATCCAAATAGGTTACTATGATTATGGGATGATAAAGTGTTGCAATATACAGGGAAAAGGAGCTGTACAAGAACCCAGAAAGTGGTAGCTCTTGGGTTCGTCCAGCTATTGAAGAGGTAAAATGATCATTTGCAATGAACAACTTGACGCATGTTATTGATGAATTTCAAAGAATTTGCGGACTTTCTTATGCATCTTCACTTGGTGCAGATGCTGGCAAAATTAACCACCCACTTTGATAAGGTATATTACAGGCACTGTAGAGATGAAGCTGAAGTTGCAGAACATGTAGTTGGTTTGACAAGTAGTTTAGCTTCTTGCCAATACAGGTGATAATGCATTCACTTATTTCACGTTTCATCTCAGATGATTAATTAATTAAAATTTATTACAGTTAGCACTGTCTGCTGCTTCTATTTGTGTTCGTTAGTACATTTATCTGCTGTCTCAATCGCTGTTTGCTCCTTTTCCTGTTTGTTTCTAAATGCAGAAAAAAGTTAACACGTCTCTCAGTTAATGCCAATGGGTCTGCTGTACCAAAGGATTTTATTGACAAGAATCTGATAAAAAAGAGTCCATGGTAAGTAATAGGTACCAGAATCCCGATCGTGATTGTAGTGTTACTTTTCTTCAAAGAATGATTGTAGTATAACCATGGGGGGCTGTTCCTAGTCCTCTAGTGGTGTTATATAGCATGTTAGTATGCACACAAGCTCCCAAGAGTTTTGGAACTGACATTCTGGTTTTTGTATTTCAGGCTAAAAGCTCTGGTTGCAATTCCCAAGGTGCAGCCTCGTTTTGCTGTTGCTATATCGAAGAAGTATCCTACAATGAGGTCATTGTTGAGCATATATATGGACCCCACCAAAACGGTAAGCAGGATTGAACCCCTAGATTTGAACCTTATTTATCCTATTAATCCTTATAGTGTTGTAGTTGTAGACCTGATCTCATTAGCTGTTGTATTACTGTCTCTAGTAGCTGAAACGCTTTAGTTTGGAAATCCACTAAACAAAATTTTCTCAATGTTTTCCATCGTAATTGTGCGATGTTCTAAAAGGAAGTTCCTAAGAAATGAGCAACAATCTCAAAATATGAAGGACAATTTCCAGGATGTCTGGGTGTCACAATTGCAGTACACAGCAGTGGTTCAGAAAAGTTATAGACTTGAAATATCTAGTCTAGTCCGAGTTATTATGCTATTCTTCTGTCATGATTCTTTTTCAGATTTATTGCTTACCACGGCCATCATGATAGCTTTGAATTCAAATGCTGTTGTATGATAATTCAATGACAGGTTCATGAAAAGGAGTTCCTGCTTGCGAACCTGACCGTAGAAGGGTTGACGGGAGCTGACAGAAGAGTTGGTGAAATATGCTCGAAACGAGTCTACAGAATAATGATGGCGGAAAGTGGAAGCATCAAAACTGACGATGTTGAAGATGGTGCTGATTACTTTCAGCGCTAATCTCCACCTCTTTCCAGGATTCAAGCATCACGAACCAAGTCAGAGTCTGGTCCAGGTTCCATACATAAACTTTACTATGCTCTGCGCTTTTCTTCTTCTTCTTCTTCTATGATTCTATCTCCAGCTCAAACCTGGACTACAGATAACAATGCGTAGGGTGCACATTACATTCTCCCTGATCATAATGCTTAAGTTTCTTAGCCGTCACTACGAGTAGTGTAGACAAAGTTCATTAGGAGGAGGAACTATAGACAAAATTTGTGAACAATACCATCAGTACTAGCAAACCTATCCTCTCACCTATACTATTCTGCAGAAATGCCTGTCATTCAGAATGATTGAAATCTGAACAGCTTTAGACCAAGTTTTCGGGTTTGGGTCTGCAGTGTATTTGCAACCCAAAATACCAAGAAACAAATTAGTTGGTTAGGTGGGCCACTGACAGTTGGGTCAAGGGTGGATTTTCAATATGGGCTGACGTCCGTATGCACCAACTGTCCACCTAATTCTTTATTGATGGTGGCACTAACACACACTGGAATACATCTTCAGTGTTTGAGAATATTCCATAGTATATAGAGTTTGATTAATCAAGGGAACAGATATATAACACCTTAACCCCACATTCTCTATCTCAGCAGTCAGATTGCAACAATCGCAATCATAGCCTCTTCTCTGTGTCCCGTAGCTCATAATTACATCATGAGCAATAGCAGCCTCTAGTTGCCTCCACTCTGCTTTGGCCCCTCATATTTGTGGTAAAGAGGGCTGAAATTTAGGAGAACTAATTGGCTTTAGCTTCCACATTTGTCTGTCTAGGGGATTCTTTATTAGATTGTAGATGAAAGCTAAGGAGAGCCTGTAAGAGGGTCATGTTCAAAAGTGTATTTGATTCGATTTGATCCGGTTTTGTTAAAAACAAAATGGTTCTCGATTTTAAGATGTGTCAGAATCGGATTACATTTGTTCCGATAGGATTCGATTCAAATATTGATTACTAACTGATTCGGTCTGGTGTTGGACGGAATTGTTGCCCCTTTGTGATTTGGTAATGGATACACTCGTGTTGATTAAAATCTTGGATTCAAAGTTTTGTGGATATAGTTGTTTTGCTTAATCAGATTTCAACATGCCGACTCAAACTAGATTGTCATCATTTATTGGCCTCTGTATTTAACTATTTGGTCCCCTCCATAGTCTGTTGTCTACCAGACTACCACTACCCTCTTTCTCATTCCACCACCACCTCCATTACCTACTCCGCTGCCAATTCTACCATCTATAACCAAAGGAACTAACAACCCAGAAAAGAAGAAAAATAGAATACTCAAAACAACAAGATTAGAATAGAGAAGAATCTTGCACGAGTCACCATCCTAATCATCATTTGATCTTCAATCACGTCATTATATCTACACACATCAACTCCACTCCCTTCATAGCCTTTTTTTTTTCTCCCTCTTGTCTAACTTACCCTCACTAGTGACTATATATAAAATCAGTGTCCTTCTCTGAAACATGAGACCCATCTAGTTAGATAGATAGGTGGAGGGATAGCTGCTGTAGTTGACATCTACTATTGGGTATTGTGATGATGATGGAGAAGAGCAAATCTTTTTCAGGTTACTCGGCGATGAGGAGGGCGGAATTCGAGGACAATTCGAAATCCTACAGCTTCAACGGCCCAATGAATCCTGGTTCAGGTGAGAAGGCTGGTGATTTTGTGAGTGAGAATCCAGAGCTGAAGAGGAGGAAGAGGGTGGCTCAGTACAACATCTACTCCAAGGAAGGTAAGCTCAAATCTTCTCTCAGAAACAGCTTCAAGTGGATCAAGAGCAAGTTTGTTGATGACTACTTCCAGGATTGAAAAGTAGTTTGGTGTGCGTGTCGATGTCTTCTTCTTCTTCCTCTGTTTTTACCCCCTTTTGTCCATCACAAGCTCTCTTTGATCCATCCATACCTCCCTTTCTCGGGGAGATGGAGATTGAAAACCGTCAGCATCTGTAAGTAGTTCGATTCAAGCTTTTTGATCAATCTGATGGTTTTTGTTTGTCATCCTTTTTGAACTCCCACTAGGCAGGACACATAGCAGTTTAAGTAGCTGCCTGCCATCATGATACTTAGACATATCACGTAGCTTTGTAGTCTGGCAATACTCGAGACATTGCTACAACGGAATTCTCGGTAGGCTGGGTTTGAATCCGTACTGTTCCTGTGCTAATGAAGAATTCTGAAGAACACAGTACCCAAGCAATTCAATACTAGAAGGTATAAACTTGAATGGACCAAGTTTATATTCTTTATTCGTTTATAGCAAAAAAAACTTAACACCCCCCCCCCCCCCCCCCCCCCCCCCCCAATAAGAAACACAAATGGAGAAAACGAAACCGAGTTTTGTTCAATCAATCAAATTTGTCTGCTACACATCAAACCGTGGCTTGTTCACGAGGTGGCCTCGATGATCGTCATCGAGCCCGAAGAGCTTGGAGATCTTGTCAGGATCAAGAGCACAGAAGTCTAGAGTGGACAACGACCTGCGGTAGTGCTGCATCCCCGGGCCATCCGCAGCAGCGCTGCGTCCTCCACCACACCCATGATGGTGATGGAGGATGTCAGAGACGGAGGCCTGCAGAAGGGTGAAGTTGTTCTGGATGTTCTTCGAGGCGCTGGGGTGTGCCTCGGTTCGTAGTGCTGACCGGTCCTGAAGCTGCGGGAGACCCACAGGAGAGAAAGAAGGGTGGATGCGTCCAGCGAGCTGGTTCATCGTCGGCAGCAGCAGCTGCTGCTGCTCTTCTTCCCTCACTGGTTTCAGGCTGGAAGAGGTACTACTGCTCGTGCTGTTACCTCCTGCTTCCTGGCTGAATACGCTTATCGTTGTAGCTGTGTCTTGGCTGTGTGTTGTGCTTTCTTCCTCTGATATCTTCTCCAGCTGCATCACCACCAGAATCATGAGTCATTCATGGTTTACTTGTTTCCCAAGTTTGAGGTAAATTGTTTTCGGATTACCTCTTTGGGAGATTGATCCGCGTCATCCTTCCCCATGGAACCAGTTTGCTTCTTGCTGCTACCTTCACTGGTTTGACCAGTGGTGGCTTTCTTCTTTGGTTTCTTGCGTCTGTTAATCACATGTAGCCAGTCAGTAAATACCCGCCTAGAGAAAAACGTGGATTTGGAAATGCATGTAATCAAGAAGGCCTTACTTCTTGCGAGTATTGGACTTGGCTGCTTCATCCTCTGGCTTCTGGATCACTGGCAGACCAGAGAGCTCGCATGCCAATGGATTTGTAGTGAAGAACTGCATTTAGAAAGTACTCTGCATTAGTTTTGGTTTGCATAACTAACGCTGTAGTGACCCGACGAATCGATATTTGGTTCGAATACGATTCAAATATCGACGAAAAAAGTGGGTTTTATTGAAATTGGACCAGACTGAATCGAATAAGATGTGACCTGGCTTTGGAGGGCAGAGGCGGCAGTGCCACGATAAGAAGGGTTGAGGGAGAGGAGACTGGAGAGGAGGGCAAGGGAGGAAGCTGGGAAGTCCTTGAAGGCTTCTTGGAAGGTCGGTTTGTAGTGCTGCGGTGGCCGGAAGCTCGTCGGAAGCCTCATGATCTTCCAGTAGTCCTCCGCCGGCGACCCACACAGCTTGAAGATCCTGTGGATTTGCTCAACCTGTAAAAAAAAAAATGGAGGGAGAGAATCTAAATCAGCAGATAAACTTTTTATTTATTTTTCCATGAATTAAAAGTTTATAAGATTTGTTTCTTTTTTCTCTAGGATCACTAGTTATTAATATTCATCACATTAACACCATCTCAATTACAATACCACTCGAGTAACGACCACAATGACGCTAAATGTTTGTTAGCTGAATCGATTACTCTCGTGTCATCAAGTACGAATGACCAACATTTCGGTCCATATTAGATCTAATCAAGACGATAAACAAGATTAGTAGAAGTCGATGCGTGTTTTATTTTTCCTTCTCAATTTTGTTGGATCCATTCAAAATGGAAGAAAATGCAAATCAGATTACAACAAATCAAATGTGACTTTCTATTCCGTTCCGCATTCTATCCGCATTCTATGTATCATCTACTATTATACTCTCTTGATGTCACTAGACAACACCACCAACAACAATAACTTACCCTTTTTCCATTAAGTGTAATCGAGACATTCACTACCGAACCGTAATGACTAACCGTTCGCGTTTATTAATCGGGTAACCCATTTGGTGGACCATGAAGTTTCTTACCTCAGTCCTGCCGGGCATAATGGGCCTCCCGACGAACATCTCAGCCAACAAGCAACCGGCACTCCAAAGATCAATCCCGACGCCATAATCGGTAGCTCCGAGCAGCAGCTCGGGAGCTCTGTACCATAGCGTGACGACCCTCGTAGTGAGCGGTCGTTTCGGTTTGGGGACGTAGAAATTGGCCAGCCCGAAATCCGCAATCTTCAGCATCCCATTCTTGTCTATCAGCAGGTTGGAACCCTTGATGTCTCTGTGCAGAATCCCTCTCTCATGGCAGTGCTGCAGCCCCAGAAGAAGCTGGTTCATGTAGCACTTCACCTGCAGAGCACTCGATTCGATTCGATTCAGCGTGACAATTCGATCAAACGTTGTGATGAATCGAACGAAAGAAGAGCGAGAGCGAGAGGGAACCTGTGGCTCGGTGAGTCGTTGAGAAGGACGAGAGATGATCCTGGTGAGATCGGACACCATGTAGTCGAAGACGAGGTACAAACTGTACTGCATCCTCGAAGTTGCGATCCCTTCGAGCTTGATGACATTGGGATGGTCGAGTTTCTGAAGCACCATGATCTCTCTGGCCATGAACTTGATGCTCTCCGGCTCCGACGTGTCGAATCTGACCTTTTTCAGGGCGACAATCTTCCCGCTGTCCCTGTCTCGAGCTTTGTACACATTGCTGTATGTCCCCTGACCAATCTGATCACATAGCAACAAAAACCCCATTTGGCAGGAAAAACAAGTTTTTGGGGGGTCAAAATGTAAGAAATGAAATCTTCAAGCACCAAAAATAGTGTCGACTCGTACGACTGAAGATATATTAGAGAACCTATGCAATCTATCGATCCAAACCAATTCATATCAACCGCTAACCTAAGATAATTAAAGTCGATATAGCTCGTACAGAAGTACAGAACGATACTACGATTTTATGTCATCCATCATATTAGAGAGCCAAATGCAATCTGTCGATCCAAACTGATTTGCTGCTAACAAGTGAGAAACTAAACTAAAGCAAATTCCATCATCAAACTTAATAATCAGTCTCGACAACGGTCGATTCAAATCTCCGATACGATTTAACAACTGGAAGGGTGGAAGGAGAGATCATCATGATTACTAGTGAAACCAAACAACAATTACCTTGGCAAGCTTATCATAAGAATCAGCACTCTTGGGCACCAAGCTAGCCAACACATCTTTGGGGATATTGTCAACAAGCCACTTTGGCCATCCATCCACATAATCCTCCCCACCAATCTTCTTCAACACAACCCTCTGAGACTTACTCCCACCACCGCCGCCGCCGCCGTCCTTCCCCGCCGCCGCGGCCTCCACCGCCACAACGGTGGTGGAAGGATCACCATTAATAATAGTCCCCTTCTTGTCATCATCATTAACAATAATCTCCTCCAAAGGCTTCACTTGATCGTGACTTTCATAGTGGCTGCTGCTGAAAAGTTTGTCCCCATTGTTATTGAAGCCGCCACCTTTCTTCTTCTTTTCGTCGTCATTGCCTCCGGTGCCGCCGTTGTACCCGTTCTCCGCCTTCAACTTGCGCAGCCCCCACGGCGGCGTGAACCTCCGCCGCTTGCTGGACTGAATGCAACCCATGATGGTGATGTTGGTCGCCGGCGGTTCACCGGAGATGATGATTTCTAGGACGTGGCATAGTTATTAGTGATTTGAGATTTCGAGGGTGTTGAGATGAGATGTATAGAGAGAAAGAATGGACAGTGGAGAGCTAATGCATAAGGGAAGCCGTCCTTCGGGCGGCAATTTTTTAGGTTGGGTTGGAGAGATATATAATAGCAAAGAGGTAAGTAATGGATGATTGAGAGATTTTTTTTAACACTTACCCAAAATTTTATATGGAGAAAGGTGGGAGAGATGAATGATTTATCAGTAACAACAAATATTAAGTGATCATAAGATGGGTTTTGGGGTAAAAATAAAATAGATGAATTCCTGTATGGAATTGGAAATCACCATGATTCACTCAAACAACATAGCTGGGTAGATGAAAAGCGGACAATATCTTGGTTAGAAATTGGGGGTGTTATTATTGGTATCATAGTTTTTTTGTGTCTCTCTTGAAAGGTGGTGGAAATTTCAACAAGAACGTTGATTCGAGCAGGGGGTGTGTATGTAACACCTTAGGAAAATTTCACATTGACAAAATACGGGAGAGATCCATGATTGTAAGTACTATGAAGTTGAACGTGCTCGGTGTGGAGCAGTACAAATATGAGTGACTTTCTGAAATGTCCACAAAAGCATAGTCGTGCAAGATAGATTCAGAGCGAATAATATAGTGATTAGAAAAGGTTGAGATGTTACAATTTTCTATTCCAAACAAATTTTGTCCCATCGTGATAAAAATGTATATTGCTATGCAATCCTTATTTGCACAAATTCACATATATCAGGTACATTGTATATTTTCTATGCAATTAAATCAATTTCATTATCCAATTAATTTAGAAGTACTTAAATACAAAATTACTAAAAGTTTAACGGAAATAAGATGGCGAGAAAAATTGTTTGCTCTCGTGATGGGACAAGGAATTTTTCCATGATGATTATTGGGGAACTTGACAAGAAATTTTATTTTTGTTTTGTGGGTTTGATATATTAATTTGGTTTTGATGATGGGTTTCGATTTCGTTGGCTCTCCATTATCAATGAAGCTTTGTTTTGGGAGTGATGTGGTATATTATCAAGGCAAGAATGCTAGCCTGTTTTTTTCTTGTTGTTGAAGACTTTACTCTCTCTCTCTCATAATATGAGTGATGAAACTTAGTGAATAATTTGATTTGGTAAATAATTAGAACTAGGTCTAGGTGGCGATGCCGCGTTTTGTCACAGGGCGGAGATGGCCTATGGGCATGTATTATGTCGCCCGTTATGTTATTTTGTTATTATTATTAGCATAAAATTAATTTTTTGTTAACAGTTTTGTTAGTAATATTGACTTGAAAATATGATATTGACTGAGAAGAGATATATGGCTAACGGCGATCAACATCCAATTTAAAAATTTTGAAAAATTTGGCTAATAAATGATATTTACCTAAAGCCAAGTAGACCCATTGATTATGGGTAGGGTATGAGTGACGTATAATGAGGTTGAAAGTTTGTAGATGGGTTTGGTAGGGTATGTATATTTAATTTCATAATCTAAATGTGTATGAGTTGGGTATAGATACCCATTTATTTGAGGGTGTTTTATTCAATGATTTTACAATAAAATTAAATTTAGGGTATCAAAATGTAAAATGTACATTATAGTGACTAAGTTGTAATTTAATGAAATCTAAGGTATCAAAATAGTATATTTTTAGGCAACAGTAACTATGCTTTAACTTTATATATAATAATATTTTATTTCTAAGGCCCATAACATATATGTAACATCAATTTTCTTCTTGGTATCGAGGAATCTATCAAAAAATAATCGGAATGCATATGTTTTGGTTTGCAATGTAAGAGATGAACACGGTTGGGTTGACTGGCTCAAGATGTGTGGGGATTGTTAGATAGTCTTGAAAAAGAATACATTTTACATTAATATGAACAGTTTTGTCCTTTGGCTATTTTCTTTTGCCTTTTTGTAGGAAAAAGTACTTCAGGATGATAAAGTGAGTATTCACAATCATATATCTCAATCATTTGATTGAATTTATCTGTTATCTAATCATGATCTCAAGTTTGTATTAAATTTGAATTTTACAAATATGTATTTACTCAAAATGAATTCTCTTGTTACCTTACAACTCGTCCATAGTATGACCAGAAAACACTCACATATCTTTATATTCGTGTTACTTGTATATACGTAGGAAAGACAACAATGTCGCTGCGCTAAGTATTTAGCTAAACTTGTTCATAGTTTCATTGCTGGTGGCTAGTTCTTTCAGCAACCCATTGGCTCCATCGCATATTGACAAATTTGTAACGTTAATTGAGAAGCTTGAAAGGGCTAAGGGGAAACTTGAGAGGCAATTTGGGTACTAATCCTTGTATTCCTACCATGGCAACAAGAGATAAAGCAAATGGCAATTCTGAAATGGAAGGTCAGAATCCAAATGCTAAAACCCTATAAACCCAACTTTTCACCCAAAATGGCAAATTCTGCTCTTCTTGTTGTATCTTGTTTAGTCCCCAATGAAAGAAGAACTTACCCTTGTCTCTCCATTATTTTGTCGATTACAAGACTTTAGATGCATGTAGAAGAATTATGTATGCCATGATTAAAAACAACCCAACAAGATGATAACATTTGCTTTAGCCAAAAACACCCCATGAAATTGACATATTCTGTTTTGATCGGTAAAGAATCCAAAAAAAAAAACGGAAACTAAAAGGCTGTACACCAAACTTCTTCTCTGTCATTTGCCTATAAACCAAACATGGATCAATCTTAACTAATCTCAAGGGGCAAACCCACATAAAGACATCAGCTTGGGAGTCCACTTCTACAACATGTCTAATTACATCTGCCACTCTCCAATTTGCCCTTCAAAACTACCAGAATTTTAGCTGAATATACTGCCGATGCTTATAATACTGTCATTATGAATGATCTTCCTGGAGGACGAAAGGCCCAGATCAAAAGGTCCCAGTGACTCCGTCTGTAACCAAGGGAAATGCAAAACCAGAAAGGGATCTCAACAATTCGTCACAATTTGCAGAAGAAATGGAGATGGCTTATGCAAAACCTCACAAAATCTAGAAAAGTTTTAAGCTTTGACATACCCATTTTATGCCTGACAGTCCAAGGCTGCTTTCATCGTTAAGTGCGCCTGTAGTTCCTTCCTGTCCTTCTGGAATGCCAGGTTGGGAATTGACCTGCAAAAAGAAATAGGGCCAATAGGAATTAAGAACCTCCAATGCAGGCGGATCATCCTAAACCAGTTCTAGATTCCTAAAGCTGGGTTCTTGTTTCTCACTAGTTGAGAAAAACCAGCTGGCGAAACAAAGTGTTTGGCCCAGTGAAAAACAATCCTCTCATTGTATGTTCTTACAAGTCTGTTAAACCTATGGTATCTGTCATGATCAATCCAAACATTATCATTGAAAATGTCATGACTAAATCGTTGTATTGACATCTCATGCCCCTGTTTCAGCACACAAACTGGAAAGGATCGAGTCATAGTGAACTCCGTTTCTGCAAAACGTAGGCCACAGGGATTTTGGAATCTACTGACCAGCTTAGAAACCTCTTCCTTGCTGCTCCTGCCCGAAGCAAATGTTTGAAATGTGAATGCATGACATGTGTCTTCAGCGTTTAAAATGGATGAGGTTGAAGCAGGAGGTACAAATCTTGGACAAATTGAGGAGCTCGGTTGGCCGGAAATGAAAGCGTCAAATGATTCGGTAAAGAACAGAGAACTGCTTCCATTTGTTTGCTGTTCAGATGATTTGCTCGACTTCCCTTGCAATGATGCTTCAGATAGCAAGCCTCCAATGCTTATACAATCATCCCATGGCACTACTGGCTGCCCAACACCAATATCCGCTCTCATAGTTGTTGCCTAGTAAGATAAGATATTCATCAGTCAGAAACTCAGAAGATCTAAAGAATACATGAAATGTTGATATCAGCATTAGCTACACTTATCAGAGTCACATCCTATGTGCATCAAGACTTTACTAGACACATCTGCATGAGAGAGTATTGGTGTAATTTGTACTCTTTTAAACAGCAAGAGAGGAAACTATTGCAATTTAGATTGAGAACCAGGACAAGATTCAGTTTCATTGAAAAAGAAGTACAATACCAGCGGTTCAGTTAGTGCAGAGACAGATACTGTTGCTCCTCTGGAAACGGCTAATTTGGTCTCTTCAATGATTTGTTTGCCTTTGACATCTATAGTTTCAACAGTACTGCTGCATTTCCCTGTTTCTGCTAACTGTAAGCAAGCATCATTCTGGTTTGAGGCAGAACCCAAGCTCTGACTTTCGGCTTTAGAATCATAGAACCAGCCATACCTTACAAAAATCATGTTAAGTCAGAAAGCCAAATCGTTAAACCAACAAAAAAATAGAGTTAGAAGTGCAGAAAGGTTCCAGATGAAGACCTTAACCGAAATACAGAAGGCCTTCCAACGGCTGCATAGACATCTTCGGTGCAGACATCAGTGTTGCGCGAGGTCCATCTGCAGCTAGATGATTTGTCCATTGTATTGTATGGGAAAACCATTGGCTGCTGCCCACTAGCAATGCTTGACTTCCCCCATTTGGCATTGAGGTGCTGCAGTACAGATGATATCTTCTTCCTCCGACTTAGAGTGAGTTCCAAGTAAGGATGGTATCCTTCCTACGATATCAAATCAACAATCATACAAAATAAACGTTCTGATTTTAACAATGAGACACAAATATTTCCCAGGCAACACCTATCATCTCTATACCTTTTCCAGTCCCATTAGGGTGTTCTTATCAATGGGAAACAGCTGCAACTTGATCTTCCTAGAAGGTTCGTTGGTTCCTGGATTCTGACCAAACACCGTTAAGGGATTCGATACCTTCTCTTCCATCGAAGGCAATGGACATTGATCTTCCGGAACAAGAGAACCCCCAGCTTCGTCTGATGAACACGGAAATTTCAACAAACCAAATCCTCAGAACCATAAGAAAAAAGTTCATTGGAAGAGCTTTTGCCAGAATGGAAATCCCTCTCAAAATCACAACAGTCAATCGCATAGCGTAACTAACCTTTTGGATTTTTACCAGACTGCCGTCCACCGCCTCTACTCCTCTTTGCCGGCGGTTTTCTTACCTGAGACAAACTCGACCCCTTCTTTGCCACCACTGAGCTATCCACGGGATCCGCGGTTATCTTCTTCCTACCTCTCATCTGCGACTCCAATTTCCTTCACCGTTCCTGCAAACCCCAAAACCTAATCAAAATTCCGGAATCCGCAAGCTCCTCGTAATTACGGTGAACGGAGAATCCTATCTATCTTGACTGTTTCAGATCTAGTAGCTCAAAGGAAAAACCGAGAATCAAACAAAATACCCTAAATTCCAGCTCGTTACTTCGACGAACAAGCAAAATCGCGAGCTGCCGACACTCTAAATTAGGGCTTATGTTGAAAACCTAAACACGAAGTTACCTGAATCGGAATTCGGAACCTCAGAAACTGAGAGAGAAAGACGACGGAGGATCGAGAGAGCTTCGAACTTTCGGTGGCGGGAAATGAAATTTTTTTCAGCATGCGAATTTCTGGAGGGAGCGAGGGAAAATGCCAAAGTTTCCCACTTCTTCTTATCGCTTAACCGCCATTAATGGAGCCTTTAAACGTTAAAAACAATTATAAGAAGATCATCAGCCAGCTGAATTAGTGGGCTTTCTTGTTGGGCCTATCGTTCGTATCCATTTAAGGTGGGCCGGAGTTTTGGGTAGTCCAAGGAAACACAATAGTTTATAACTTGTAAGGTTTTGACTTTAAAGTGACCATTTTGTCACAAACACTATAATTTAGTGCGCAATTTTAATATTTACCAGTATCACCAACTCCCGGTAAATAAAATCCCTAAGCCCCAATTCTCTCGACGTTTTTACCTCATTGCCGGCGCCGCCGCCGCCTCTTCCTTCCTCTTCTCAAATTTCTTCCCCACGATGAATCAGATCAGGGCTTTTCTTTCCGCCGGCCGTGCCTGCCTCCGACGTGCGTGGCCAACCAACGGTAAAAATACAATTTCCGCCAGTGTGGATTCTGTAATTTTCTTGTCCTTTTACTTCCCCATTTCCATGGAAAATATCTCAAATCGCAGTTCCTTCTTTTCCCAGCGACGGAGGGCGCACAATCAGCCGTCGCTCGATGGTTGATCGACGGGAAGGTATGTGTTCGCTACGGCGCCGACGTGCCCTACCCTAAGCTTCGCCTCTCGCCAGCTGCGGCGGACGACGAGGACGGCTGGGGAGTCACGGAGGTGGAAGTCCGCCAGCCCGACGGGAAGTTCTTGACATCAAGGGTCCGCGTCGAGATCTTGACCCATCGCAGCGATGCTCCCGACGACGTGGTCATAATTTCCAAGGATGAACTGGCCTCTCTCGCGAGAAATGTGTCTGATCGGGCGGATCAAATTCAGCGGATGAAAAAAAAAGTGGAGAGTCGACTGGCTGCTGTTAACGCAAACTTAGATAAACTCGAAGAAAAGAAGTCAGGTGCTCCACCTTGTAAGGATTAGCTCCCTTGGTCGTGTTGCTGTTACGAACTTGGAACGAGCATGAAGAAATTAACGATACTTCTTTATCTTTTGAGTTGTTCTGCAGGTCGTGAAGGGGGAATGTAGCTCAGTTGGTAGAGTTTGTGTTTACGACGTACTAATTATGACGGTATAAACGTGTCAGGGATGTAGCTCAGTTTGTAGAGTTTGTGATTACGATGACGTGCTAATTATGTCGGTATTAGCACGTATGTTAGCTTGTTCGTCGTCTCAGGGATGTAACTCGGTTTGTAGAACTTTGTGATTACGAGTCGGATGTCTAATTGTTCAATGTGGCAATGCTAATCTCCTCTATGGTTGCCCGAATTGTTGAACTCTGCAAGTCCTCTGTTTTCTATTTCGGTCTGTCTGTCTTATGGTTTTCTGTATTCTGGAAGGACTAACTCAAGCTGATAGCTTGATAAATTGGAATGTGTGCTTGTTTGCTACTCTGTTCTTTTGTGCATTACTCTGTTTTTCCATCGAGCTATTAGTCATTAGTCACCTATTTCATACCATTGCTTGCTACTCTGCAATGGCATGGATTCTAAGCTCTCACTGTAAATAGATGCCATTTTTAGCTACTGAAAGCGTAACGATTTCGTTGTAATTCGACAGAGGAGGTGCCATAATGAAAGGATCTCGAGACGGAAGGATCTGCCATTATGAAAACAAGGTGTATTCGGCCAATGAAAACAGTCCTCTCATTGTATGTTCTCACAAGTCTGTTAAACCTATGATATCTGTCATGATCAATCCCAACATCACATCGAAAAATGCCGTGACAAAATCGTTGTATTTGCATGTCATGCTCCCGTTTCAGTACGCAAACTGGAAAAGAATCGAGTCATAGTAAACTCCGTTTTCTGCAAAACTCAGGCCACAGGGAATTTTGGAATCTACTGACCAGCTTATAGAAATTCTTCCTTGCTGCTCCTGTTACTTCTGTCCAAAGCAAATGTTTGAAATGAGAATGCATGGCATTGTGCCTTCAGCGTTTAAGATGGATGGGGATTGAAGCAGGAGGTACAATTCTGGGACGAATAGAGGAGCTCGGTTGGTCAGAAATGAAAGCATCGAATGAGTCGGTAAAGAACAGAGAACTGCTTCCGTCTGTTTGCTTTTCAGAATCACAGAACCAACCATACCTTACAAAAATCATGTCAAGTTTCTCGGTTTCAATACCTTAAACCGAAATACAGAAGGCCTTCCAACAGCTACATAAACATCTAGCAGTGCTCGACGTCCCCTCCATTTGGCATTGAGGTGCTGCAGCACAGAAGATATCTTCTTCCTCCGACTTAGAGTGAGTTCCAAGTAAGGATGGTAGGCTTCCTGCGATATGAAATCAACAATCATACAGAATAAACGTATTTTGACTTTAGAGTGACCATTTTGTCATAAGGATAATAATTTAGTGACCATTTTGACATTTTAACCGTAGCAATGTAAAACCCTAAAACACTCATTCGCTCCGGCATTTACCTCCCAGCCGGCGCCGCCTCCCTTTCTTCTTCCTTCCTCTTCTCAGCTTCTTCCCCACAATGAATCATATCAGGGCTTTTCTTTCCGCCGGCAGTGCCTGCCTCCGATGTGCGCGGCCAACCAACGGTAAACTACAATTTCCGCCGGAGAGCGATCCTGTAAAATTTCTTTTTCTTTTCCTCCCCTCTCCCAATTTCCAAATTTCTCTTAACTCCGCGTTCCATTTTGTTCTTTCTTTTCACAGCGACGGAGGGCGCACAATTCTCCGTCGCCAGATGGCTGATCGACGGGAAGGTTAGCGTCCGCAACGGCGGCGCCGAGGTAACGTACCCTAGGCTGCGCCTTTCGCCGGCTGCGGCGGAGGCGGACGGCTGGGGAGTTGCCGAGGTTGAAATCCGCCAGCCCGACGGGACGTTCGCGACGTCCAAGTTCCACGTGGAGATCCTGACCCGTTGCAGCGATGCTCCCGGCAAAGCGGTCATGGTTTCCAAGGAGCAAGTCGACGACTTGGTCGCTGTGCAGAAAAGAGTGTTTGATCAGCAGAAGGAAATTGAGCTGTTCTGTAAAGATGCGCAGGGTAAATTGGCTGCTGTTCTGGAGGATGCAGACTTAACCCAACTCGGCGAAAAGAAGTCGGATGCATCACCATGAAAAGGATCAAGTGATGTAGCAGCTCACTTGGTATTGATTGCTGAGTACTGAGTTACTGATCGTGTCGATGTTAGTATAATCGTTTATCTTTGTATAGCAGATGTAGCTCAATTGGTAGAGTTTGTGATTACTACGAACTGATTATGTCGGTAATGTTGCGTGTGTGAAGTTGTGCGTAGTCTCGTGGATGTAGCTCTGTTAGTCTGAGAACTTGTGATTGCGAGTTGGATGTCTAATTGTTCAATATGGTAATGGTAATCTCCTATATCTTTGTTCGTGAACATACTGCGCAATGGTTACGGTGGTAGCTCGTATTGTCGAACTCTGCAAGTCCTCTGTTTTCTTTTCCTTTTCCTTTCAGGATTCTTTCCGCCTGTCTTCTGGTTTTTCCATGTCCTGGAGGGACTAATACAAGCGGATAACTTGATAAATTGGAATGTGTGCTTTGCTTGCTACTCTGTTCTTTTGTGCATTATTCTGTTTTCGGTAATCTTGTGGGGAGGATCAGATCAGATCAGATCGCTTAGTCCATCTAACTATCAGTCACCTATTTCTTCTTCTCGATCGTTTCCCTAATTCTGGTCGGCGATTTCTTTCGCAATGGGTCTGCTCATCAGCTCCTTGTCAACCATTGGTAAGAAAGAGGAATTTATATTTTGTGTGTGCATGGTAATTATGTCACTATTCTGATTTGTCATCCTGTGTTTGATTTTCATTCCAGGCGCAAAGCAGCTTGTGCCGGCTTGGACTGCTGATGATGCAGAGGAATCGATTACGGAGCATGATCAGATTCTGAGATATGCACTGGATTCTGAGCTCTCACCGTAAGTTGATCAAGTCATCGATCTCTGTTTCACAGCGCTTTCTCCAGGAGTAGTAACAGATGGACCCAACTTTTGAAGTGAAATAGCTGCCATGTTTAACTACTGAAAGTGTGACAATTTTCTATTGAAAACAGAGAGGAGGTATTGTTTCGAGACGTGAAGAAGGAAAGGATCTTGAGACGGAAGGATCTGCTAGAACTTGTTGGGGAGTCTAGGGTGCTCACCACGACGTGTGACCTCTACATCGACCACATAAACAAGAGCTCGCTAGCATCTAACGGGCACTTCAAGAAGTTCATCTTCTGGACCACCCGTACGGTAATCAACCTTTCATTTCGATATGTCAATCGCTTGGATTTCCACCGTGTATTGAAAGACTCGTTAAGGCTAGCATTGAATCAATGGTGTTCATTAATGTGGATGCAGGAAATTGAGAATGAAGATGGTGGCAGTAAGAAGGATGGCGATATTGGTAATCACTCGTTCCAAGCAAGTGAAAAGCATTTGCCGACCAGCTTCTACTTGCCATTACCAGAGGGGAAGATCAATGATGCCCACAAATGTGAGCTTGTAAGTAAATGTACAGTTGTGTAAACATTATTTGCCAAGCATCAATGTCTATTAGATAGGGGAACTAATAGTATCCATTGTCTTAACGGAACATTATGCAGTGGTGCATCCCCATATCGTATCGAGGGCATGCCAGGGCGATCGTCATAAACATCAAGGAGGCCCGCTACGAGTATCTAGACAGCGGCGGGCCTGACAAAGAAGCAGAATTCTCGACAATGGACAACGACTTGCATGACAGAATCTTGGATGTGGCCACTATGTACATCAATTGCATGCGACGGCAAGAAGGCGACATGATAATAGACTTCTCCAACTTCAAGTTGACATTCCCTCTCGTGCCTAGCCAGCCTTCTGGCTCCCTATCGTGCGTGATCTACATGCTGCGGTTCCTGGAGGAGTGGGATGTCGACGATGGCAGAGTGGATCGTCGTCTGCCCAACAAGTTCGAAGGTTGGGACGAGGAGTCGTGGCATGTCGAGGAGAGGATGAAGATTTGTACATCCATTCTGACGGATCAAGGCTCCAATGGCGTTCTTGAAGAGGTCAACCAAAGGGCGCAAGAATGGCAAACAACTAAAAGAAGGAAACTGACTACTCATCTTCTTCCTTTTTCTTTTCTTTTCCCCAGTTCAGTTCTGGTCGACAAACTGACTCTTGCCCTAGCTAATTTCCGTTCTTCCTCGTGGTCATTCTTCCGCCAATGGCTAGAAATTCTTGTATTCATATAAAAAAGTGAAGGGTCTACAAGAAGTGGACTAGTTTCACGAAATCTTTGCAGCGCCTCTAAATATGTTAATTTTTGTTCTAGTATTATTGTACATTGTTTATATTTTTTTATAAACTGACATAAATCTATTAAATATACTATTATATTAAAATGATGTATAAAACTCCGTACATATTAATACCGTAACATATGCATGTGGATCAAACATGCATACACTAACCAAATGAGAAAGGGATGAGGTTAAGAAGTACAAATTAGTAAAATAACAAGATTTAGTCTAATACCACCATTTATAATTCATCAAACGTGATTTTGAAACCTAGAGATCCCATATTCGAATTCATCAAGTAGCACTTATAATTAAAAAAAAAAGCTATATCACCTTTATCTATAAAATAAATCATCTAACGTGAATCACGTGATATTTCGTACAAATATCACATAGCAAAATAACAAGTTTTGTGACATGTGGTATTGTGTAACAAGTTTTATGACATGTGATATTTGCGTTCGCTAGGGTTGGCTACTCCGTTGGGACGCTTCGGAAAAATCGGAGCAAAATTAATCAACTCTCAATATTGTAAAAGAAAATTTGTTAAGTTGAACCCACGTTAGTAGAACTTGTGATTACGGTAGCCCGAATTGTCCAACTCTGCAAGTCCTCTGTTTTCTTTTCCTTTTCCTTTGCGGATTCTTCCGCCTCTCTTCTGGTTTTCCAAGCCCTAGAGGGACTAATACAAGCGGATAAATTGTAATGTGTGCTTGCTTGCTTGCTACTCTGTTCTTTTGTGCATTACTCTGTTTTTCTGGGCAATCTTGGAAGAAGATGAGACGACCTGCCAATCGTGATCCTGAGCTGATTCAGATTATGGCATATATATGCGATCCCAAGCTCTCTTCGTAAGTACATTAGTTGAGAAAATCTCAATGTTTCTATCTCTTTCTTCACCCTTTGCTTCTTTTTTCGCGCGGTAACTTGAGTTATTGAGATCAATGTGATGAAAAGGTGATTCACTGAGTGCTTTTTTTATTTGAAAACACATGCAGCGAGGAAATTCTGTTTCAAGATGTTGCGAAGAGAAGGATCGGGAGGCGAAAGGATTTCATACAACTTGTAGGGAAATTGGGGGTGCCGAATGCTTTGAGTGACCTCTACATCGACCACATAAACAAGAGCTCTCTACAAGCGAACAATGGTTACTTCAAAAAGTTCATCTTCCGTATCAACCTAGCGGTAATTTCAGCTGTGAACCTAACGTTAGTAAATTGTATGTGTGATTCATTATTGAAACTTCTCCCAACAACTAACTCGATTTGTTGGGATCAACTGGTTCCTGACATAGTATCGAATCCTTCTGTAACCGAATTAAAGATTTTATGTTCGAATCCCTACGACCCCATTTACATGGTATTCGAACGCATGTGTGCACACTTTTGAAGCCCATATATATGGTGACTTCTAATTGAGGAGTGTATTAGTAAAATGACATATGATCCATCGAACATCTTTCAACCACTCGAAATAAACTGAATGTGCATGCAGGCTATTGAGATTCTAGAAGCTGACAAGAACAAAGATGATAATGCTTACTTAATGCAAGTAAGACAACATCTGTCAAGCATCCACTACGTACCAGAGGGGAAGATCGACGCCAACAAATGTGACCTAGTAAGTACAGTTTCTTTTCTTTTTTAATTTGACTAGTTGTTTCATATACACTTCATGATCATATATGTCTCGCGAGTAAAGCCAGTTGAGCTCAATAACTCGAATTGTTTATTCAAAACGCGATTTGCAGTGGTGCATCCCCATATTGTACAGAAGCCATCTCTCGGCGGTCGTGGTGAACATGAAGGCGGCCTGCTTCGAATATCTGGACAGCGGACCTTTCTTAGACAGCAGAAGTACCTTCTTGACAATGGACGCCTTGTGCAACAGAATCTCCAAGTTCGTGACCGTGTACGTCAACTCCATGCGACGACAAGAGAACAGAGTTGACTTCTCGAAGTTCGAGTGGAGATTCCCCCTGCTCCCTCGTCAACCTGTCGATTCAAGTGCTTGCGTTATATACACTCTGCGGTTCCTTGAGGAGTGGAATGATAATGGCGGCGGCGGGAGAATGGACATGCGTAGGTTCAACGGGTGGAAGAAGGAGTCGTGGCATCTCAACCAGAGGAAGAAGATGTGGGCCACGGTTTTGACTCTGGAGGCCAATGTTATTCGCGACGAGATCAAGCGTAAGGCGCGAGAAAAACGAGGACGAGAAATTGGTGAGAGAAGGAAAGTACGACGAGAATCCACGACGACGACGAAGAAAAGTGGTGTTGGAGGAGGTTAATTATGAAACCGTTTGATCCAAATCCAGATAGTAGTGCTCATTGTCTTCTGCAGTGCTATATTGATTCGATCCGATTCGATCATGATTTTAGTTGGTTTTACAATTCTGATTTGTTTGGTTCATATTTGATGTTCTAGACCAAAGCTCTCTCTAGGAGATCAGATTGCTAATTATGCAGATTCCAAGTAGAGAACATTAGAGTTCTGAGATATGCATGGGGCTTAATTATATGCCTTCATCAAATTTCAACATATTATTATGATAGACTATTGAAACTTAGTGTTGTTTCGTTCGGTGAAATAAACATCGAGCGGGGTTTGTTTCGAGATGGTAAGAAAAAACCGATTTGGATCGGAGATAGAATGATTTTATAAAACATGTCGTGAAATTTGGGTTGTTAGATACTATGGCCGATCTCCACATCGTGTAGATAAACAGGAGCTCCCTCAAAAAACACAAGTGTGATGCAGTGATAGGGATAGTATTATTGATATTGTTAGCATGATTAATGTAGGACAACATTACTAATTGAATTTTGCTAAGTATGTAATTCGATTGTTAACTTATCTTTATTTCACGATTAAATCTTTACTAACAATATTATTAATCTAATTCTAATATATTTTTATGATGATTATGATTCAATCTCTCTTACCATTTCACAATGTGTGCAAAAGCTAAAAACAGCTGATTTTAGCATTCAATCACACTAATAATCTCTCTCACACTCAGTCACTCGGCTTGCGTTCGTTACTTTCTCCTCTTCTCTTTCCCCTTCTGCCCTTTTCATTCTTTCCTCACTCCTCACCTGCATTTGCGTTTCCTCCTCCATCCATCCTCCGTTTGTTTCCTTGGAAAGGTAAAGAAAGGAAACATTTTTCTTGCTTCTCCAGCCAAACAACGAAGAACCCATCAAAACCCAGAGTCCATCTTCGGCCGTTGAGGTACCCTCTTCGTTTCATGATTTCACTTTCCCTGCCTCTGTCTCTCTTCGTTGCTCGATTTGATTTATACGGATCCGCAATTAGGGAAACGTTAGCCTAATGTGATCTGAATTACGATTTACGAACAGTCGCGGCACAGATCCAGAGTGTGAATCCTGACTCTATAAATCCTGCCTCCGCGAAATTTGGAGCCCATTCCAGACTATTGATCTTATATACTTTCTCTGCAGGTACAAATGTGTGTAAGTTAGGCTCATGAGAATTGGAAGCAATGGCGTTTAATTGAGCTGCGGAGGGAATTGGGGGGGAAGAGAAAAGGATGTCTTCTTCGAGTAAGACTGATAAGAAGGCGGCTGTGGACGCAGCCGCATGGATGTTCAATGTGGTCACATCAGTTGTAATCATCCTTGTGAACAAGGCATTAATGGCTACCTATGGCTTCAGTTTTGGTACGGTTTATCCTTATCATGGCTTCTCACCCCAAAATTTAGTCACTTTACCCTTTTAGAAAGTTACTGTTTGTGGGTTTGGCAATGAAATGAAAACAGGATTGTGAATAATTGTTTTCAGACCTCTTAGTAGATTGATTGTCAGTGACAGTGTGGTCTGACTGCATTTATGCTGTCAATGTGATTAACAACCATGCTTTAGATTTACACGATGATCGAGCAACTTAGATCGTCTACCCTCGTAGAAGTTAAGTGTATACCGAGGTGCTTCAGTGTTAGAGCAGATGAGGTAGGTAGGGCTAGTTCTGGATCAAAATTCTTCATTTGAACTTTGTTCTGTAATGATCTCCTTAGCTAGTATCATGCTTTTTGAGCATCACTTACTTACTAATGAAAGTTGTTCTTATTTGTTCGAAAAACAAAAGATTCGGCTTCCTTACACTGAGCATTGCATTGTTTCACAGTTTCATTATCACGATATTATCATACTGCTGCAATGTGAAGATTTAAATGATTCATGAGGCAAATACTTAAAATGAGTCAGTAGTGTGTCGTTTGCCATTATTTTGACAGTTTTAGTTATTGTTTGGACTCTGATTGGGGGGTTCAATGTTTGTCTTGCAGCTACCACCTTAACTGGTATGCATTTTGCAACAACGACCTTGTTAACACTTGTACTTAGGTGGATGAAGTATATTCAGCCATCTCACCTGCCAGTATCAGAGCTTCTTAAGTTCGTTCTGTTTGCAAACTTCTCTATCGTTGGGATGAACGTCAGTTTGATGTGGAACTCAGTTGGATTTTATCAGGTGAGGTTTAGTGAAATATGCAATGTCTGTTATCTCATTACAATGTTGACGTGGAATTTACAAAGTTTTCTCTCCACAACTTTTCAGATTGCAAAATTGACAATGATACCAGTTTCTTGCTTTCTGGAAGTAGTCTTAGACAACATGCGATATTCAAGGGACACAAAGCTTAGCATAGGAGTAGTTCTGCTTGGCGTTGGGGTGTGCACTGTGACAGACGTCAGTGTCAACTTCAATGGATTTTTAGCTGCATTTGTTGCTGTTTGGAGCACTGCCCTGCAGCAATATGTGAGTAAAACCTTCTCTGGATCCTTTCTTATTGCCAAAACTTGCTGTGTTTACGGATTTGGTTAATTTAACTCCTTATGCTCATGGGGTTTATAAACTTGTTTACTTTTGATGTTGACTGAGGATAACTATGAGGGTTGGTTGTCCTAATCCTAGCTGTTTATATTACTATTCCGAGACATTCTGGAGAAACTTATTATGAGATGAACATGATCAGCTGGTTACAGTCTGGTTTTACACATTTCACCCTTTCTTTGACTAATCATCATATTTTATGGACCTTTTGCAGTATGTACATTATCTTCAGCGAAGGTATTCTCTGAATTCCTTCAACTTGTTGGGTCACACTGCTCCAGCACAAGCTGGTTCTCTACTTTTGGTTGGGCCCTTTCTGGACTATTGGTTGACGACAAAAAGAGTTGACGCATACCCTTATTCCTTGACGTCTGTGGTAAGTTTTTATGTTGGACTCTAGTTTATATTCATTATCTCTTTCATTTGAATAACTTCCGCTGCAATTACTGTCTATCACCCATCAATCGATGCTCCGAGAAAGATACTCCATAGGGAGCACGTATCATATTAGTGACAGAAGTAGCATCTTTTGAGAAATCTGATTGTTAAGTGCATTTCAAGGAAGTAAAAACCATAACTTGGTCACCCTTTCAATATGCAGTTAACCACTGCTTAGCAAGCACATAACTTTTTTCTTACTATGTCTTATAAGAGCCCTTTGGTATCAGCTCGTTCATCATGGTACCCTCAACCTGATCTAGAACTGGTGTTTGTGTATGTCTGCAGTTGTTCATAGTGCTATCGTGCACCGTCGCCATAGGAACGAACCTCAGCCAGTTCATCTGCATTGGGAGGTTCACCGCGGTTTCCTTCCAGGTCCTGGGTCATATGAAGACGATCCTCGTGCTGGTCTTGGGCTTCGTCTTCTTCGGGAAAGACGACCTTAATTTCCATGTGATTGTGGGCATGATCATTGCTGTGGCCGGGATGATTTGGTACGGCAATGCTTCATCGAAGCCTGGGGGCAAAGAGCGTCTGAGTTCCCCGGCTAACAGCAGCACCAAGTTCCAGAAATTGGAAACTGCTGATGCTGATGATAAAGTTTAGACATCACTAGATAAATTTAGAACAGAAGAGGAAGGAGGTAAAGAAAAAGGGAGAGGACAGGATGATTTTTAGACTGGCATTTCAGATGAATTTTAGTTCTAAGTATTGGATGTTGATTATATAGCTTCTTTTTTCTGTTTGGATCATAGTTAGGGTAAAGTATGGTTCTAAAGGAGGAGAAATACAATGGAGGTAAAAAAGAATTATTTGTGACCATGATGTTCTCTCAAGAAATTAATTATTGATTTCAATATTGAATTTTCTGAATTTTCTTGCCTTAATCTAGCACGACTTTAGTCTTGAACCTTAATCTAGCACGACTTTAGTCTTGAACCATTAAGTACTTAAGTGTCAATACGAATTTTTTTTATTGATTTATTATTATTCACGATAAAAATATTATGATTTATGACTAACCTCTCCTTACGAATAATGGGCCGGTGAATATCATTCAACGGCCCGTGGGCTTTCTGGGAAATAGAAGTTGGGCTCCCTCCTTTTTTTTTCACTTGGCCGCCCCTCCTCCAAGTACTCAAACCCTCGCCACTTAACAGTTCTTTCTCTCCTTCCCCTCTGCTTCCTCCGGCAAATCGTCTGAGAGCTTTCGTCGCTCAAAGTCCTCGGAGAACAGAAACATGGCTGCCGCTGCTACTGGGGACGTCGCCGTCAAGGCTGGGACCGTCAAGGACGTGTCTCCTCACGAGTTCGTCAAGGCTTATGCCGCCCACCTCAAGCGATCTGGCAAGGTAATTTCAATATCCCATCTGCTCACTGAATCTCAATACCCTAAAGAAATGCTGGGAGTTGAGGTGCCGATTCTGGGTTAGTTGATTATTTGACGATGGACATAGGGTCGTCGGAATTAGATACCGACTGACTAGTTTGACAATTTGCTTTGAGACATGCTGGTGTCATTCGCTATTAGGGATTATCTGTAATCGGAGCCGTTCTGATGCTTTATTCGCTCATAGAGTTATGGTTGGCGTTTACTTGCTGAGAGAAGTGATGGGGATCCTGTAAAGTTAGTGTCTTTATAGTGAACTCTTGCTTATTAGATTCTTGTTGAATCTTCTGATTGAGAGGCTTGTAATTTTTAGCTTCAAGTGTCCTAGTAATAGTAGCCGTGGAAGGCTCGGTTTGCTGAATGGTTGCCTTAGCTCAATTTCCTGGTTGCTTTGCATATTTTCATCGGCGGAGTGCAGATTGTGAATGTTGCTTAGTGAGCTGGTCTTAGTCCTGCCCGTTAATCCAGGTTCTCGGTGTGTCTGTCATGAACTAGTTCTAATTTGTTGAACTTGTATATCTTAGGGTGATTCACTGTATGGTGTTCTGTTTACATATAGAAGTTTGAGATCCAGTGTTTTGGTTTTTACTTTGCTGCCTGGCCTATGTGTTTCTGGCTAACACATCCTCTTATTCTTTGTTTTTTAAATTAGATCGAGCTTCCCCCATGGGTCGATATTGTGAAGACTGGTAAGCTGAAGGAGCTTGCCCCTTATGATCCTGACTGGTACTACATTAGAGCTGGTGGGTATCCCATGTAGTCTGCATGTTACATCACAATTTATATAGCTACTTTGGATCATTACTGGGGAGTCTAAAGCTTTGTCGAACTACTTTACTGTGCTTGCAGCCTCAATGGCAAGGAAGGTTTACCTGAGGGGAGGTCTTGGTGTCGGTGCTTTCCGTAGGATCTACGGCGGAAGCAAGAGGAACGGAAGTCGCCCTCCTCATTTCTGCAAAAGCAGTGGTGCTATTGCTCGCCACATTCTTCATCAGCTGCAGCTGAATAACATTGTCGAACTCGAACCCGCAGGGTGAGTCGTTGGCTCTTTCATGTTTTTACTACCTATACAACTTCACATTTTTCACACTAATTCATCAGATATCAAGATTAACATATGATGAAATGTTTCTTTTTCCTCCGTTTTAATTGGGATTTTAGTGGGAGGAAGATCACTTCGAATGGCCAGAGGGATCTCGACCAAGTCGCTGGGCGGATTATGGTTGCCCATTGAAAGGCTCGAAAACGCTGAAGAGGCTTAGCTGAAAAATGTGAAGGGAGAGGATTGTTAAAGAGGTTTGATGTCTAGATTCCTAGCTTACTTGGTCTTTTTTTGAAAGATGTGAATGCTTTGTGGCGGATAAGTAAATCAGATGTAGCGAATTATGTGTAATATCTTGAGTTTGGCGCTTCTCTCTTGGAGATGAGCTTTTCTCCTGGTAAGGTTTAAAGGGAATATCCAGATATGGTTGTTTTCAAAGACAACTGTTAAAAAACCAGACAAAGGTGCTGTGTTTGGATCTGGAACACAGTGAATACCTAACACCAAACAGCGCCTAATCTTCTTCTAGGGGTTTTTTACTCGGTAAGAAGGATTCCTCTAGGTTTGATGAACAGTATTTTTATTTCAGTTAGGTAGGGGGTGCTGAATCTGTTCAGTAAATCTGTCTTTCCTTTTGTCAATACAAACTCAAGCCTACTTGCTCTTCCTCTATCTACGACTTCTGTCTCCACTGTTCTTCAATAACAGAAACAGTTTGGTGCTTATGTGTTCTGGTTTCAACTTTATGCTTCCTGTTGTTGAAAGCTCTTTTTCATAAAGGGGGGGAGGAGGAAGAGTTAGATCATGATTACGATTGCCAAACACGGCTTCTGATGATCGACGAGGTAGTCGAGATGCTAATTCATATCGAACTCGTTTCGATAAATTGAATCGTTGAGCATAAGTCTTGAGAATGTGTACTACCACAGACTTAGTTTACTTTTTCAAGGGGCAAGCTGATTTCCTATGTTTATAGATTGAAGTACCACCATAACAAACTTTATTATCATGTCATTAATAAGTTAATCCCAGTAAACTCTTCACTAAACTAGATTCTTTCTGACCTCATGGGTCTAATCAATCAAATTAAGTTCCAGCTTGGCATCAAGGAAATAGGAAATGAAGCATGAATAGTTCAAAGTTGATTAGAATTTTTGCTGTTTGGATTCTCTCTTGTGGTGGGGGTTTTTTTTTTCCTGCCCTTTTGAGTTTTCCTCCCCCACTCAAATGGGTTTCATCAATTCATTATGAAAATATCTCTCTTACCATTTCTTGCAAATGAAATGAAGTGAGCCCCCACCAAAAAAAAAAGAACAAGTAAAAAATTAGAGGGAAACCTCCCTTTAATCAATTGCCTTATAATTACTAGTTCTAGATTCATTAAAGTAATTCTATGATTATATTATCTCCTCGATCGTAAATTTCCCATCAGAGCTTTTAGCTTTTAAAATGACCAGGGAAAGATAATCAAAGGGAGGAAGTGACACGATATCAGTGAATTTTTCGATTAGTATATCATCTTAACTACTTCGATCGTAACATTACTAATTATGCTGATGGGTTTAGATGTTATTAGTTTACAAGTCATATTCGATAACTAAGTGTATATTCAATAACTAATTATATGAAATCTCACAAGAGAATACCAACTTATACTGATAGTCTGATACCAGCCTTTGTCGGTATAATCACAAGCGAATTACTCTTGCTATAACATTATTGTAACAATGTACAATCCAACGATATCAACACCAACCATATCGATAATTCCTCCTACTATATCCTTCCACATCATTCACATTTTACTCTCTCTCCATGTCCCACCACAAACAGAAATCCAACGTCCTATCCAAACATAAAGGTGGTGGCTTTCAATCTTGGTCTTGGGGGGTGAAAAAAAAAAAGAAAGGGAAAGAGTGCATATATCTTTGGATTCTTCATCATATGTAATCACGTGGTTGTGGGTTCTTTTCGATTTCTGCATGTACAATCATGTTATAGTACGACGAAGAACAATACACATATATGCTTTGAATCAGCAAAAAAATTTCACTATACAAGAAAAAGGTGAAAACCATACATCCTCCCTTCTGAATCATCCTTCTTATGTTCCACGGGTCAAAAAAAAATTGGCCCATATGGCCGTGGCATTATTTTTCTTACTCGATTGGTAGTACTATTGTAAAAAAAAAAAGTTTTGCTTGGAAAATGATAATCAATAATGGAATAGCTAGTTATATATATATAGTTTTACTATCCTACCACATTGAGCTATCTTCCTTTGCATGTACTACATAGTATCTTTTCCTCTATCGATACATGCATGCATGACAAAGAACACCACAAATTTGACCCTCCCCGGTCATACCATATCGAGCCATCGTGATTACTAATCAGTCGCGTCAAGGCGAGTTCTGAATCCTGAGTATGAATTAACAATTCGACTATGTTGGATACTTTCATTGTACTTTAACATAAACTAAAATTATTGATCACCATATATACATTAATTCATTCAACGATCGTGAAAAGCACGACTTTTACCCTTTTCTCTCGTCGCGATTCGTGACACGGCATCACAGGATCGGGAATATCAGGCATCGCGATTACTAATCAGTCGCGTCAAGGCAAGTTCTGATCACTTATATCCAATATAACTTCCACTACGATTCCACCGTACTTTTGCCGCCCATTGACGAGAGCAAGAACACCCTCGATGTGGAGGACAGAAGTACTAATGAGGATTGTGGGCGGGAAGTAATTTGGAACAGTAGTAGTGTTGATGGAGAAAGAGGTCATCACTGTAGCAAGCAAAAAAAAAAAAAAACAGATACCGCCATAGCTGGTGGAGGACAAACAATTGAACAGCGACAGGCTGGAGAAGTTGTCGGTGATCACCCATAAACCATTATATATACCATTGGCCACAACGGGATGCAACCAAAAACGGATCCTTTTCCTTCCCGTCGCCCACCGCACGCGCGCGCGGACGGATTCTCCGACGGCCGCCGTTGGTTGGTTATATACATAGGGCTGTTTTGTGGTGGTGGTGGTGGCCGGTGGGTCCGCCGGTGGCCAATTAATGTCGCAAAACCAGTGGACACCGGCACGTGTTCGCCGCACCTATCGTTGGTCCCGGGTGCACAGTCACCACCGCCGGGTTTGTCTTTGTCGTCGCCGTCGATCAACTTGCTTTGGCTTCGTCCATGGTGGTGAAAGTTTGTGTTGCTACGAAAATTAGGGAGATCGTGTTCCATGGATGATGGACAGCATCGTTGCGGTAAAGGTCGTAATGCCAGAGGAATCGTTACCGCACGGCATAATGGGGGAGGTCATAAGGCGTCTACATCGTAAAATCGATTTTCGACGGAATGGAAAAAGGCATATATGGTAGAATCGTAATCATAAGGAGTTGAAATATGCACGAAACTCCATGTCTTATTCTTCAAACAAATTAACGGCTAATATCAAAGTAGAGGAAGATTCGAAAACAACAGCTCTTAGTGAGAAGTAGTGAGGTTATATATTGAGAGAGCGCTAATTCATCTTAATCATAGAGCTCAAAAGTTGTGAGCTCATCATTTTGCCACAAAGTTATGCAAATCATTCCGCTAATTAATCATGGGCCATCACTTCAATCATCATTAGGAAATTTGTTGATTACACGTTGTTGATCGAAAGAGAACATATTAATTAAATCAGATAATTAATAAGAAAAATCGAAAGATCTGTCCACCCTAACGGTATCGATAAGACCAAGCCTTATCAGTTCCACAATTTCCGACTTCGACTTATTTAATATTATTTTATTTATAAAAAAACAAAAGTTTTTGCATTGATGGGCTTTGGGAATTTGAGAGCCTGATCATCTTCAGATGTCAAGTGGGCCCATCGGTCCAGTAAATGATAGCCATTCCCGGTGGGCCCGGCCTTCCTCCATGCTCTCTCACCATTTTTTCTCAACTGATTGGAGATGGCTTCGGAAAGAGAGATGGTGACGGAATGACACAGTCATCATGTATCTAACAACAAAAGTAAGCAAAGAGCCTCTTCTCTATTTCTTCCTCTTTTTACTCTTGTTTACCTAATAACTAGTTAATCGCAATAACTCATTTTCATTTGACATCATCCAGTACACTTATCGTCAAACTAAAATCAATCAATGGACTTAACTTTACACAAAATCACTATACATTGTGTTTACAGGCTACTCAGCGGCGGATCCAGAACACAGAAGTGCACTGGGCCGTATTTTATTATAAAATTAGAATAGTCAAAAAATATTATGATTATAATTTTTTTATAATGTAAATTATACACGACGGTATTTTAATTTAGCGAATGCATTAATAAAGGAGTCCACATCTATACCAATAGTATACACTGTTTCAAATAAAATACTTGAGCAATCGATTATAAATTCATTGCTCATTTTGTTGCGCAAATCAATTTCACATGTTTCATTGTTGAAAAGGTTCTATTCGTATTAGCTGTTGAAACGAGCAGCATCAACACTAGACAAATCAATCTACTAATCAATTTACATTGTGTTTCCATCCCTATATCCACCAGCTGCTCTAGTAAATTTTCCAAGGTAACAAACCTCATATATGTTTTAGTCTTTTACGTTTAATACTTATTGAATTTTTAGGTTTCATTGTTTTTTTAGACGAATAAACTTTGGGGTTAGAATTTATAAGCTAAATTTAGAGTAGTGATTTTGAATATGTTCATCTGAATCATTTTTCTAATTATACCAAATCTTATTTTAAAATAACAACGACCCGAATATCTAAAATCGAAAAATTCATAAGGCCTATACTAACTATGGATCCAGAGGAGGGCTGGGCCGGGGCCCGGGGTGGCCACTCCCTGGATCCGCCACTGAGGCTACTGCAACGAACCACATTGAAAGATTGTGAAGATTCAATCATACGATCATTTGGTCAAGCCAAATAACTCGAAATTTTTTGAAAGAATGTTATTCGTGAGATCCAACGGACTGAACTAACGGACGTTAAATCTGGGAAGGAAACAAAGGGAGAGAATCCAAAGAGTACTCATCAGTCAGCTATGAAGTGCCTTTACTAGCCCTATCTTTGCCCCTATATATTGGAATAGATCACTGCCTTTATTATAAAGAACTCCATACACAAAACCTTTAAAAAAAAAATCTGGTCAACCGAACAGAGTTTCTAATGATCGGTTGACACAACATTTTACCTACAGACAATCAGACATGTTAGAATTGTGGACATAACCTTAGTGGCGAGCAGATTTCTGCGGTTTGTTTTTGGATCCTTTTCATCCACTTCATAGTATGGAAAAAGGGTTGGTACGACTATCTTTACATTACTAGAATGTTAGTAAGGCTTTAGGCCCCCCTGATTCTCTCCAAATACGATGATTCAAGTCAGCCCCCCTCGTTTAGATTCCTGGCTCCGTCATCGAAATCCAGACTAATGATGTCGGATCCCAAATGCATGCATGTATATACGTCATGGGGGTCAAGGTATTGTCATCGAACATGCATTGTTGTTGGAGTTTCCGGTGTGAACAAAAAAGGTATAAAAATTCATAACGGTTGCCTGAATCTCGCCGACGGCGACCCCATTTGTTAAGTACATGCATCGCGGACCCGTAAAGAGTTCAAATTCGTATAAGTTGAGTTGAGTTTGAGGAAACCGCGTGTTAGTAAACAATTTAAGATTCATATCCGAATATCTCTCAACAACAGCCTCTTAATAATTAAAAAAAAAACAGATCACAATAATATAATAATTTCTATTTTATTCAGTTACCGGAAGCCAGAAGCGACAAAATCACGTGCAACAGCCGACGTGTCCGGAAACACTTCCCCCCATCGTCCCACACAGCTGGTGGGGCCCATATCCACGTCCACGCCTCAAAATCCCCGTAATAAGTAAAAAAAATTCCCCAATCAAGAAAAACAAAAAGAAAAAAAAAACAAATTGGAAAAAGTAGCATTCAAGGAATCCACCTGAGATTTTTCCCAAACTGCCCCTTTAACGTCACTTGAATAAAACTGTTGTCAGTAAAATTTAATTTTGCCCTTGCCCTCGAGACTCAGACTACTAGATTTTCTTTACTGCCCCTTTCTCCTGTACTTTGTTTCTC